TACTTATAGAGCCTAGATATAACGCTAATACTATAGAAACTTACGCTAAGCGCGTATACTCTTAAAAGGAGTAGAAGATTTAAGAAGAGATCGATAAGAAGCTATTATAATTAAGATTAAGTTAAGAGAATTATTTAATTTAAGAACGGATTAAGTAGGCGAGTATTACGTATAAAGTAATAATAAAGAGAAAGACGAGAGAGGAAAGGAAGGCCTTAATAGAGGTCGAAGACGTAGATATATATAGGACTAGAAACTACTTACCTATTAAGTATAATATAATTATACTATAAATAGAAAAAGGAAATAAATAAGTTAAATAATAATAAAGTAAATATATTAAGTAATTAATATATAAGAACGAAATATTAAGAGTATAATTAAATTAAATAAAAGGTATTTATTTAATATAATAATAGTATAGCGTACTATTATTATCTAAATATAGATACTTCTATATTAAGACTAGCGTTAAATTAACGAGACTATATAAGGCTACTAAATACTCGACTATCTTACTAGTTCGAGGGTAAACTACCTAGGGGGAAAGGGTAACTATTACGAATACCTACGTAATACTAGATACTTAATTAAGACTACTAACTAAGGAGTTAGGCCGCTAGTTAAGTAGCTAGCGTACCGTATATATATAGTAAGAGGGGTTATATCTATTAACCTTAAAGCCTTCTTTAAGCGTTAATATCTCTATCTATAGGCTAGTTATCTATCATTATTAATCCTATAGTATATATATTTACCCTCTAGTTAGATAACGGGTCTAATAAGTAGCTCTAATAATAATATCCTAGATAGATTAGTAACTTTATGAGATCTATCTTACGAGAGATCTTCTATTTAGCGAAATTAATATTATTATTATAAGCGACTTTTCTTAATTACCGCCGGTAGCTATAAAGCTATTATTTTTCTAAGGTTAATTAGTTAATCCTACTAAAGTAGGTAGTTAGACGCTTTATAACCTATTTAATAAGACTATTAAGCTTAATATAATTAAGCGCTAGAACGGCTAGACTACTAAGGTAATCGCTTTTAGAGAGGCTCTTAATACTCTTTAAGAAGATAGAGTTACGGTTAACGATTAGAGTCTCTTAATAACTCGCGTTATAAGTATTATTCCTTATAAAATCCCTACCTTTAATAACGCTATCTATATCTATAATAAGAAATAATAGATAAATAAAGTAAATTACGCTCGAATAAGAGATCTTTAATAGCTCATTCTTAAGATTATAGCTACTTATAAAGGTTTAAAAGTAAATAAGGCTAGTTTTAACGCGGTAGGAAATCTTTATACTAAACTATCTCCTACTCTTAGGACTCGAATTATACTTACGAAGAATATCTAGGTTAAGAGAGACCTCGTTAATAGCGCTCTTAAAACGGTTCGCGATATCGTCTAGAAGGTAGACGTAGACTAGCGATAGGAGCCTTCTCTTACTCTTATTATCTAATTTAATAGATATAAAGGGCCTTCTCTATAGAACGAAGGTACGGTCCTAATCTTTAGATCGAGGCGTAAGTTTTATAGAGGCGCTATTAACTACTTCTATAAGTAGTTTCCTATAATAGTAATTTACGTAAGTATAGTCTATAAAGCTTAAGGAATAACTATAGAAAGAGCTATTCTAGACTTAATAGAACGAGACTTCGCGGTAGGACTTAGTTACGTCGCTATTTCGCGTATTAAAACGCTTAGTAGTATCCTATTTAAGAAGTCCTTTAATTACGAACGCTTCTAAGTTCGTCCGTTTAAGACTATAAAGGTACGGAATGCCGATCGTTAGCGTTAATTAATATAGTATTTAGGTACTTAAACTAATTAGGAACTAGTTATTTAAAGTAGTTTACTAGTAATACTAGAGTAAAAAAAAAAGCTATAGGAAAAGGTACGCGAAAAGGTACGCGAAACGGCGCGCGAAATAGGTGAAATAGCGTAGGTAACGGCTAGTAATAAGGCGTAGGTAATAAGGCGCTAGCTAGCGCTAGCGTAAAGTAGTCGATTATAGAGGCTTTTTCAAAATCAGCTTTAATTTCCTAATTAGGTAGGTAGTACGGATAGGTAGTAAGGATAAGTAGTAAGGATAGGAATATATAGTATTTTAATATATAGTTTTCGTAGAGTTCTACTATAATACGTAAATCCCTAATTAGGCTCGTTTCCTACTATAATTATAGGGTAGGAGGGGTACGGATATTATATAGAAACTAGATAGAGGAGACTAATTAAAAACGCGTATAGTAGTTAATCGCTTCGCTAGCGTCTTAAGGAGTACCTAAAGGGTTTACTCCTTATAGTCTATTTTACTATACTCGTCTAGCGTAAGTTTATAATTTAGCGCTCTACCTCTTTTTCCTTATCTTTAGCTTTAAAAACCTTTCTAACTTTATCTTTAAACTCTCTAAAGGTTCTAAATAACGTAATTATCTCGTTCTCTCTATTATCTAGTTAATTTTCTATATAGTCCTTAATAAATAATTTAAGCTATACCTCTACGGTCGACTTAAAGTAACTTCCTATAAAGAGGATCTTCTTTATATTATCTAGGAAATTAGTAGAGTTTATTAATAAGTATATATCTACGTAGTAAATAAAAGGAGTTAACCTCTTCTAGGACTTATTAAAGGACTTTAGAGGGTTCCCTATCTTCCCTTTAGTTATCGATTTTATAGTAGTAAGAGTTAATAGAGTTAGTCGTAGTATACTAGGACCTAGAGTACTTAGTCCTACTATTATATCGTTTAAGGATAATTAAGACGCTTATCGTACGAGGAGTTCGTCCGTTAAGGATGTAGATCTTATCTACCTTCCTTAATTACTTATAGAGGTCGTCTCTCGTACTAGGTAATAATAGTTAAAGTATTAGAGCTACTTCCTATATAGCTTAATTAAGTTAAGCTTTCTTAGTTATAGTTCCTTATTATTATAGAAGCTAGATTAAGAGTACGTAAGGTATAAGTAGTCGATTAACTTTAGAATAGGATAATAAAGTAGATATTATAGATTAGCTACGAGGGGTATAACTATAAAAGGGTAATAAGCGTAGCTATATACTTATAAGGTCTATCCCGAATAGGTAACTAGAAATAGTATGTCGATATATTAATAAACTAGTTATACTAACGTACTATTATATCGCTATATTAATTCCTTCCTCTTTTAGTAGTTACGTACCGTACGTGACCTAGCCTTATCCTAGTTCTTCTATTTCGCTAGGCTACTACGATCGGTAAACCTCCTCCCTAGGTCTCCTCGCTCGCCGGGTCATATGAAGGCCATTTCTAATAACTAGCTATACTAACGTACTACTATATCACTATATTAATTCCTTCCTCTTTTCGTAGTTACGTACCGTACGTAATCTGGCCTTACTCCTATCTCTCGTCTAGCTAGGCTACCGCAGTCCTCTAGACATCCCGCCCACCAGGTCGTATGAAGGCCGTTTCTAATAGTTAGGAACGGCCTATAGAGAGAGGTAGAGCGTAGCGTTAGGTAATAGATAGGTATAGGTATTCCTTAATAGTATATCTTATCTAAGATTTAAAGTACAAGGGAAAGGAAGCTTCCCTTAAGTAGTAAGTATATAGTACTTAAATAATAAGGGTGTATTTTGTATAAGTTATACTTGGCGGTTCGTGATAACTGTAGAATAGAGAATGAAAATACCTATATTAGAGGACTTAATATCTTAGGAGGGGTAATATTATAGATCAAGCCCCTTAGTACTAGTTTAGTACTACCTAGGACTTAATATCTTAGTACGTTAATTATATATACTACTTGAGATGTCATTTATATAATAGAACCTTAACCTTTTTAGATAGTCCTTCGTACTATAATTAATCCAATTCATTACCTATTGAGGCCGCATCCATTAGATCTGCGATCGTGATAGTTTCGTTCAATCAAATCCCCGAATCGGCTACGAATTGGTGCGCCATGCGCCCGCTGTATGAGAGCGAGCGCCCTGGGGTGATTGTGCTGCCAGCCAGCCGCGTCGGCTATTTAACACTAAGGTGGTCTGGGTCTGTAATTTGGTCGAAGAGTTGGCGTCGTTTTACCAACAAGGATCTCAATGCGGCTGCCGCTGCGGCTGGCGCAAACGACGAAGTGGTGCAGAAAGAAGGTCAACTGGAGAAGAACCTGTCACCAGACACCTTGAGAGCTTGGAGGCGGATTCAGGACAACCCACCGCGATGAGTCCACTGCTCCATATGTAACGGACCTCCACGTATTTCCTTCAACAGGCTCGACGACAGTCCATGAGACTCAAGGCCGGAAATGAATCCCTGTGTTGGCACGAAGGTGAGCTCGTGATTGGGATGTCGTTTTAACTGCCAGGGTCTCTGCATCTCAAGTTGATACCACAGGAGCCAGAGCCACACGGCCAACGTCAGGCCATGCGTGCCAGAGTGCACTGGACACACACCCTCAGATGGGCTTGAGGGGGCTAGTAGCGGCTGAAGTCAGTCATCGACGGCGTGGTTTTTCAAAGGTTGGACGCGGCGACAAATCAAACGAAGTGTGTGTGGTTTCGATCCTGGATCCCCGGCTGCAGAGCTTTTGTGACTGGCTGCTGTCTGCAACGTACAGTTTTGGAATATGGACATAAAGGGGGAGCAATGTTCATAAGTTTTCCTCAGATGCGAACGGGTTCAGGAAGTCAAAGAGAAGACGACCCATGGAAATTCAGACTTTCTGGGACTGGTTTCCCAAAGTTCTGCCCCCGAGGAACAGTACCAGCAGCACAAAGGATCCACGTCGGAGACCCTCGTGATGATGGATGGAGACGACGAAGGACACGGAGATGTTCGACTCCAAGAATCTGCACAACGGCAAGAACATCCCTGCGTGGGGGAGATGTCCAGCTCCCCAGTGCGTGGGCGTGTTCTCGTTGATCATGGTCTTCCGCTCCATCCTCTCCCTCATTATCCTGGCGTTGCGCGCGTGCATGCCGCTGACGTCGATCACGGACGTGTTCTTACGTATCATCATGGACCTCTTGAAGTCGTAGGACGACGAGTAGTCCCCGCGCAGCCCGGTGGTCGTGCACCTCTGTATGTTGCTGGACAAAACCTCGACGCGGGGCGGCGTCACCTCCTCGCGCGGGTACCAACCAGTGCGTATCCGCCGCCCCTGGCAGGTTCATGAACTCGGCGCTGATCATCCAGATGATGACGTACACCGTCTCGCAGTCGGCGGGTCGGCGGCAGGTTGCGCCAGATGGTGTGCGTGAACTCGTAGAGGCTCTCGTACACCGCCCACGAGGTCGTCCAGATTCCTGGGGCTGACGAGGATCAAGTCCGTGTCGGTCGCCTCCCTCTCGCCCACGGACACCAGCATGGTGGCTAATCTCTCCAGGGGCCGCCACGATGTCGTTGTTCAGGGACATGATGATCCAGATCGGGTTGTCGTACTCGTCCAGGTCGATGGTGATGTTCTTTCTCAGCGAAGCTCTCGGACCAGTCCGCGTCGACGTCCACGGTCGCGGCCACATGGATGTTCCTGAGTATTGTGTAGGAGCGTGGTGCTGAACGTGTGCTGCTTTACTCTGCCGTCGAAGCACATCCTCTTCAAGTTCATGGGCCTGATCATGTGCCGTCACCGCGTTCACCATCAAGGCCGTGCCATGCACTCGGGCTCAAGCCTGAAAAGCGGCCCTGATCCTGCGATTCTTCGTGTCGATGACCACGTTCCTGACCCTCACCGCGTTACTGACGCTGACCATCAATCACGGGGTTGGACATGGGCACCACGATGGACACCAATAAGTCCCGTGATGTTCATCATCTGCAGGGCGTCGCTCGGCTCCATAGACACGCTCGTCATGATCACCACGTTGCTCCCGGCCCTAGTGGTCGTGAGCCTGGCGATGCGGATGGGCCAGTCGATGTTTATGTGCCTGTTCGCCATCAGGACCGTGGTGGCTACCGGGTAGAGCTGCTCGCTCAGGCACATGTGTCCCTAAGGGACACATTCTCGTTCGTGAACTCGTGACGAACATCTGCATGACCTCAAAGAGATACTTGATGATGCCCATGTGCCCTCCCCGACACCACGTTCAGGCAGATCATGTTGAAGCTGTCTCCCAGTGACTTCTCGTACGTCATGCCGATCTCGATCAGGCACATGATGTCGGCCATGATGCCGCACACCACCTCGCTATGGCTCGGGTTCGTCTTCGAGGTCAGGATGCCCGCAGAGCCCGTGTTCATCTCCTCGACCGTCGTCGGGATCATGGTCCAGTGGGTGGGTACCCTCTCGTGCGCGTGTACGTTCCTGCTCTTGCTCATGGTGTGGCTGCGCCTCCTGCTCTTTTACGCCATGCTGAGCAAGCTGCTCGACCGCCAACGGGTCCCTCATCCTGCCGTTGAACGTCAACCCGTCCTTCAACATGTACTCCACGTGGAGCTTCGACAACTCAAGGATCAGCTCGACCAGGCCCAAGACCTCGACAGGGCACGCGCAATAGGAGAGGCATAGGAGGACCAACGCCATCGAGCTCGTGAGGACGATGAGAAATGTCGTTATGAGCGAGCTGCCGCCGCTGACGATGTCGGAGGTGCTGTCGATAATGTTCAGGCGGAGCGGGGTCCCCCGTCGCTAGACTCGTTCATGGTCATGATCGTGGGCACGGTCAGGAGGGCTATGGGCTTCAGCCCGGCCGTGGAAGAGGTACGACCTCAAGTTCATGCCGTTGGTCAGGTGGGAGTGCCCCGACATCGTGGCGAGTCTGTGGACGATCGAGCCGGTGGTGTCGAGCAACATCATCAGGGGGCCAACAGCATCGACGTCAGGTACGCACACGACATGTACTCTCCATGGAGTTGGAGTGTGCATCGAGCCGATGTCCACGACCACGCACACGACCAGCGTCAAGCCCGGCAACGAGGTCTGGGGCAGGTGGACCGGGTGGCTGCTTCTGGCGCGCGGTCCAAGGACCAGGGTTGGCTCGACTCCGTATGCTCGAGCTGCAATGTCTCCTCGTCCCGACCGCGGTGTTCTCACGAACCTGGTCACGGTCTCGTCGTTGTCCTCCGGCCCGTGCTCGGTCAGGACCTTGTAGCCGCCACGCCGTCAGGCGTAACCGTGGCCATGGACTCGAGTATGGTGAGAGCATGAACGGGTACATGCCGCTGATGCTGGGGCCATACGTCACCGAGTCCATGAACATGCCTCTGATTCTGGCGTCGGTCACGTTGTCGTTGGTCGTCGCTGCCGGGATGAGGTTGAACAGCGTGTTCATCGTCGCGCATAAAGCTTTCCATGACGGCAAAACAAAACGAGCGAAGCAGAGAATGGCGACGTAGATTCCCTCACCAGGCCAGACGGGGGCAAACAAGTCGTTGTCGTCGAGTAAGAGCCGAGAAACATTCGTAGTATCGCGCGTAGTTTGCAAGATCTGTTCGCACTGTTGTCTTCGCGTCAGTCTCCAAGGTCTAGTGCAACAGCAGGGACCAAGCAATAAGAAAAGGGAATATACATATGGACCATGAAGAAGAATATGCAAGCAGAACATGTGAAGGCCACGTGGAAGAAGAACATACAAGAGCAGCCTGTAAAAAGCGCAGTATAGAGGAATATGGCCCTGAAGATGAAGACCGCCTTGATGGTGAACGCTACATTGAAGGTAATCGCCCCCTTGAAGGTGAACACCTCTTTGAAGGTGAATATGGCCTTGAAGATGACCAGTGCCGTAAGGATGAAGATCGCCTCAAAGATGAAGGCCGCCTGGACGGTAACCACCATCTTGAAGGTGTCCGCCGCCTTGACTTCTGAGTCACCCATGTGGTTGACAGGAGAAGAAACCCCTTGATTAAACTCGTGCCAGATGCCTGTGTTTGTCACTCTCGGAGAGTCGACTGACGTTGCACGATAGGAGCTTGTAGCCCGCTTGAATTCCGTCGTCCGGGAGCAAGACACTCGGCGTCGATCTCAACCTGCCAGGGTACTAGTAAGTGCCATTGCTCATGTAGGAACAGCCTTTGGAATGTGAGCTGGGGCACGTACGGCAGGTTTCGGACATGGTCCTCTTGATCATCCTGACACGGTCGCTCACCACATTTTCGAGTTTCCTCTTCTCTCACCTGATCCTCACCACATCTTCAAGTTCCGCTCCTCTCACCTGGTCTGGTCTGGTCCTCGGCAGCCACGTCACAAGGTGAACACCGCCTTGAAGATGAACGCCGCGTGGCAGAAGAATAGCGCCGTGAGGAAGAATAACGCCTTGAAGATGGACACTGCTTGACGGTGAACGTCGCCTTGCAGATGATCTCCAGAGGCTTTGAAGGGAAATCTGCATATAGAAGGTGAAGAAGGAATAACGAAGTAGGAACATCCAAAAGCACAATACTGACGAGAAACATTCAAGTAGAACGCTCAAGGAGATGTGCCAGAAGAACATCCAACAGGATCATGCGAGAAGAATATGTGAAACGCAATATAGAAGGCGACATGGAGAGGGGCCTGTACGGCTGACCTGCTGGATTTAGATCATTCTCCCCCACCGTTAGTGGCTCTACAGCCCCAGTCGGAAAGGATTTAAAACCGGAAAAGGTCTTTTCAGCCCTTAGAGAAAGATGACAAGAACGACAAGGACGACATCGATACGGCAGGAGGCACCGGCGCGGCAGAAGACACTGATGCAGAAGACGCTGGTGCAGAAGACGCTGGTGCAGAAGACGCTGGTGCAGAAGACGCTGGTGCAGAAGAAGACGTTGATGCAGAAGAAGACGCTGGAGATGCCGATGAGGGTGAGGAGAGATGAATCAACAAGACGTTCAGTAGGTAACCTGCAAGAGGGAGGCACCATGAAGAAGAGGCCAAAGGGAGATAGAACAGGGGCGTTCCCCGTATGCAACGTATAAGACCAAAAAGTAAATACGTAGGGAGTATGAAGGACTCACATGGAACGAGCGCCTGCCACGGCAGGGAAGAATATGTAAAGCCCACTCTGAAGAGGAACATACAAGCGGGACACGCAATCGAAAGGGCTTGTAATCGGTAGGGCATCCAATCGACAGGCCATGGGCCATGGGCTAGTGGGATATCGGGCCATGAGAAATCATTTATTACCCATAAGAACATGTTCCATCATTTCTTGCTCCACTGACTCCCTCATCAATCCCCGGAATGCCTGCATTTGATTTCGACGCGTGCTGCCCAGGCTGGGTTGAAACGGATTCTCGCCACCATGAAAGTTCTGTAAACAGACTCAGGTGGCACTAGAGTGTCCTCTGGAGACAAACCCTTAAGGCCGTTGGCGTTGCTATAGGCCGATTGGCCCCCGGTGGAACAACTGAGGCGTATGCCTTCCAGGACGCCGCGAGAGGGTGTGAGTATGTCTGTTTGTCTCGGATGCCGACCTCGATGCCAATGTCACAATCAGCTTTGCTTGCGAATCCGCCCCGATATCGCTCGGGGACCCCACGAAGTCTTCAGTGGGCATCCAATCGAAAGGAGAACATGCAATTGAACAAGGAATATATAGGATGAACATTCAAGAGGAAGAGGCAAAGGGTAACATGCAAAGCGCTATTTGAAGGGGAAATATGAAAGAAGAATATTCCAGATGGAACATGCGAAAAGTAACACGAATTGAAAGACGAACGTACAGAAGGAGCAAAAAGAGGAAACAGGCAAGTGGGACATATAGAGCGCAACAATCAAAAGGCAACAAGGAAGAAGGACATGAAACGGCCATCTGGAAGAAGAAGCCGCCTGGAAGCCCAACATATAAAAGGCAAGATAGAAGAAGGAACATGCAAAAGGGACCCTCAAGAAGGAGGAAGACGGAGAAAGATTCCACATGGAGCGTGCAAAAAGCAATATTCAGGTGAATCGTCCTCGGGTTGGAATTGAAATGTGGAAAGTGAAACTCAAAGTAAAAGGTTGACACGGAGAAGTGGTAGTTGACGACTTGACAGAGAATGAAATGGTACTTTTGAGAGGGGCAGAGAGTGTAAGTCAAGTGAAGGGTTGGCGGGTGGAAGTAGTAGTTGACGATTCCGCAGAGAGGATCACAAGGTGCATCGGTGGCGACAGGCGTACCCGGTGCTAGTGGTGCACACAACCTGACGCAAGAGGGACAGGCACAGACCGCCTCGAAAAGGAATAAAATGGAGGAATAAAATGGAGGAATAAACAGAAGGTAACAAGGAACAGGTGATATGAAGGAGGCAGCACGAAAGAAGTAACATGAGAGAAGAATGTAGAAGAAGATGGTATAAAGCCCGCCTCGAAGACGAACGAATAGAGGGGAATGGGCAAGAGGAACGTTGACAAGATCATAAAGGAAGGCAGTATGAAAGAAGTAACAGAAAGGAAGACGATGCAAAAGCTGCCTCGAAGACGAACGAACATGGGGGAATATGTAAAGGGAACATGCGAAAGGCAGCGTAGAAAAGGAACACGAGCATGAACTTGGAAGAAGCGGCATGGACGAAGCAACAGACGACAAGTAACAGGCTGCAAAGCCGCCTTGAAAACGATTCGAGAGGATTCGCGAGAGGTGTATATACACCGTGCAACGACCGTCAAAAGGTTGGGTATTCCGGTCCGCATGGGGATTCCGATGGTCGTATCAATGGCCAGATTGAGCAGGTCAAGTGAGCAGGGATTTTGTTGGTGTTCCGCCACTGTTTCAGACTCGGGTGTAAGTAACTTGCTGTTCGACAGCATTCACCACAGTCTCACCTATCTTGCCAGAGGAGAAAAGGCGACATGAGGAGGACGAATGTGGGAAAACATGGAGGAATATGAAAAAGGCAGCCATATAAAAAGGAATATAAACATGAACATGATGGCAATATGAGAGGAGCAACATGAGAGGAGAGCAAGGTGGAAGAAGCAGTAGGTTGCAAAGCCGCCTTGAAGGCGACGGAACATGGAGGAAGATGGAAGAATATGCAAAATATAACATGCAAAAGGGAATGGCGACATGCAAAAGGAACATGAACATGAATTAGGGAGATGAAGAAAGGCCATGGACATGGACGAGGGAAGATGAAGGGGGGAAGATCAAGGGGGAAGATGAAGAAGGGATATGAACATACCGAGCAAGTCCCCTGGCTTCCTAGCACAACCTTTGACGGTGCGATGGGCCAACGTCTGCGGACACAACCAGACAAGACCTTCTGACGCGTCAGTGGAACAAATCGTCGTGGTCTGCCTCGTCTTGCCACCAACCAGTTGAACCTCCAGCCTCCTCAGGTCGTATGTAAAATCTTTCTTCCCGCGCCCAAGTAACCTCAAATCTCCACGGGAGGGACCCTATGGCGGTCCAGCCGTTGTTTGACTTGGGACGTACCGGTACAATCGACAGAACCACTGGATCGATGAATGAGGTCGTCCTCCGACACCTGCTGCTGCTGCTCGAATATCAAGATCCCAGCTTGCAAACTGTTTAACTCACACAGGCTTCTTCTTTGACAAGACCACCAACATTGTCGTCTGAGTCAAGAACACCGACGACGTCCAATCGGTACGACGGGATCGTGGGCCACATTGAAGCCAGACCCGGCAACTTGGACGTGACGGTTGATGATAGCCCACGGAAAATGCGGGCGAGTCGAGACAGGGCAGCTCCTGGACACGCAGGAGGTTATCCTCGTCAAGCACACGGGCCGCGGCACGACGCTTGCGTATGAACTGCATCGAACGAGTCTGCGCCATCTCATCCAGCAACACCAAGGTTTGGCAATGAGAATTCAACAATGACCTTGCCCGCGCTTTCGTGTCCGTCTCAGTCCCGGCGGGGGCTTCGGTAAGTAGCGTGTCACCGAATGAAGAATCCACGATCAACGATATAGGACAGCAAAAGGCGAAATCGACCCTGCAACTCTGGATGTGGACGAAAATCCAACAACGATCGGGGAAGGTGGTATCATCTCGGGTTCCTTGTAGCATCTCCAAGTGGAATAGTCTTCACATGGCTCCAATCTTCGATAGTCTTGGACAAACAGCTTCCGATGGGTCGCAACAGGTATTGGTCACTCTCCCAAACGAGGATGGTGTTCGAGAGCGTGATGATGTCCTTCCGGCAGCCACAGAAGAAGCCTAACTGCGCGCATATCCCGGAGAGCGGAAAGGACATGCGCATTTGGAATTCTGCCGCGGGGGCGACGTCGGTCAATGTCTGTAGCCAGCTTCGCGAGGCGCGAGAGGCGCCAGCGCAGTGATATCCAGGTTCCGACTCTGCTGAGGCGTATCGGTGAATGTAAAGGCTGGCCAGACTCGAAAGGATATCCAAGGCGCCCTCCCACCAACGTTTGCGGAGCCATTGGCGTTGTCACCGCCACTTGTGATGTCTCACGGTTCGAGGTCGAAGGCCCGATGATCGCTTCGAGTCTCGAATCCAAGGAGGCGTTGTGGCTGATGGACTGAAACGGATGCTTGGCCGCGGAATGTGCTTGCGTCTGTCGAGGGTACACCGATCGGCCTGCTCTGGCGTTTGGAAAAGCCTCCCTGTTTCTGCTAGACAGGACTTGAAGGACTCGTGGTTGAGTCGAGGTCCAGCAAATGATCCCTAGTCCAGCATCGCCGTCGGCACCAGGGCACTGTCCTTTCAATTGCCAAAAGCAACCATACGTCCACCCTCAATCCCCAAAGTGGCCCAATCCATAACTTCCCATGACCCAGAATGTCAATCAGCTCCATCCCGCCAATGCCCAAAGGTCGAGGCGTTCATCAAGAAGGTCTCTGCCAACGTGCTGATCGTCGAGATGGCCTTGTGAGAATCGAAGCGCAACTTTTGCAGCTGAGAACAATACCTTTTGGCAGAGTGCGGCAAGGCTGGGAAGACGGTCGACCGTATTACCAACCCGACATATCAAAAGTGTCCTCGACCGCATTCGCCGCATGCCGCCAAAACACGGAGCAATGGGATTGCTATTCGGTAGCTGGCCGGTTCATGCCCCGCATCAATGGACAGAATCCCCCAAGCGGTGTGCGACGTCCTCAGCGAGCCCGTTGGCGGGTAAGATCTGAGGGGGACTCTGTATTGGTTCTGAGCTTGAATGTAACATTGCCAGCCTGCTGCTTTGGTGTGGTGGCGAAGACGGCGACGTGCATGAATAGAAAGACGGCTGCGTCAATGCCCAGAGCGCGGGACAAGGCTGCTGCTCGTGATCAACCGGCACGACGAAGTTTCTTCAGAGAACTCTTTCGGTCGTCTCAATCTTCTTGGGATAGCTGAAGCCATGTTGTCGTCGGATTGTCGTCGGATCAAGAGAGCAGCCACAGCCGACGATGGAGGGGGTTGTCTCACGTATCGAAGACGTGGAAAATGAAGCGACCCCTGTATCGGCAGTAGAAAAGCTGAAAGCGGCACTCTTGTTGGAATGGATGGCCTTAGATGAGGATACATCTGACCACCGCATTTGCCTTGAGCTGGTGCTGCAGGTTGAGAGACACCAATCGTCTTGGGTACACAAAGCGGCTCGCGAATCGTCAGAGGCTGCTGCCATCGTTTCCGCGTCGTTGTACAGGTTACGTCTAGCATGGACCAGGGCAGTAAAGGCGATGGGGTGGGAGATAGTCAGTCGGGCACAGAGCCTGCCTTCCGCTTGCTGTGATCAACGGAGGCCGCTCCCAAATCGACAGTGCCTATTCCCTTGGTCGCTTTGGCATGCTCTTTGAGTTGATGCGTTGACATCGTCATGAGGATGACCAGAAATAACGCTAAATCATTCCATTGTGTCGATGTTCTTCTCGACGACGTCTGTAAAGTCATCGTCAAGTGGTGATACCCTGCAGATAGGTTGTGTGGATGGAAAGAAAGGCTTTCATAGACGGTAGGCGTCCTCGAATATATAAGGATTGGAAAGCCTGAAGACAATGCGAAGGCTGCCGTGTCTCGGCTCTTCGCTTCGCAGCTCCCGGAATAGTCCTGCGAGACGGAGGAGCATCCGGGAAAGCGATTTCTTGCCGCTACTAAACCGACGTGCAGCGCAAAAGTCGAGGCCACCGAGTCAATGAGGTCTCGAATAATGGCACCGACTATGATGGGACACTGTTCAGCGGGACGACATTCGAGTTCGTTGTGTTCGAGCAGGGGCCAGATCTGGGGCGAGAGCAGTGGGTTGACACATCTCGCGATGGAATATATCATGGGTCGCGATGGAATGTGTTATAGCTCGCGATAGAATGTATCGTGGCTCGGGATGGAATGTACCATAGATCGCGATGGAATGTAGGTAGTAATGGAATGTATAACGGGTCTCGATGGGATGTATCCCGCGATGGAATGTGTCTGACGATGGAATGTGTAACGCGTCGCGATAGGTTGAAGGTCGTGGTGGAATGTGTCTCGTCGTTGAATGTATCTCGCCACGGAATGTACCATGGGTCGCCATGGAATGTGTCGTAGCTCGCGATGGAATGTGTCTCGCCAACCGAACGCAGATTCGATGACCATCCTTTTGGCAGTACCATTCCAAATCTCCAGGTCCGGATAGTACGTGGAACAGACAGTCCGGGCCGCTTCGATTGTAGCAGGACAGCAGAGGACAAGCTCAGTGGCTTCGCTTTTCTGTGAGAGAGGCCGTGTTAGAGATATCCGCGAAAGGAGTGGAAGAATGGGAGAAATGTCGACAGGCAGACAGACCGATATATAACGTGGAGTATCAATCGGCGTATTCCTGAAGACTCTCGTAGTGGGAGGAAAGGTGAAGATCATACGCCTTTATATCCCTTCTCCTGTTCCTACTCCTTCTCTTGGAGACCGACCGACCCAACGCGGTATTGACTTAAAGATCGGCCTTTTGGCATCATCAATGCCTGGGTAGGTCTTGGGGGGCACGCTTCGGTCGTGGTAGAGTAGGGAAGGGCAAGCTCGGTCGCTTCGGTTTTCGGTGGGAGAGGCCATTTCAGAGAAATCTGCAAAGGGAGAGGACAGAAGGTTGAAAGGTAGATGGAGAGACAGATAGACATGGAACGTGGAGTATGAATCGGTGTACCCATTAAGGTTCTCGTGGTGTGAAGAAAGACAAAGGTTATGTGCATTTGTTTCTCTGCGCCTGCTCCTACTCCTTCTCTTGTAGACCGACCGACCATGGTATGGATGTTAAAATCAGCCTTTTGGCATCACCAATCCCTGGCTAGGCCCGAGCGGAACACGCTTCGATCGTGGCAGGGGAGGACAGAGTTAGTCGCTTCGCTTTCTGTGAGAGAAGTATTGTTAGGAACCTGTGAAAATGAGAGCGGAAGGATGGAGGAAAGAGAGACAGACCGACAGACCGACAGACCGACAGACCGACAGACCGACATCGAACGCAGAATATAGAACAGAATCGGCATGTCCACGAAGAGAACAGCAGTCTTGAGGATGAGGGCCACTCGAGTTGTTTCCCTACTCTTGCTCCATCTCTTGTGTTGGATTCGAGCAATCGTAGCATCGATCATCGTCTTCGGTAATGTCCACACCCATAATCACCGGACAGATCAGGGCGGAAGAAAGATAATGTGCTTCGATCGTAGTAGCAGGACAGGGTCGTTCATTTGGCTTTCTGCAGAAAGCGATGTTAGCTGTATCTGCTAACGAAGAGTAGAGGTGGAGAGGTAGATAGACAGATAAGCAGACAGACAGATAGACGTGGAAGAAGGAACATGAAATCGGTATGAATGCGGACAGCCTCGCAATTGTGGTATGAAGATCGTGAATTTTTGTTTGGCTTCTCCTGCTCCTGCTCCTCCTGCTGCTCTTGTGACTGACGGACCGCGACATTGACAGTCGATCATTCTTTTGGTACCACCGCTCATGCCCACTGCCCAGAGGGTGCATGGGCTGGGGAGGGTCTCTCCCCAGGAGGATTCTGGCTCGTCCGAGGCCGTTCTGTCGTCTGGCCTATCTAAGTCCGCACTTTCTCGTTAAACAGGAAAGACAAAAGGATTCTGGTCCCTCCGAGGCTGTTCTGTCTTCTGGACCATCCAAGTCTGCACTGTCTCGTTGAACAGGAAAGACAGAACGCCCACCACCAAGGACAACACCACCAGGACAACCATCCATTGCATGGGCTTCGTCCAGAATCCAAGGCCGTTCTGTCTTCTGGACTATCCAACTCCGCGCTTTCTCGTTAAACAGGAAAGACAAAACGCCCACCATCAAGGACAACTTTGCCAGGATAACCACCCATTGCATGGGCTTCGTCCAGGAAAGTAGGCAATGTGCCTCGATCGGACAGGACTGGACGGGACCGGGTCAATTTCTTCGCTTTCTGTCGGAGAAGCCACATTAGAATAGCTGCGAATATGGAAGTAGAGACGGTGACAATGGTAGATGGATGGACAGACGGCGGGACGGACATGAAATGTGGGATATGAACATGAAACGCGCCATCGATATCGACACAGAGAGCCTCGCAATTGGGACACGAAGATCATGAATGTTTGCTTACCTTCTCCTGCTCCGGCTCTGCTCCCGTAGACTGATGTCCGCGACGTCGACAATCAATCAGTCTTTCGATACCACTACACTGTCAATTCCCAGGACCGAGTGGCTGGAAGAAGACAACGCATTTCGATCGTGGCAGGCGAGGGATGACGGTCAGTCGCGTAAATTGTCTATGAGAGAACACTCTGTCAGGGAAGCCACGTTAGAAATGCCTTCGAGAGAGAAAGCAGAGGGGTGTAGAGAGGCAGGCAGATAAACACGCCGCGGACGGACATGGAATATGGGAAATAAAACAGGCCATCGGTATGGACAGAGAGGCTCACAGCTGTGACATGGAGTTTGTGGCTTTGTTTCCCTTCCTTCTCTTACTCTTGCAGACTGACTGGCCGCGACAATATTGACACAGAGAGACGCGCAGTTGTGACATGAAGATTGTACTTTGCTTCCCTACCCTTCTCTTGCTCTTGCAGACTGACCGATCGCGACATCAGTCTTTTTGTCGCTACCGCACTGCCAATTCTCAGGTCCGAGTGGGGTGTAAGACGGTATGCTTCGCCCTTCGATCGTGGCGGGACAGGATAGGACGGGATACGTCAGCCGGTTAGCTTTTCTGTGAGAGAAAGCCGTGTTAGCAGTGCCCGCGAATATAAAAGCAAAGGAGGTTGGAAAGGCAGATGGATAGACATACCGGCGGAAAGACATGGAATCTGCGATATGGAACGTGAAATCGGTATGGAATCAAAATCGCCTGCAGAAATCGTCTTGGGAGGTGTACGTGAAGATGTGCCCGCTGGAAGATTTCTCCGGCCATAGGTCGACGAACAACAACAGAGAGCCTCGTAGTTCTGACATGAAGATTGTGACTTTGTTCCCTTGCCTTTCTCTTAATCCTGTAGGCTGACTGGCGCCGACATCCCAGTCTTTTCGTCTCTACCGCGCTACCAATTCCCAGACCTGAGTCGGTGCGAGACAATACGCTTCGTATTCGATTGTGGTAGGATAGATAGGATGGGACGACGTCATTCGTTTCGCCTTCTGTGAGAGAACTTTCTGTCAGAGAAGCCACGCTGGAAGTATCTACAACGGTGAAAGGAGAGTAAGGTGAGAAGAGAGCAAGGTGAAAGGAGAGCAAGGTGAAAGGAGAGCAAGGTGAAAGGAGAGCAAAGTGAAAGGAGAGCAAGGTGGAAAGAGAGCGAGGTGAAAAGAGAGCGAGGTGAAAAGGTAGACAAACAGGTAGACGGGCCGCTCAGTCGCAGACTTGACAATCAGAATCAGCCTCCTCGGTACCATTGTTTTACCAATCCCCTGGCCAGGTCTGGGTTGAGGAAGACGAAGAACTTCGCTTCGATCATGGCAGGACAGGATGGGACGCCGTTATTCACTTCGCTTTCTGTGAGAGAAGGTGTGTTAGAAGCATCTGAAAAAGTGAAAGTAGAGGGGTGTGGAAAGGTATACAGACGGGCGGATGTAGAACATCGAATGTGAGCCGGTAAACACACGAATATCATCGCAGTATAATGTGATGATCGTAATTGTGGCTTTGTTTCCTGACACTTGCTCTTGCTCTGAGTCTTGTAGACTGACCGATCAGCCACGATATCGACATCCAGAACCAGCCTGTTCGGTACAGCAATACTGGTAATCCCCCGGCGAGGTCCGGACTGAAGAAGAGGACGCGCTTTGCTTCGATCGTGACAGGGCAGGCCAGTGTGAGGCGGTTCGCTTTACTGTGAGAGAAGCCACGTTAGAAGGATCTGCAAAAGTAGAAGTGAAGCGGGGTGTAACGGTAGACAGATAGACGGACCAGGAACGTCAAACGCGAGCCGATAAGCACACGAATCTCATCGCAATATGATGTGAAGATTGTGACAGTAGCTTTGTTTCCCAACCCTTGCTCTTGCTCCGACTCTTGTACACCGACCGATCAGCCGCAATATTGAAAATCAGAATCAGCCTTTTCGGTACCATTCCTCGCGGACAACGGGTTCAAGGTCGTCTGCGTGGACCGGGACATCGTAATGACGCAGCGCACGGTCGAGATAATCGAGGCCGAGGGCCATTAGGGGACGGTGATCGCGATCTACGCCGACGTGACGGACGAGGCGCAGAGCATCGTGGACACAACACTGAACTACCAATTCACCGGGAAGGTCTGGATTGAAGGGGACGACGGGTTTCGTATCAATCTTGGCTGAGGGGATTGAGTCAATCGCTTCGCTGCTCTGCGAGAGATTCCACGTTTCTGTAAGAGAAGCCATGTTAGAGGTCTGCGAAAGCGAAATTGAAATCGGAGGGAGGGTATAGACAGACAGACGGACCGGGAATGTAGAGCATGGAGCATCAATCGGCCCATGATAGATACGAAGAGTGTGGTAAAGCGAGGAACTTCCGCGGATCCTGACGGTTTGACTCGACACGGCGAGGTAAAGGTCGTGAAGACCGTGAAGCCTGTTTCCTTGCCCCTACTCTTGTAGACGGATCGACTGACTGGCCGTGGTATTGATACCGCCGTGCCGTTTCAGTACCACCTGTCACCAGGTAGTCTGGTTGCTTCCCTGCTCCTACTCTTGCAGACTGGCCAATTGCGATATCGACTGTCAGAATCCGCCTTTGTGGTACCATGGCACTACCGATTGAATCTCCTGGCCAGGTCTGATTGAAGAAGACAATGCGCTTCGCTTCGATCCTGGCAGGACATGATAGTGTCAGTGGATTCGCTCTGATGTGAGAGAAGCCACTTTTCTGTGAGAGAAACCATGTTAGAAATCTGCGAAAGCGAAAGCTAAAGCGGAGCGAGGGTGTAGAAAGACGGACAGACAGAGAATGTAGAGAGGGTGGAGCATGAATCCGCGCATGATGGACACGAAGATTGCCATAGAGAGAGTCAAAGGTCGTGAAGACCGTGAGTCTGGTTCCCTTGTCACTGCTCTTGTACACCGCCTGTAGTATCGACAACCAGCGTTTTCAGCACCAGCTATCCCCCAGCAGTCTTGCTGTCTGCCTACTCCTGCTCTTGCGGACTGATCGACCGCGATATCAACAAGCAGGCTCTCGGAAACCACTGATTGTCGCTCAGGTCTAAGTGGAAGAAGACGAGACGCTTCGATTTCGATGTCGATCGTAGTAGGATATCGTAGTATGATGGGACAGAATCGCTCGTTCGCCTGTGAGGAAGCCATGTCAGAGATATCCTGTGACTGCGACTGCGGACAGAGGGTGTAGGTGGAAAACAGGAGGACAGACCGAAGACGGTTCGACTTGGAATATGGCACTGTGGAGACGAACAAGAGAGACGAGCAGGATATGAGTATGTATGCGCCCAAGGTATTGGTGAAGGGGCGCATGTAGGTAATAAGCAATCCAGAAACAAGCAATCCAGAGGGAAAGGCTAATATAGAGGATATAAGCAGCGGAGGCAACATGAATCAAGACGGAAGAAGATGAAATTGGACTCTCGGCGAGGGGGGAAACATGCAAAACGTGTCAAAAAACAGAAAATCATTGAATGCGGAAGAGGAATGTCCAAGACGTCGAGGGGCATGAAGGGTGAAAAGAGAAAGATGTGAGAAGAATCTGCAAAATAAACAAAACGAAAAGCCACATGCAAGAGACTTTGACCAGAGCGGCCGAGTAAGCCGAGGTTTATAGTTAAATCGTGGCGGACGTATAGGTCAAAGTCGTCTGGTCCACCAGTAGTAGGCGCGCCACTACACCCAAGAAAAATATGCGTGTAATCTAGCGTTTCTTCGCTCCGTCAACATACGAGAAAAATATGCATGAAATAGAAAAATACGCAGAACGCTCAGTCATCTCTCTCCATTGCTCACATCCTCTGCATTAGCCGTTTCCTTTGCATCGATCGGGTCATGATCGTGCAGGAGGAGCTTTAACGCTTGTAGTAGGGAGGCTACAACGCCTGTAGTAAGGGAGCTGCCGCGGTGTGGTACGGGATTCGATGCTCTGGTTGGGGACTTAATGGCCGGGTGTCGACGCACCCTTCCGAATGACTTGGAACTTTTCTCCGGATGACGGTTTTTTGACAGCAACTTTTAAAAATGCACAAAGGTAAAACGTACAAAAAGCGCCACGAAGAAGGGAAAATTCCACATAGAGCATAAAATAGACTGTGAGGCGTAAACCCTTAGGGTTTCAGCCTCCAATGGCCCTGAGATGAATTGTGGAATTATGAATAGGATCTTAGGTGCGCCTTTTGCAATCTCATCCTCTCCTTGCACCCAACTCTCTTTGCCTCGCCATGACTTTGCCGAGTCGCTTCGCTTTCTTTGTTCTCATCTCATCGTTGCTTCAGAACCTATGCACGCAGGCTTCCTCGAGTCTCTCCTAAGCCAGCTTAGTAGTGTAGATGGTTGGAGAAGAGGCATGCTGTACTTACGGGACTCAGTTCCTTGGGCGCTTCGTACAGATATCGCATGCCTCGCTCAATCTATGAGTTGGTAAGTAAATATCAGTTCGGAGGTGATGGGGGTCCACGAACAAAAAGTCTTGGAATGTACGGAGGAGGAAACTCTTCGCTCAATATCTTGCACAAGGTCGGGACCGAAATTTGGCTGGATTGAACCGAATTGATGACGAACCACTCCATGCCTTCGCGCGTAGGAAGGTAACATTGCCCTGGTTCAAATGCTTTCGGCATACTGATGGTGACGATGATCAGAGGCTTGAAAGGGTTGGATGGACAGGAATCGTGCCAAAGAAGCGAACTGACTTGAGTTTTGTATGCTTTGTTACCAAGGAAGGTAAGATGTAAGAGAAAGAAGAAGGACAGGACGAGGGGGAGCATTTATGTCACGAACCGCTAAGTATCACTCACACGTAATAACCCCTTATTATTCAAGTACCACATGCTCACCACCTAAGGGAAGGAGCTTCCCTTATACTTTAGGTCTTAGTTAAGATATACTATTAAGGAATACCTATACCTACCTGTTACCTATCGCTGCCCTCTGCCTATCTCTATAGGCCGTTCCTGACAATTCAAGGCGAATATAAAAGTAGAAGTAACCATGAGTAGCCATGAGTGGCCTTAAGCAACCGTCCTGAACCGCCATCAGCCTGGGGACACGCGAATATAACTGACCATATCACCTGTGTAGGCAGCAATGCGTGAAGATGACGACCGCGGTGATGGCTCAGGAGGGTTTTGCTTGCTTTCTTGCTTGCTTGCTTGCTTCAGAATATGATCCAGGCAGTGTCGGTCCTACCAGCTCGTCGCTGTACATCATGCCTTCGGGCCCAATGCACCTTTCAAGTGCTTTGCGGCCGACTAGCGGATATCTTTGGACCTGTAGCAGGCGAGCATCGCCATGTTGTCCCATAGAAATGGACGTGCTCGCCCAAATTCCCCCTTCAAATGCTTTACGGCCGACTGACGGATATCTTTGGACGCGGATCAGGCGAACTTTGGCATGTTGCCCGTGGAAATGGATGTGCTCGACCAAAATCCACTGCCGCAACGTGCGCATGTTGCATATGCATAGCATCACGTGGGCTACGCACGTCTTGTCGTTCGGGTGCCTCAGCAGCTTCGGGTATCTGTCTATCACCACGAGCATCGTATCGCACTTGTAGCCGAGCGGGACCATGTGCGTGTCCCCGCCCATCTCCCATATTGATGATTGCATCCAGCTTGACCATGGACTGGTGGCAATCTTGAACCGTTTTCGCGTCCCAGATGACCTGCCCACCATGACAGGCTCCTTGGAGTGTCTGAGCCAGGGTGCTTTGGGCCCGGCTGGGGACTGCCAGAAAAGGCTGGAGGGAGTGGCCGAGTAGGTTCATGACAGCGTGTACTTTATCGGGCCCTGCGGAAGCTCCTCCATCGGCGCTGATCTTGATGTCGACGCGGACGAGTTCGTCATTACTCTCCTTTTCGTGTACATCGACATGCGTTCTGATGCATAAGCTGCCTGGAAGACTAGGCGGTCTGCGGAATATGCGCGATGAGGGACAGCCGGCGAATGTTTCCAATGCTTTTGGTTGTCTTGCCGCCTGCTGCGTCCTCATCTTGCGTTCAAATCGCGTGCGTGAATGAGATGACCCCTCCTCAAGCCGAGTCTCCTCGACATTCCCGCTTGGGCCATTGATAAAGTGTTTGACTTCTTTCTCTGCCCTTTAAATTCTCTCAAGCATCTCAGGATATCCAACGTCGAGACTGGGTGCCTGATGTGTACTCGGTAAAGTGCCTCTGTAGGTGTGGGAAGGGCCGGTGAATGACCGGCGCCGAAGTCCTTCCACTTGTTCAAGCCCTCTTCTGCGTTGCGGTCGGACGTCTCTGTGCCTTGGAGCGAGCACAGCGCCTCAACGCAGTGGTCGAGGCTCCTGACGCCGGTGCTGAGCCAGTGGTGCGGCGGGGTCGTCATGCATAGCTCCGGCTCGAGAATGATCAGGTTCACGCCAATGCCAGAATGCAGGAACGCCACCTTGTGCTTTGTAGAGTCGTCCGTGCCACCGCCTAGGTTGAAATACTTTGGGGGTCATATCAGCGCATGACTCGATGGAGGCAGTTCAGAGAGGTGAAGGGAAGGGTATTGAATACCTCGTCCAGGTCGTTCCAGCGCAGGAGATGGATCGAGGGGTGAACCCGGCTTTTACCAAAAGCTGCGGCTTGTCGTGAATGCAGATTGAATAGTCGATTCGACCAGTAATGTCGCTCATTTTCCAGTCTTCGCCATTGCCACCAGCTCGATGCACCGCACGTTGGGTGTCTTGAAAGGTGTACTGTGTGTGAATAGGTTTGGCAATGAGAGGGCTTCAACATAATGAACATGAAGAGCCTCGCCATGTCAAGGTCATGATCGTGGCTGTGGGTTTGCTTCCCTCCCCCTGCTCTTGTAGATCGACCAAGCTATGGACACGAAGAGGCTCGCAATGTTAAGGTGAAGATCGTGACTGTGACTTTGAATTCCTGCTCTTGTAGAGCGACTGCGGCATGCATATATTGGAGAAGCATGGACATGACAAGGGTCGTAGAGTTAAGGCGAAGATCGTGAACTCTTGTTTCCCAAGATGAAGACTGCGACTGCGACTGCGACTTTTCATTCCATCCCTGCTCTTGTAGACCGACTGCGCCATGCAGATAACGAAAGGCATGGACCCGAAAATGGTCGTAGTGTCAAGGCGATGATCGTGAAGATCGTGAACTCTTGTTTCCCTGCTTCTACTCCTGCTTCTTCTCTCGTAGACCGACAGTTCGACGTATAGACAATCAGCCTTCTCTGCACCACTGTGCTACCAGTCCTCTGGCTAGGTCTGACCAGAAACAAGGACAAGACAGCGCGCTTCGATCGTAGTAGGACAGGACAGGACAGGCTCGGAGAGGGCAGGTTTGGACTGTGCAGGCTCGGACAGGATTGCTGTGCGGTCGAATTGATGAGATTGTAGTACTGAAGAGTCTCACTGGTGGTTGCAACGGCGACACGGTAGATAATGTTATGCGTTCAGCCTCGTGAGGAGAAGCCAGCCTTGTGCGGGGTACCATGACGGATAGGATCGGACAGGCTCGGTCAGGACAAGGCTCGGTCAGGTTCGGACAGTCTCGGACAGGCTCGGACAGGACGGACTCGGTCGCTTTCTGTCCTTTACTGGAGAAGCCGTATTAGAAAGTTCTGTAAAGGATAAAGCCGAAGTAGGGTGGAACGGTAGACTGACTGATTGACTGACTGACAGACAAGCATCGAAAGACTTGCACGAGCCATGTAATCTTCCTCGCTGCAAATATTGCAAGTCATCTTTTCGGGATCGAGGACAGTCTCGAGCCAGATATGATCTCTCTCGCCACAGTCCCGGCATGGTATCTTCTCGTGCCTGAGGTTGCCTTGGGGGGTTGGTTGCTGGATCATGGTCGCGTCCGAAGGGTGAAGCTCGATAGTAGACCGGAGTCTGTAGTCATGAAGTGGAATAAATGTCAGAAGATATTCAATTTAAGTTGACAGGCGGCTAACAGTGTATGCAGAGTATGTAGTATCCCAAGACACAAAGACAGAAGGGGTATGTAGTGAGAAGCCCACGGTCTTCGGGGTCAACTGACGAAGTCTCAGAGTTGGATATCAATGGGCGAGGTGCTTCGCATCTCTGGCGGATGGGGCAATTCACGAGTCGGACAATCCATAGCCAGCCGCCACCATCTATCACGCCGACCATGCTGTGCCATTGATGATTGAGTCAATTCGGGCAGCGGTGCTGGTCAATTCTCCATCGGAATATCGATATCCAACCAGCTGCACAGATATGCCTAAGGCGCATCTTGCGGCAGGCTGGCTTATCCTTGCGTGGACAGCCCTATGGCATCATATCAGTATCAAACATCGTGATACCAGAGATAAGACGTACCTTGGCCGAATGCCCCCAAGACTCGCAGAGATCGAACACGGAACATCAATCAGCATGCTCTTGAAGATCCTCATGATATGAGGTGAAGATCATGACGTTTTGTATTTGTCTCCCTACCCCTTCTCTTGTAGATCGGCCACAGCATGGACACGAAGAGGCTCGCAATGTCAAAGTGAAGACCGTGACCGTGACTTTGTTTCCCTGCCCCTACTCTTGTAGACCAATGACGGTATGCAGATGGTGAGAGGAATGGACAACGAAAAGGGTCGAAACGTTGAGGCGAAGGCCGCGAAGATCGTGAACTTTTGTTTCCCTGCTCCTACTCTTGTGGACCAATTGCGGCATGGACACGAAGAGGATTGTAGATACGAAGAGCATCGTAACATTAAAAGACCGTGAAGATCGTGAGCTTCTGTTTTCCTGCTCCTGCTCCTGCTGTCGTAAACCAACGGATCGATGTATAGACAATCCTCCTTTTCAGTACCGCTGCACTGCCAAACCCCTGGCCAGGTCTGGATGGAACACGGACACGACAGTGTATTTCGATCGCGGAGGGAGAGGACAGGACGGACAGGACGAACAGGACGGACAGGCTCGGTCGCTTTCTATCTTCTGTGAGAGAAGCCATGTCAGAACCATATGTAAATGAAAAAGCGGAAGTAGGATAGGACAGAAAGGCTGACTGACTGGTCGACTGACAGACGAGACGAAGGACTTACACGAGCCATATGACCTTCCTTACTGCCAGTATTGCAAGCCATCTTTCGGGGTCGAGGACAGTCTCGAGCGAGGTGATCCTGGTCACCGCAGTTGCGGCAGGTCGTCTTGTCACGGTCGGACAATGGATGGCCGTATAGTTCTCATTGCAATAGTTGCGGCAGACTGGCTTGTCCTCGTTTAGACAGTCCTGCGGCATCACGTTGGTATTGAACAGCGTGTTACCAGACACAAGATGTACCTTTGCCAGATGCTCACCATACTCGCATGGAATGTCAATCGGCCTGTCCACTAACAGTCTCGCGATATGAGGCGAAGACCATAACGTTTTGTCGTGACGCTTGTTTCCCGGCCCCTTCTCTTGCTCATGTAGACCAACGGACTGTGGCACTGACAATCGGATTGAGCCTTTCCGAATCGCTCACTCCCAGACCTTTGTGGCGGACGACATCGGGCCTGGAGGACTCATCGGACCGCGTGGAGGGACACCCGTTCAGAGGCTCAAGAATGGTGGAAAGTAGCAGCCACGTCGCCGCCAGGGGATTCCAGAATGGTGAGTTTTACAGGATCGTCTGCTCCTTGCTTGTTTCTTTCGAGGCAGCTCTGAGTGGAACTAGACGCGGCTTCGACCGTGGTAGGAGGAGAGGACAGGATCGGATAATTCGCTTTCTGTGAGGAAACCAGGTTAGAAACACCTGCGAATATGAGGGCGGAGGGAGGGTGTAAGTGTAAGAGCAGACGGGCGGAGGTATTTGGAGCGTGGAGTATGGAATGTGAGACACGGAACATGAAAGGAAACATGAGAGAGGAATCCGACATGGACATGTGTATACCTGCGGCATTCATGAGGGAAAGGAACATGAGCGATGCAGAAGACATGAGGAGTGGGGTACATGAGCAATTGAGCCGATTTGAAGCGAGACGGACGGAGATGCAGTTGGACACTCGACGAGGAGAGAAGGATATACGGACAACATGGAAGAAGTCGAAGACTGCGGTGTCACGCCGTAGCCTTGACAATGTTGAGTGTTGAGAGTGGGATACCCCGCACAAGGCTGACTACCCCACACGAGGCTGAGTGTCCATTGACTCTTCTACCGCGAGTTGCGGGCTATTACCAGTTGGACTCTTCCGTCTCAGGATTCATGTTATATTCATGTCATAATTGCACCCTAACAGCAGTGGTTCCTCCTGCTCCAGGTTGCGCCGTGATACATAATATAGTATGAAGATCGTGACTTTGTTTCTCTGCTCCAGCTCCTCCTCCTGCTCCTTCTCCTGCTCCTTCTCCTGCTCCTATTCTCGTAGACCAATTGATTGACCGACCGCGGCATCGAAGCGTCGAGGCATTGATCATTCGTCATTTCCGCACTATGAGTCCGCAGGTAGATCTGGGGGGAACAAGATGACGCGGTCCGACTTCGATCGTGGCAGGCAGGGCAGGAAAGGGCCAGGTCAGGCTCGATCGCTTTCTGTTGACTGTGAGAGAAGCCATGTTAGAAACGTCTGTCGAAGAGAAAGCAGAGGGAAGGTGTACACAGGCAGATGGACATAGAATAGGGAACACGGGCATGAATCGGCCCATGGCGAGATACCTCCTCCAAAAAACCGGCTGCGGTTCGGCCAAGCACATGTCCTGAGCTCTGCGACCCCGTGGCTACCATTGACTGCGTTGACGTCCGTTTCCGTGTCTTTTCCAATTCCGTCGCGGTCCATCCGTCCAATTTGTGTGAGCCGTTGGTGTCCCAGTCTGCTGACTTTACCTGAGATCCCACGGAGGGCGGAAGGAAGGGCTCTTGTTTTTGCTATTGTTTGTTGGCCAAGGCATCTCCTGTGCCCAAGTCTGCCAATTCGATATTTCAGTTGCTGGAGATTCCACCGCAACCGTGAATGATTCAACCGTGAATGATTCAAGGTTGAGCAACAAGCCGCCGCGTCCCTGGTCTAGTCTTGCAGCTAGCGAGGTGACCCTGGCGTGAAAGGTAGGAGTGGGTGTGGGAATGGTGTGATTGGAAGAAATGCAGCGGCTTGACTGGAGCAACGTAGCCAACACGAGAGAGCCAAGTCTCAGCGCTCTGCATACTGCGAATTCTCTTGTGTTCCAGCTCTTCAAGTCGAGTGGCGTATCGGCAGCCCGTTGTGGCAAACGCCTGGTCACACCATATCGCAATCCATCCTCGGGGACCAGCACAAGCACGGCCAATTGGGCGGGACAGTCTTCTTCTTGGGCCGTGCAGCCAGATGTTCAAGGGCGGCAGAGGTTCAAGGATGTCGGATTGTTGAGCTCGAGGAGCTGCTCCAAGGGTCAAGGAGGAGGCGCAGAATCTGAATCTGGTGCATCGGCCTTGAGACGACGGCATTCCTGGGGCCATCTCCACGTCAATACCTTTGAGCAGTCAATTCGGCTGGTCACAGACCTCCTCGAGTGTGCAAAAATCCCTTCATGTCCGCCACCACTCTCACGCCAAACCTGCGAAGCGAGGATCGGGCTCGGACAATTCGAAGGGTCTGGATGGTCAAGGATGCCGGATATTCAATGAGATTGACATTGGCGCGCTTCGCTGGCGAACGCGAGACACCGCGCATAAATCGCCATGAGGACCGTTGGAGATAGCAGACGAGGGATGAACAGGCGAGTGACACGCATTGGTGGCCGCGGGTGTGAGTGATCATGATGACTTGACTGGTATGCAATCTATCTAGCGCACCTGCGGACTTGTTGTGTGCCGCGGTGGGAATTATTCGGCTGACGTTCCCGATACAGTTAAGGGGTCCCGGTGGGGCGACCATGATAAAATTGATTGGCACAAAAATCTTGGAAATTATTCGGCTAACACTCCTAATACGGTAAGGGCAAGGCGGCTGAGCTCCTTCAAGTCTAGCGGCCTCTTGGCAGCTTACTGTAGTAAATGCACTTGTCACGCCATTGAGAACAGATCGGAACTCATCCTGGGGAACCGGTAAAGCAGAGACACCGCGCAGAGATCGTCATGAGAATTGTCAGAGACAGTGAGCGACGGCCAGGAGGTGAACGAACAACCCGGGGTCCGGGGGAAGCAAACTGAAGCTTGATCTGGCCAGTCTGCGGCATTGTTTTGAACGGTTGATAGATTTCCTTTCGATATGTACATACTCGTGCCCCAATATGATGCACTGCGACGCGTCTCTCATCTGCCCGGAACCCCGAATCGGGTGGTTTTTGTCGATATTCATTGCGTTTGCGAGGGATTCTGTAAGGGGTGTCGTTCCCAAGATAAAGGGCGAGAGTGCAGGGCACGATGGCACTTTCTTCTATCTGCAGCCTTCTGGCGTGTTCCAGCCGTAGTTTTTCCATTCATATGTCTAGCTCTTTTGGCTCCACGGTCTCGCCAAGTGTGAATTCAGGACGCTGCCGCGGCCAACCTGGTGAATATCGCCTGGAAAGAAACTCCCGCCTTTTGGGCCTGTCTCTTGAATGATGCTTGGGTCTTTCGTGTCCATTGTCACCACTGGCTGCCAAATTGCAAACTGCGGTCGAACCTCTTCTTCCACTTCGCCTTCAGGCGTGGGAACTGGCGGTGGGTATCCTGCGAGAACATCGACGGAGGAACGATTACTGAATTCCTTGAGATGCTTTCTCATGCGAATAAGCGTGGGGTCTCGAACGTAGTACAGATGAACGCGACGAGCCCGGCCTCGAGGGATGTCAGGGTCGAGAAGTTGACGAGGTAGCTCCCCCGAATGCGAATCGAACGAGAAACTCCAAGAGGTCAAGCGAGGGTGGCGGGAACGCGACGGTATCACTGGCGAACCGAATTGGTTGCAATCAGTCTATGCCGGTGGACGGAAAAAAGGGCGGTTTCAAGTGACAAGTCTCATTCACGTTAAGTGTGAGATACCCCGCACAGTGTTGATTACTCCGCACGAGGTCTGCCAGAGTGTTCATTAACTCTTCTATCGCGAGTTGCGCGAGTTGCGCGCTATTACTATCTAAGACTCTTCCGGCTCAGCGGCCTTGTCGTTGGCGTCCTCCTCGTTGGCAGGCTTCTCCTGCTCATTGGCGGCCTTCTCCTCCTCATCGGAAGGCTTCTGCTCCTTCTCGGCAGGCTTCCCCTCCTCATCTGCCGGCTTCTCTTCCTTCTCGGCAGCCTTCTCCTGCTCCTCGGTGAGCATCTCCCCCTCATTTGCTGGCTTCTCCTGATCATCGATGACCATCACCTCTTCATCATTGACCGGCATATCCTCTTCATTTGCTGGCTCCTCCTGATCATCGATGACCATCACCTCTTCATTGTTGACCGGCATATCCTCCTCATTTGCTGGCTCCTCCTGATCATCGATGACCACCACCTCTTCATTGCCGACTGGCATATCCTCCACATTTACTGGCTCCTCCTGATCATCGACGGCCATCGCCTCTTCATTGTTGACTGGCATCTCCTCCTCATTTGCTGGCATCGCTTGAACGGACTCGTTCATGGCGAGCAAGCCTTGCTTTGCCCTGAAGGACGCGAGGTCCTTTATCGCCAGATCCACGAAAGGCAGCTTGTTCTCGCGGGCAAAGGTTTCGTCGAACTGCATGCATGCCATCTGGGGCACCCAGCTGAATTGACTAAAGGTTTCGTCAGCATACCTTGGTTGTTGTGAGGTAAAGTCGTAGCCACTGTAGAACGAAAGGAAAGAGAAAGTGGCAGCAAGGAAGAGACAAGACTCGGGGCACCTACTCCAGCTGTTTTCCTCCATCATCTTCGCTGTACCAGCGCGAGGGACTGGTGTCGCGGATGAAATTCTCGATGCTGGTGGTTTTGTCCGGGACGCCTCCCGCACCACCGCCCTGCTTCTCTTCCTTCTTACTCCACGCCTCGGCTTCGGAGATAAGATCTCTCAGTAGGTCTTGCAGCCTCGGGTCAGTGTTGGGCGTGCAGATACGTATGGCAAACCAGGTCTTGTCGGGACTCCAGTAACACAAACAGACAAAGCCCTCCGTGTGAAAGTCATTTTTCTCGACAGGACGCAAACCCGGCACCTCGGGGGCAGGGATCCAGCAGGTGATCGAATCATCGTCGGTATCGGGTTGCTCGCCGCTCGAGGGGGTGGCCTTGGGGGCTGTAGGTGTCCGGGGGGTGGCACGTTTGGTTGGGCCACGTTTGCCAGCGGTGCGTTTGCCAGCGATGCGTTTGCCCGCGATGCGTCGGGAGGGCGCAGGAAGCGTGAGAGTGGAGTTTGTTGACGAAGGTGGCGCTCTGGATGCCTTCCCCATGCCTCGCGTGTGGACCATTGTGAAACAAACGAACTGGACTGTGGTGAAATCTGCAAGAGAGGAATTTTGTGGCTGAAGGGTTGAAGGGTTGAATAGCTCAGCCGCACGTAGTCTCTTGGCACCATCACGTGCCACCTGAGCCCTGCTTCCTTGGCACAACCGCGTGCCACTTGGAATGTCTTCACACAACAGAACCTCGATCTTTCAAGACAGTCCTTCGTATTGCGATTGAATCAATTCATTGCCTGTTGAGGCTATTCGCATCGCTGCGATCGTGAATAACAAGAAACTCGCGAATCCTTGTCAGGCTAGCTGACCGGTGTGTGTGAGTGTGTGTGGGCCTGTTGCCCTAACCCTGTTGGGAATGTCAGCCGAATAATTTTCCCCGCTTCACACAACAAGTCCGCAGGTGCGGCAGATGGAATGCATGGCCTCTTACACGAACAACCCTCATCACCTTCTGTCTTCCACCCTCGTCGATGCCTTTCTCACAAGATACTGCTCAGGTTGCCTCCCCGGCCGGTTCACTTACGCCAACTGAACCAGCCATATCCTTTACGGCCCGCGCTGCACCTGACGAACCCGAGACCGCTTCTCCCGAGCCTCGATGGTCCCCAGCCGCTTCACTTGCGCCAACCGAACTGGCCATATCCTTTGCGGCCTCCACTGAACCTGATGAACCCGAGACCGCTTCTCCAGAGCCGACCGCTTCTCCAGAGCTTCGATGGTCCCCGGCCGCTTCACTTGCGCCAACTGAACCAGCCATATCCTTTGCGGGCCCCGCTGTACCTGACGAACCCGAGGCCCCTTCTCCAGAGCTTCGATGGATCCTGCACTTCATATACTCGTGGAAAGGAGAAATGAAGAGCGTTGATTGTTACGTCTGTGAAGGGCCGAAGATCCCACTGAAGCAGAGCGAGGCCCTGTCCACTCCGGCCCTCATCATATTCAGTAACGCACACGTTCTGTTCACTGAACCGTCCCCGAATGACGCCTTTCGCGAGACACTTTTCCTCACCTCGAAGACACTAAGGGACTTCAGCAAGGATAGCTGGGGCGCCGTGAAGCCCGACAACATCAACATCTCCCTATGCAGTGTCGGTACGCTTCTCGGGGTGAAGACGTACAAGCGTACGAGGGCTATACGCAGGGCAGCTCGAAAGATCACGAAGGGCTGTATGGACATTTCAGATGATGACGGAGAATGGGATTGCACCGCGGAAGCTAAGGACCTTTGCGAGTGTAAAGATTGCCTTGGACGTTATGGGAGGCCAACTGGTGCTGGCAGTAAACGGGAGCTGGCGATTGATGATGAGGAAAGGGATCGGATCGAAAACAGGACCGTTACATTCACGCTGTAGACCATGGTGCTTGGGATATATATATATGGGAGGAGGGTTCTCAAGCAAAGGCGAAGAGTGTGCCTGTTTTATCATGTATGTCATTTACGTATCTAGATCCTTTGAATTAATTCCCAGCTTCCAGGAATGTCAGTTCCCCCTTTATTGCCTCCTCGATAAACCCGGCTTCACTACCGGAGATAAGTGAGGAAGATCAGCAACCTTCCAGCGAGGATGGGGATGAGGATGATGAGGATCAGTGTGTCATTGAGGAGACTGATGAAAAAGGGCCGTCTGCATTCCAGCCGGAAGGGAATGAGACCGATACCTCGGCCGATCAAGCCTCCAGTGGCGGGGAGGAGGAGCAAGAGGGCGAGGATGACGACGAGGTCAAGGAGATCTCCCCGGGTGTTGCGAGCCGCTTTACACGTGAGGTGTCAGTAGCAAACCCGGGTGGTTTACTTGGTGATATAGTAGTGGAACGAAAGAAGCTGAGACGAAACCAAGAGTATAGTCTGCGGAACTATACGTAAAGCGAATAACTAAGAGAAACTCGATTATTTGTGAACGAAGTTGACTACGGAGGAAAACTATGGAAAGTAGGACAACTATATAGTCAAAGAAATTCGTAGTGCTCTCCATGGCTCTGCTCAGCCTTGAGAGCACAATAGAGCAGGTCACGTGGGGGCCATGTGACCTTTTGTTCATGTCGTCACCTTTCCTTTGCCTGTGGTGGCCTCTTCTCTGGCCTGTCCGTAGCACCGGGGAGCCCGAAATACCTAAACAACGGACACGGCAACAGTAGGCTCTTCAGACCTCTGTCGTCGAAAGGAGGAGGGAGGGCCATCAGACTGCGGAAATACGGGCTTTAGGGGATGAGGATGGAGAAGCAGCTGGGTTCATGGCGCTGTTTGAGAAAGTCCATGTTTTCTTCGCTGCCTGGCCATGCCCGGGCTCAACGTTTCTCTATCTTACCAAGGGATGGGCGGAGAGGATCACCTCCTGGACAGGAGGATGGTAATAGAATAGGTATTTTAAATTGATAGCTTTATACGCCGCCTGATTGTGCCTATATAATGAGTGTGACACCCTTTAAGTGGCGATGGCGAAGGCCTGAAACTCAAGTAGGGACCGAAAATCTGGGTGAGGGGCATCCATCATTCCATCATTCCATCATGCAATCAGAATGGCTGACCTTCTGCAGGTACCAATTTCTTCTGAAAGCGAGACATGAAGCCCCGGCGGCACCATCTGGTGAAACGTCGCCGTGGTGATCGGGCCTTCTCTTCAGAAGGTGAGGGCCTTTGGACCACGAACGTGGCCAGAGGCGTGACCTTGGACCCAACGAGAATCCCATCCTCCTCCTGTTCCCCGGACCCGAGGGTCGACCCAGGGGGGACCTGGGTCAGCCCGTCGTCGACGTCAGACCCGAGATCTAGCCAGCTGCTGTAGGCATCTTCGATCAACTTGTCCATTGCCGACATGTGATCCGACTTTGAGTGTTGTTGAGAACTGCGAGTGGCGTCTGATGAATGCCCGTCGCCGTCGTGAGACGGATCCCGAACAGGGTCTTTGGGGTCATCGAGACCTTTCGCCAATTCCGCTCTGCTAATTTTCTTCGCGGGGAGCACGCTGGCTCCCATGGCCGGCGGCTCAACAGCTTTCATTGTTGTGTTGGCGTCAGCCCCGGTCGGCTGCTGCATTTCGCCATGACTCTCGAGCGGCTGCACAGCCTGTCTTTCTTCCCATTGAATTGCCTCGACGAGTTCAGCCGGGACTTTCCTCCTAATCCACCTGGAGGGGAGATTGTTGACCTTGCAGTAATAGTCGTCGAAGAGATTGTAGGCCTGCTCTAGGGTTCCGTGGAAGACGAGAGTGGTAAAATAACGGATTGTACGGAATTCCGATAGATACCGAGGGCCGTAGTCCAGCTCTCCGGACTGTCCGCATTCAAACCAGAACACCTTGGCGTCTGTGACAATGATCAGCGTCGTGTTCACCGGTACGCTGACGGGACCGAGATCAGCTTCTTCTCCCCGGCATCGGTAAATAAGCTTGCTGTTGCGGCTGAACAGGAGCTGAGGAACAAGAGCGGGACAAAAGCGATAGGGCGAGAAGAGGAAGGTGAGCGCGCCACCCTGAACGATGTCCGAGACTAAAGTCTCATACGAACTCAGTTCAAGGAGCGGTTCAGAACGCTTCTTGTTGAGAGCCATGATGATGAGGAGGAGGATTGCTGATGGCAGTGCGAGGAGATGGATGTGCAGAACGTATCGATCGCAGCGGATGGGTGGGCGAGATCAGGCGCACTTATGCGTGCTCTGGGACCTCGATCATCGGCTGATGGACTGTGATACCTCGTGGATGAGTAGCTGATTTTTAGCATACACCTTTGTATTGAATCACGTTCGGAAACTTGGAAATTCGCCTACTAGCGCTGGCGCCCGCCGTCCGTCTCCCCTTGTTCATGCGAACGCTGGACTAGGCTATCCCAGCCAAAAGTAAATTGTTACGTCGAACGAGATGAGATGTCTGTTTGATTGGGTGCCACACTCACTGTCGCATTGGCTGATTGCTCCGGCTGTCACAACCGCTAGCGCTTTGGATGCCACGTTAAGTGAGGTCTTGGCTGCGATGCTGGATGATGCCTTGAGCGTGCACCGCCCCGCTTCCGGCAATCCCATTGGCTGGTGTATGGGGGTCTGCAGGCGCCACACCGGCTATCACACCCGCTAGAGTCTTGGCCGTCACATTCGCTAGCGCTTCAAAACGACGCTAAGTGATGTCTTAGCTGCCATGCTTGGGACGATGCCTCACGACAGTGTCAACATGCAGCACTTTCCTTCGAAACGACACCCCTTGTCAGGGTTTCTGGCCTCCCCCCCCTTTTTTTTTCAGGTCGCCACTCAGCCGGACGTGTATGTCAACTCTGCGGGAGAAGATGACGAGATCATGGAAGACGAGTTTGAGGACGTACCTATGGGGCGGTGGCGTGTCAGATTTTCGCAGCCATGCTCACGGACCCGGATGGCCAGGGGATGCCCATACGGCCGAGGAGGACAACTACCCCTTCCCGTCCCTGAAGGTGTACAGCGCGATGTGGTGTCACAGCCGTTTGGAATATTATTCTCACACAATAAAACCGCAGCCTTTTCAGATAGTCCTTTGTACTGCAATTCAAATCAATTCATTGCCTATTGAGGCTCAATTGCATCGATCGTGATAAGGAATAGCTCTTTTCCCGTTCAATTCTCAAGACGACTGCCGTTCGCCTGACGGTCACCACGATGGCGACACCCACAATCACTTCTTCGGGGGAGCCAGCGCCGCCAAAGCGGACGCCAGATACCCTCTTTGCATTCAACTCATGCTTCTGTCTCGACCATGTTGAAAACCGGGACGAATGGGCGCTTCGGCGGGGCGACCTTTGTTTCTTTTTCGGCAACATGATTGTGCTGATCGACAACGACGGCGAAGAATACGAGTACTCCGAACCCCTTGTCGGTGAAGAACACACCCGCAGTTTCGTGGAAGAGGTATTCCACGAAGATCCCGCTGCGAAGTTCTACGTGGATCGGTTCATGGACAAGTGGAAAATGTGGGAAAAGCGTCGCTCCAAGGCAGAAACTTCATACCAGTCGACCAAGAAAGATGATGACGCGTCTACCCTCCCCAAGCCGGATGACGCATCTACCCTGTGCGAAGACGGGAACGATGTTTCCAATGGTACAGACCAGCAAAAGCCGAGGCCATTCTTCAGGCACCGCTCCTTCTTCTGTCCCGGCCCTGTCGATGAACGACACGAATGGGAGCTCCTCCCGGGCGATCTTGGTTTTTTCCTGGATGGAATCGTCGCGATCAAGGCTGACGGCGAGGAAACTGTTGCCAAGACCGACAAGGAACGTTATGACCTTCTCGATAAGAAATGCTATGGCGAAGAAGTCGTCGTTTTCCTTGTGTGCAGGACCTGGAAGCGACGCTGTGACGATGTCAGGGCTTCGCAATAGACCGCCGGACGAGAAGATGCGGATCCCTCCCCCAAAGGGGACGCGGGATCCGGCCAGGATGATGAAGATGGAGATGACACAACTCAGACCAGCGGGGATGATGGCGAGAATAATGGAAACGTTGCATCTGAAGACGACATGCCGGCCGCTGAACAGCTCACGAAGAAGCGGAAGACTCACGGCGACGAGATGCGAGCCGCAAAGAAACGATGATGGACCTCGACGCTTTGGTTGGACCTACAGCTGTATAAGCCGGTGACCTACCTCTTTTACACTTCAGCGGGAATATGCGGTTCAGGATAGCTGTGAGATGTTGCGTACGTTCTATAGAGGCATAATATACTTGTTATGCTATCTCGAAGCTCTGCCGTCCTAACTTCTTGAGCATCCTACTCAGCGTATGTTCTTCCTCGGCCGAGACATCAGACCCAAGAGCACGACAAAGGAAAGAGATGGTCTGTTCCTCGGTGGAAACACCATCCTTCTCAACCACCTCGTAATATGTGTCCACGCCGTAATCCGCCTGCCTGTCATGAGCCTCCTCTGGTGTCCTATCCCCATCCCCCTTAACAATGAGGACCTGATCGCACTCCGGAAACTGCCAGCGAACGCAAATCATTCCTCGTTGCAAAGGAGTTTTTTCAGCCAGCTCCTGTCCTCTTTGCAGCGAAGTTTTGTCATCAAGCGTCAGGGACGGAGCTAAATATCTTGCGGCTTTTCGCAGGGTGGGACTGATCATCGTGAAGCCTTTTGAAACGACCGCCCCGGAAAAGTGCTTGTCCAGTCTGAGTGGAAAATGCTTTCCAGTGTAGAAATCATCGTAGTAATCATCCAGGTCGTGGTAAATCACCTGGTTGCCTCGTTTCCGGTGCAGCATGGTGATCCGTAGAAGTTTTCCGCCGAAATAAGGCATTCCGTCTTTCTCCCGCAATACGTCTTTCCCGGCGAGATTGAAGACGGTCGGACGATGGTTGGCCGGAAGCGGTTGACTACCATCTGGGACATGCTTGACGTCTGTTAGCGTCAGTAGGATTAGCAGACGAAGAAAGCTTACCGGATCGCCTCGCCGACTTTCGGAGGAGGACTTTGATGCCTTTGCTTCTTGCTGTCGATCAACTTCCGGGTCCCACCTCAAACTCTTTTTAACCATTCTGCTAAGGCTACCGAGCGTAGTTAGGTTGCGTAGAGAAAGCCTTCTTTGAAGGTCCTTTTATCAATGTGGTGCTCGTCAGTGACGCTAAGCTCTCCAGTTCCTCAGACCAATAACTACCGCTTCCAGGTGTTGCTGCACACCAGACAGTCTGCCAACATGGCGTAGATACTCACTTGCCACGTCACCCATCCCCTACTGTGACCAGCGGGCTGAATGGCTTCCAGGGAGGTGTGATGAACAGCGACTTGAGTAACATTGATACATTCGAGCGGTACGCCTGACCCGTGTGTCCGACCATTGCGTCCAACCGTTGCCCTTACCCCATCAAGTCACCGTATTGGGACCTTCCGTCCAACGGAACCAAATGATGAATTGAAGACGATCCTTTCCGTTCTGAGTGAAAGCTAACGGCACTCAACTCGCGATCACGACCAGGTGAGGCACGCTGCTGGATGCGCTGGCATGGGGCCATGTCTTGGGTGCCGCAACCCTGCACCTGATGACTCTTCCTCAGACACGCCAAGCCCAATCCTTGTTGGCTTTTGGATAGATCAAAGAAGTCAAAAACAGGTTATACCTCATTTACGAAACGATAGTTCATCTGCAGGTCGACGGAATGGCCCCCCCCAGCCGAACGCCACGATAGACGAGTAAGACACAGACTGGCCTTGGCTTACGCTACAATCAGGTCGGGCCAGCGTCTTGTACCACCCTCCTTCAGGAGACACCCATGCAGACACCGATCAAGACATAACCTGGGCACCACCTGCAGCAAGCTGCACCACGACATCCTTCTCCCAACCTTTTGCATTCCTCAGACACCGACACACACAAACAATGGCTGACCAGTCACTTCCCTGGCAGCTGGTCAACGGCGACATACGTGTCCAACACACACTCGGCGGAGCCCAAGTCGACATGACCTGGTCCAGTAAAGTACCCCGACGCGAGTACATCGCCACATCGAACCTTGAGCGAAGCCTGGTCTATTTTTTCGCCGGGCCATCCATCGATATCGCGGAGGCACTCCTTGAGCAAACCTCTGGGGAACTGGAGCCGAAATTTCGCGACTCACTGGAAAAGCACTTGAAAGAACACCCGCAGCAAGTCGTGCAAGCGCTGGTAGAATACCTGTCGCCGTGGCAATTCACTTCTCTCCGGATCATCTGTACGGACCAAAGTTACTGGCGGCTTCCGGGAACTTACATCCCCGAGTTCATGGTGACTTCCAAAGAGATCGTCTGCGATCCCCTGTATCCTCAATACAACAACTACACGCCAAGGAACTTGCTGCAGTACGCCCATCCTTATGCGACCAAGGAGCAGTTGGATGATGTCATGAAGCAGTACAACGACCAGTGGACAGAAATGTATCAGCAGCAGAACCAGGGTGTGGAGGAGACCTCTGCTGGTGGACGGAGCATGGTCCAGTATCATTCATGGTCCTTGCACAATCAACGGGGTGGCCCCGCTCCTCCATTCTCAGTGATATGGGGGTCCTCAGCGATATGGGGGCCACCAGCCTAGGGGTATTTGTAGGATAGGCCTTCACAAGGGCCCTGTCTTGGGTCATGGAGGGAGGATGACGAGGATGACCCGGCAAGCGCGCTGGTGCTCATCGCTATGAGCTTGGTTGGGTTGGGCATGAGACGTGGGAGGCCTGAAAGCGCCGATCTCTATACTGTTCTTAGTTGATGTATCCAATGATTGTACCACTTGACCTTGGCGCCTTCAGGCCACCCACCGGTACCCACGTGTGTGTGTGTGTGTGTGTGGGGGCCACGATATACTCGTCCGGCATTCGTTCTACGCTTCCCCGGCGCCACACCGCTCATCCGTATATGCCAAGGCGCTAGGCTCGCTTAGTAGGTAAAGCGTCCAATCAACGCCTCAGGATCGTTTCAGCCCTCAAAAAACTCCACAGATGCCTGAAGCAGCGGTCTGCCAGCTTGCAAGAGAGACGGGAAACAATACAATAGAAAAGAAAGGATGTAAACATCACCTTGGATCAGGAACGCAAATCTCCATCAGAGTTCTCTCTCCAAGCTCTTCCATTTTCCACTTTGTCGTCGTCGTTCGCTCAGAGTTTCTTTCCAAGCTTTCTTCAAACTTTACCTTCCTTTCGCTCAAAGTATGCCCGCATCGACAATGGCAGAGCATCTCGTGCTGTGGCAGAACACCTACAATACCGACGGCCACGGAAACCCCATCAAGGCCGAGTTTATGGGACAGTTCGGGATATCACCCGTGCGTCTCGTGTTTTGCAAGGAGGAGCCATCGGCTGATGATGTGGAACTCGCCCCATACGGGGCGACCTCGATCTTTTTTACCAGACAGACACTCGACTGGGACGCGGCTCTCGAGTTCGACAAGCGTGTCATCGTGTTTGGCAGTCGCGAGTATCGGGAATGCAATTCGCGCAGAAGCCAGCCCTGGAGCGAGGAGATGAAGCCGCAGCAGCACTCGTTCCTCCCCATTGAGCTCGCGGTGCTTCACGACCCGACCATCTACCTCCACGCAGCGGCTACATTGTTCCCAGACGTGACGGAGGATCAACTGGAGGCGATCAAAAGGGCCATGAAGCCCCCGCCGTCGCCGCCCCTGTCCGTTCTTCCTGTCTCGGAACCGCAGGAAGAGCCTGTCCAGACACCCACTCCGCCAAACACACCGGCTCCCGAAGAGCTGGGTCTGGAGTCTTTGTCTCTGGGAGACAGTGCTGCGACTCTCCCTGCAAAGGTCATGAACATGGGCGTTCGAAGGCAGCGGTCTCGAGGCCCTCAGCAACAACGAAAGCTACTTCACCATCGGCGAAAATGCATCACGCACCAGAGGCAAGGACCCAGGGCAGCGAGTTTGGTTCGCGGCGGTCGGAGGAAGGACGGCGTCGAACGTTTACGGCCAAGGCACAGGTTGGGCATATGGAGGAGTCTCGCTCTTGGTAATGTGGTCGATTGGGACAACATCGCGGCTCGATGTCAAAAGCGCACTGTGTTGCCTCCTTCACCCGGTGAAAGGAGGCATAGCTTTTCGTAAAGCAGCCGTCGAGCTGCCTTACAGTCCTCTCATTCAATAAATAAAAGTTATCTTTCCCCAGGCCTACCGAAGCTTCGTACACCGAATCGACCGAGTATCTAGAACCGTAGCGGCCGGGATTCACCGGCGGTTTCGCTCACATGGAAATGACGTATGACGGTGATGCGGGGTAGATGATGGTCTCCTCATTCGAGGCATTCGTGCCCTTCCACTAGGTGAACCAGCCAGAGCGCCCACCCCCCCAAACGAGTGACGGTGAGAGAAACTTGCAGAGGCGGAGGAAGGCTCCTCCACCTTTCGACCTTTGGGCCTCGACATCAAACACCCACCCTCATTTTCCCACTATTTCCAAGGCAGCTGGGTGGATACGTACGTGAGACTATTGGTGGAGGGCAGCGCCTCCTAATCAAACCAGAATGGCTGGCTGGCTGGCCGGATCCACAACTACGGCGGGTCTTTGGGGCCAATAATGTGTGAACCAATCGAAATGTTTCTGCCAAGGACAAGTCGCTGCCCAATTGAGCCAAGCCCGCAGGAGACACGGACCCACCACTACTACGACCGGGTCTTTGAGGCCCAACAATGTACGTAAACCAATGCTAAATGGATACCCACCCTACTTCGGCCTGTCTGTGGCCTGTCTGTGGCCTGTCTGTGAGGCCCAGCAATATGAACCAATGATGATGTCTTGACCAAGGACAGTCCGTTTCCTAAGTCAGAGAGACCGTCTGTCCGTACGAGGCCTGAAGCAAAAGGTCCTGCCTGCATGAGGCACTCCACCACAGCCAATAAATTCGTGTCCCACCCTTTTTGGTGGTTGCACAATTGAGCAACGCAAAAGGTCGTCTGCTGTCAATGAAGGGGCCAAGACCTTCACCGCTCCTTTTTCGTGGTTACACAAATGAACAACGCAAAAGGTCGCCTGCTGTCAACGAAAGTGCCTTGGAAAGACCTTCACCGCTCTTTTGCGTGTCGAATGAAAAAACCCCTGCGGGCCTCGTATTGCGAGACCCGTATGGGGAGGCATATCGTTGCCTGGGGAAAGCCCAGGTCATTTAGCAAAGCTGCCTCTGGGTGGATCCAGCAGAGATGTGCGGCCTCCAGGTTCATTCCCTTGTTGAAGATCCATCAAAGATCGGAAAGTGGCCGGCCGAGAACACTCGATGTCAGTGAGGGCTTGCAGATGATACGAGTCGATTGCCAGGGTGTATGTTTGGACTATTGATGCACAGCGGTGAGTTGCCTGCAGGTTGACAGTCCAGCCCACTCCCCTCCCCCATCAGGATTTTCAGCTCTGCACACCGACAGAGTCCCAAAGGCCTCACTGAGGCTGATCACAGTGAAATTACATCCTGCGTCTCGAACCGGCACTTTCGACCGGACATTCAGTTGACCTTCCATGTAGGCGTTCAGGGTTGGACAAAGATGACACAATTGGCTTCAGGTGAACTGTGGGTACTAGTTCAGCGCTGCCAGCGGCGCTGCCCGTAAGTGGAATAGCCACTGTTCGCTTCGAGACGCGAATCGCGGAGTTGGAGAAACTAAATGGGGGGAGGCTTAGTGGGCGCTGCTTAGTCATCTGGAAGACCCGATTGGGCATTTGCCCCGAAGTGGAAACTATTCGGGTGACCTTCCTCGTAGGGGTAGGGCAACACTGCTTTCGGACGTGATCCGGAACATTTGGTCTTGGCCCCCAACGTAATAACTGACGTCAGGTCTCAAGCACGTGACAGGATCACCAATGAAGGGGGAGCGGAGATGAAGATTGATATGATAGTTGCTACCAACGCTGCAAGCAATCCCTTCGAACGGTCATCCCAAGGTGTCAGCTAACCTTGTTGACGCCAAATCTTTCGCGGTTTGCGATACTTTGCCCTAAAGTTGACTGACTGTCGACAAAGGGAACCCGGGACGCCGACAGGTAAATTACGTCTCGCGATCTTGGGGAGGTTCATGTGAAGCCCATCGCTAATGGCCAAATTCAATCCCGAAGATATACTCGTAATATCCGCCGTCGGCTTCTTTCTCTTGAGAGAACTCCAACTGCTATCTCGAGACAATCGCTCGCTCATCAGGGCTCAGTCCTTGCTGGTCTTCCGAATTGCAACCCATCTCGGCCTTTCAACCTCGTCAATATTCTGTCTGGCTCTTCTGGGTTTACCAGTTCTCGGACATCAGCCAAATCAGATCCTACCTTTTTCAACACCGGGCTCGGTGCCCTTATAGCTGCCGTCTTCGGCGTCATGAATGACCGCTGGCTAGCTGGGCTGGTGATGATCAGCTTCGTCATCCCGGCCTGCCTGAGGGTGCTGTTCGACGTCTGGTGGCAATCCCAGAGCTTTCAAAGACCTTCCGGCGCCTCTCTTCATGATCACGGTCGGGGTCAAGGCTTATATGCAATATACGACATCTAGTCAACAGCGACGTGTGGTGGACATACAAGGGGGCAAACAGCTTTCCGCCAACTTTTCAATGCCGGGGCTTTCCATTACGGGATCGGAGCAGATGCTTGAGCAAGGTCTGGCTCACTCAGATATCCAGCAGCAAATTGTACGAATGTCCCATCGAAAGAGACGCACAGAGGAAGGTATATACTTGATAGTTTGGCATGAAGAGGAGGAAATTACAAGCTTCCAACCTCAGTCCGATCCCCATCGATGCGCCCATCTCTCGCTCTCTACTCTCTCTCTCCTCTTCGGCTCGGCTCGGCTTGCAAACCTCGTCCATTTCGTCTTATTCCGTCTCCTGGGGTCTTCTTCTTCTTCGTCTTCTTCCAGGACCTCGACTATAAGAGCACCACCGTCCTCGCAATGCCCTCGAATCGAATCTACATCAAAACAAAACGCTGATGTCTGACGCTGTTTCAACATCGGATTAAACCGAGAATTTGAGATTCGGTCTGGCCCGGCAGCTAGCTCCCTGCACCACTGCGAGATGACGAGCTATCCCAAAATCTCTGCAATGCTTTGTCGCCAGGGCTAGTCACTAGTGCCTGAAGGGGCTCTGACTCGGTTGATTGAGACCGACATCTCTGTCCGAGCCATCGAGCACACAAAAGGAGGTGGTGCCCTTGCGTTCTTTGCCCCTACCCGCACCCCTGCTCCGGCCACCGACTCCGCGCCTCTCCTATGCCACCTGTCGCTACCAATGGCGGCTGCTCCCAGACAGCCGTGCCCGTGACCAGCACACGCGTGTGGTTCTGCCCAGCGTCTTGCGAAATGAGAACGAAGTCGCCAATTGATGGAAGGTCAACGAGTCGACTGACTCTTGCCACGAGATGAGGAGGACGGAGCTGAGCAACAAAGAATTCGCCAAGTAGCTCTCCGATATAAAGCCTCTGAGTAACCACCAACCTCGGGATCCTGATTTTGTGTCCTGCCTTTTGATATCAAGTAGGCCCAAACCAGGGCCGCACCACCTCCGCAGGCCTGGGTTCTCGACACCTCGCTCCGAAAGTACTAGGTTGTTCTTCCGGACCATGTCCCAAGGACCACCAGCCTCCTAGGAGGTCAGCAACAGGCTCCAGGAAGGAACTCAGCAGAACGGCCAACCCGGCCCAATTGGGGCCCCTCAATTCCCGTCGCCAACCTCATCGTCGCCCGGGCAGCTCGTCGATCGAAAGCTCCATCATCTTTCCCTCGAGTGTCTTCTTCGCCTGTTGATTCTCTTGTCCCCCCCAGTCAGTGTCCATGTGGCTTCCCCCCAAGACCTTTGTGGATCATGTCTCACCAAAAATTACCAGATTGAAGCATCGGTGAAAGGTATTTCTGGGCACGTTTCCAGAAGGTCTTGCAAGGGGCTTTGATTCGCCTTGATAAGCAATGAGTTACTCATTGGCGTTGGAGTTTGTTTTTTTCTAGCGTCTTGGAGATAATATGCGTGAGGGTGTGTTTTTCAACTGAACGTCAAGGTCGGGCCCGGCCAGCTTTTGGGTCTACGGCGATCGGGGACCGTCGTCGCGAACAAGCCCTCTGAAAATTGAGTGACGGGAATAGCGGCACGCCTGCTTTACGGCGTCGTGGTAGTTCTGCATGTCGATGTCGCACCTCGCGGGTCCGCGGCACTGTCACCGTCTCGAAATCGTCGTCGTTGCTCCTTACCCGTCCCTCTTTCGGTGGCATCATGGGTGTCCGTCCAGTGGCCGAGTCGCTCTACCGTACGACAGGTTCCAGCATCGCCAATCGGCACCCGCCGCCTCCACCACTGCCGGGACAAAGATAAGTCTTGGTGTCCTATAGACACAATTTGTGGTCTGTGATCCATGTGTGTTGATGTAGATAGATGTCGCAAAAACTCGATGATAGTTCTCAGAAATCCATATACAGTATCCATCCCATCCCGTGCTTCCGTCGGCTGCGCTTGTCCACTTGGCTATCACCATGTTGACACTGCAGTTGGATATCATATCGCCAGTGATACCAACGGCTAAACAGGGAGAGGTACATTCTCTGAAAACAGCTCGACCAAGAGGACGGACGATTGCAGGCAGTTTATTTGGTGCCGGCCATCCATCGTCTGCGTCTTCGTCTTCGTCTTCGTTTTCGTCAGCGGCGTCAATGAAGGTCGTCCAGTACGGGGCCCTTAACAAAGGTTGGATTGGATGCAAAAGAAGCGATGCTGAGCTTGCTCGTCACGGATGTAGGGCGATAGATAGCCCGTTGCAGGTCTTGTCTCGCTCGCTCGCTCGCAACAAGAGCAACAACTTTGAGACACTCTTGATTACATTCATCCTCCTCAGGCTATCCGATAGCCTCTTCCCCGTTTGTGATATACCTCGCAAGTCAATTTCTGCCACCAAAGCAATGCCCTTTTTGTGGCGAGACGTTTCATGCTGTAGTGGTGTAGTAGACCGGTAGCAGCTGATAGCTAGTAAGGGTGAGTTGATCGAAAGCAAGACTGCCGCATGATGAATTCTAGCCCTGGCCCGTGGAGCCTATTTCAAAAGTATTCAGGGCTGCCTGTCGGCCGGCTTGGTGGTCCGGAGAGGGTACAATCAAGTCGCTTGGTAGAGAGCTAGGTATTGATCTAAAATTCCAAATCGACATTGGCACTTCCAGATGATCTATAGCATAGGGTCCCAATCTTCAAGCATCAGAGGTCGAAAAGATAAAACACAACAGCCCCATGAGTAAGTAAGTACTGTTACACTCGGCGTTCATGGTGTTCCTGAGATCGCTCAAAGGCCCTGGCAGGGCATCACCAATGTGACAGCCGTCGTGCATAATCTAGTATAGCATTTTCGTCTTCCATGGAGAGTGATCATTATGGAAACTATCGTCAACGTCAAGAACACATGTACCGAGCGAGGTGAGTGAGAACCGGGGGCTATTCTCCTCGCCTTTGGTATTCAAACTCCTGGCCACAACCCCCGCGCCCAGGGTGTTGCATATTGATGTTTTTCCAGCGCGAGTTCGCCATGCGCCTCTTCGCCAAACCCGGCGACATCAAGCCGCCTCCGCAAGTTGTTTGACCGTGTAGCGATCGAAATGACTTACTGCTGTGGACTGCTTGCTCCGCCGCGCACAAACTTGGGGTCCCCCCGAGCTTGAGTTGGGCCGCGGTCTTCAACCTGTGAGTGCCTTCTCTGTCCTGTAGAAGATTCACTGATGGTGGTTTAGAAAAGTGAGTATTCGAGACATTCGACGGACCGGACCGAATGTGTGCTCATTTCCGCAGCTTTTCAAAGTCCGCCATGGCTAGCAATGTCGTTTACGCCCAAGGCCTGAGCTGCCTCAAGTTCAGAGGTACCTTGGTTTGTGTAGGTGTGTGCCTGAAGGTGCCCCCATTGCTCCACCTTCGGTACATGTAAACCACTCGCCACGTCGAACGGCTTCTTCTGCGCCTTTTCTCCTTGCGATTCGAGCTTGGTGTGCATTCCACGCCATCTTGTTGCGCTTTGGTAAGGTAAGTTGAAGCCCGAATACGACGAGAGTCTCGACAAAGGTCGGCTGTGGACTGTGGCGGCATGGACGGTCCTCCGGATGTTCGTCTGGAATCAATCGCCTCTGTGGGTGAGGCAGCGATGGGCGCGGAATGTCCGCCTGCAGACTGTGATATTGAAGTCCTATGCTGAGCCTGCCACTGCTGTTGCCTCTGAACATGGAACGTCCTCGGCGATTAACCTCGCTCGTAGAAGGGGAAAGTCGGGGTTTCATGATGGTGTTTCAGTTGTCGTGTCTGCACCGAGTACTCAATGATTCGTGGTTTACTCCCAGCTAGCTCTAGGGTCCTGCCTGGCCCGACCAGACGAGGTGGACGAAATTCGTTCGGCCGGCCTTTTGGTGGTGGTGGCGACTACACCAGCAGCCGCGCACTCGAGCTTCTGATCAACGCTGTCAAAGAACCCTGAAAGGGCCAACAGTAATGATGATGAAAAGACAAGATTGACCAGAAACAGAAGAGATATTGTTGCAGAAAAAGGAGGGATCAGAACCGAAAAGCGCAGCAGCGTAACTTTCGATTGCGAAACGGCGCGAGGTTCGCTCGACCAATTGATAAACACAGTCGATTCGCAATGTGAAGAGATGGCAAAGCCTCCGAGATGTATCGAAGTGCTCCAGTCGAAGAGCAAGCTTGGATCGGGGGACGTCGGACGTTGGAGGACAAAGCATGGGAACGAATGTTCTCTGGACGAAACCAATGACATGGACAGCCGAGGACGTCCATCTGTTGAACAATACCCTGGAGCTGAGCGGCGACACCGGCCTGCAGCTTCCCGCCATACACCGCGAGGAGTCGAGGCATGAAGCATCACGTCTTGCTCCTGTGACAGTATTTGAGGATCTTGTCCGCCATGGGTCTTTTCAAGGAAGACTTCATACTTCCCTCCCTCCGACCTCGGGTGCAAAGAGACGTCGCCGGTGAGCTTGGTGAGCGACCAGCCTGGGATGTGGGAGGTAGGTCCCTCTCGATGCACTTGGCTAGTCCGTTGACGTTCTTGCCCCTCGGATTCCTGGTGGCATAACCCATGACCGGTAGGTCGATGATGCCGGCGACGTAGACGCCAAAGCGGGCGTGGAGGGCATCCGAGTCGTTGCGAATGTCGAAGAAGACTGTCAAGATGTTTGAAGACTCAGCCCAGCACCATTTCAAGGTTGGTCCCGTCTACCGGTAGCGTGGTGAGGTCGAATGCCTTTGCCTTGAGCCGGTGGACTGTCGACAAGGTTGGTAAACGACTGGGCTGGGCGGCATCGGCAACTGCATAATGGCAATCGTGCCTGAGACCGACTGCGATTGACGCCCTCGAGGTCCACAAACATCAGCTGGTCCTGCTCTGTCCGCATACGTTTCGTGATGAGAGTGAGTAGAGCGGGATGTTTGGCTTCATTGTCGACGACACGGTGCCATGGTGGAAGAACTCTCGCTCGGGCAACAGGGATTTCGACATCGACATCGACATCGAAATTTCGATATGACCACTTTCCATTTTCATCTATGGACTTGAGGATGGCCCTGAGCCACGCCGCTGCACCCTGAATCGCATCGGCAGGAGACTGAGCATGGTGTCATTCGGCCAGAGCAACGGATCAATCGTGCGCACATCGTCACTCATGCTCACACGTCGAGCTGAACCGCCATAAAGTCGCGATTCAAACAAAGTCCGCAGACCTCGCACTCTTGCAAGTCAATCAACAGACGCTCCTCCTGTCACTATCTCTGTAATTGCTTGCAAGCGCTGTCAGCCAACGGAGATCAACTGCTTCGCCATTGACAGTTGCACCACAGCCTTGCGCCTAGAATCGTTGATATTCAAGACAGTGTCAGACGTCCGCCTCGTACCAGTGATGCCCAGGGCCACGTCCGATGATTGTATGCATGCAGAGAAACTCGATGCACGTTGGTTGTGTTGGACCCATGATAATACGCCACAGACTTCCGACTCCTTTTGATGTAGGACAGTCCTACAGGGCACACTCGATGAGACAAGGCCGTTCTTCTCGTACGCGAAGATGGCGCCGTCTGCGCTCCGTTAGGCTGTGCATATGAGGTCAGGCCTTGGGATTGTGTGTGGCGATCCGGAGCCATTTGGTCGCGGACGCCATTCAATGAGCTTGGGCTTGTTTTCCCTGATTTTTATCGGGTTCCTCGCCTAATATCCCTTTCTTCCACTCCATCGCGTAATCTGATATGCCTTCTGAGGTTGGCAGGGCGCGAGTAAGGGTTGTCACAGATCTCACGCCTGAGATTTTGCTGGATCAGCCTTCTGGACCGTGGCGATGTGTCTGTTGAGGACCACTCTTTAGCTATCTTGAAGCGGGCATCACATGTACCAGTGGTCACTTACGGGGCTTCTCAATTTTTCTTCACTCAGACCGCGTCAGCAGTATACCTCTTGATCACGATCCGGGTCGCGATAGAACATCAGGTTTTGCCGTTGAGATTCTGGTCTCCGTCTTGACGTTGAGGGGGTCTTGTGCTTGCCATGATGGGGTTCCGGAGCTTTCGACTTGGGTCGTCAGACGACACCTGTGCGGTCCGAAGAGGGCGATGGATGGGGAGGCTGACACGTTAGAGTGATGAGTGGTGGGTGTGAAGCTTCACCTTTCCGCTGTCCGATCAGAAGCAGCTTGGTGCGTATCTCGTCTAACAGCGGGTGGTCGTAGCCGTGTGCTGGTCGTCTTCGTCGTGCCCACGGCTCTAATATTCTACCGGTGCGCTTATCCTTCGGGACCGACCGAGATCTCCAATCTCTGACTGGTTTTGTCTTGATGTCCATCTCTTTAAGTATCGTCCGACCTGTGTGTGACTTTGTCTTCTTTTCGTTCGGGCGTTTCGGGAGGATCTTTCCGCTGCGTGTGGATTTCTCGCTCGATCAGGGGGACACTGAGGATTTATGGCACGAACTCAATGCCTTGACGACTGATGATGGGGATGAATTCACGAGCTGTATCACCGGCTCAAGATCGGCCAGGGCCTCGAGGAGGACCTGCTCGACACGGAACTGTTTGCGAAATATGCTGTGGAATTTGAAAGAGCAGAGAGTGACATGGCACGATTGTGGACAAGCGCAGTAGACAACTCGGGAGATGAGGACGAGTCTTATAGCCAGGCTCAAGCCGCGTTATACAGTAGCTGAGTAGTCAAAGATTCCAGCAGCCGAGTTGGCCGAAGTAGATCTCCTTCCGAGGCGCAGGTCGATGACGTGCCTCCTGCTTTGACCAATCACGCGAATGCACGCATGTATCGTGGCAATGACGCTTCCAGCGCTTTGTTGCTCGCGTCATACTGTAGAGAAGAAGATGTCTGTGGCGGCTATATCAACAGCTGATGTCGTTTTAGGACTTGTATCCATGTACTCGGGAATCAGGCTGGGAGCCTCGTCAGCCTCAGCCTCGCCAACTTCAGCCTCGCCGACCTCAGCCTCACCCATCTCAGCCTTGCCCCTGATGCCAGAAAGGACGCCTCGTTCCGGTCGATCATGTCTGCCACGGGCCACAGGTCGAATCAGACGAGGGGGCGGTGCCTTTCTTGCCCGTCGACGGGTCGATCAGAACTTTGTCCCTCGCGCCGAGGACACACGTCGCTGGGCCTTTTCAGTCCCCGGATGGTCGACCGGTGGATCAAAGGAAGACCAGATGGTTAGTGGTGGTCGTGATTGTCTTGGCCACGCCGGTGACGCTGCCCTCGGTAAATCTCTCCTGACTCGGGAATTCTGTAGTCAGGGCGAAGGTTGTTATGTGAAAGAGTCGAGATCAAGGGTCTCTACGCCCCGGTCGTGACACCTATTGGGGATGCTGCCATGCGAGCCCAGAGTCGGGCTTATGGAGAGGCCAGTGGTCCGCTGTCTCTCTGTGAAGAGTATCTGGTGGCGGAAGTGAGGTTCATGAAGCCGCACGGCATGGCAAAGTCTGCCTGCCATCGTTCGTACCAGTAGTAGTAGGTGGTTTCGGGGGAGGAAATATGGGATCTCGAAAACGTCCAATCTTTCGTGGACGAGCTGCCAAGTATGCTTCAAGGCTCGCTCAACTCGACAGAGCTGGTCAACTTCGCGCCTGCCTGAGCCACTTCTCCAGGCGGAGAACCTAGAGAGCGGAAAGCCATCAAGTTGAATTCCGTAGGGGAGCTGGAAGATGGAAAAGATTGCCACTGCGGCCAAGAGCGCGGATCTATTGTCGGTGTTGACAAGGTTCGACACCAGTGCGGCTTCGACGATCAGACAGAGCTCAATTCATGCCCGCGCTGGCTATCTTTCGTTCGTTTGACATCAGCCGGTGCCGGGAGGTTGGATTTTGATCCTCCAGACTTGATAGAGTCGTAAAAGAACGGTGCGCTAGGAAAACCGTGCCGGTCAATCATTGTTCAAATCGACTCGGCACCAAGTGGTGGATGATATGCGCAGTCTGGGATTGTTTCTCAGTCTTTGGCTTCTCGAGAGAATGAATGACGGACGGTTGATCTCAAAGGATGTGTCGGCATTCCAGTCCTCCTGAGGCCATGGATCGTTAGTTCAATCCAACATGCGAACAACCAGCTCAAGGGGACACCCGAGCAAACAAGCATCCATAATGGCAGAAACACAGAGCAATCAAACCAATGGTCCTTTCTGCCCGCTCGCGTAGCCGTCGGAGCTGGTGTCGATGTGGCTTTCAATAATGTCAAATCAGCTCGTTGTTCATGCAAGTCTCCCCGAACAAACTGCGTTGCATCCAACTCGGCTTGAACCAGCGAGCGGCCAGCCAGCCCATTCTATGAATCCACCAGAGGAAATCGTTGCGGAGGAGGCGTTGATATGTAACAGCGACCTCATGGTGTTGGCGAGGCCACTATCGAGATCGGCGAAATGGATGAGATTCAGATGTCCAGGAAGTGGCGAGGTTCTCCTCGCTCGCTCGCTCCTGAAGGGACGCGAATGGCTCTGCTGATTCGAATTCCAACGGACGGCAAAGGGGTGGAGGATTTCACACATGTGGTTGAAGAAAGGAGATGAGCCGACCAGTCGTATCATCGGCCACGAGGTCCTCGACTGACGGAAGTGCCGTAGATATGTTCCGCCGCTGGCAGCCACTCGCAGTCACTGACAGCAACTGTCGTCCTCGTCGTACAGGACGATGGTCGGAACCACGTAGTACACGTCGCCGTGCACTTTATGGTCGTCGGGGTGTTGATAGAGAAGCACGCGTTGCCAACCGACCCTACCGTAAGGGATAATCCCAGGCATCTGCGAGCGGGACACCGCAGGTTCATCCACAAAGGTCGGTCCGGCCTCTTCATGGGTTTTCTAATCATATTCCGGAGCTATCGCAGCCTTTTCCGCATCGCGACCCATCGATCATGGCGTTGGTGATGGCAGTGGTGTCATCGGTCACACCGTCGCCAACTGCGCCAGTGTCTTTGACATGACGGAAGATTCTTGTAGCCTTATTTCGCTTGGATTCTCCAAAAACTCACGTACAACAGAGCAATGAGGACAATTTGTCCGATCACACGTCGTCGATTCGCTGGAACTGAGACACTGCCTTTTCAAATCCCTGACGCAAGGCTCTCATCAGTACGAAGGAGCACGTCAATGTTAAAGGATGGGAGTCGAGCTTCTCGTTCGTAGTCCGCGTGGGAGTGATTACCCGGATCAACCACTCGTGGGGCCTTGAGCTGTGGAATCCGTGGGATCTCCTCGAAGCCATTATGGAGCTGTGGGTGGACCTACTTGCTTGCTCGCCCAACGTTACGAGTAACGAGTAAGGAGTATCGAGTCGGCAAAGAGGTCTCCACCAAGTGTCGTTCGTTTTGGATCCTGGTATCAAAAGAACCACACGCAGCCTCGGAAGCATCAGGAAGAATTCCCAGCATGAAGACTGTGGAGGGCCCCAGGCCTGTTTTGTAAATTCATTGAAGGCGGCGAGATTGAGAGGCTCGTCTGACGGGAGCATGTATCCAGTGTGAGCATGTATCTGTATGTCTCAATGCACACGTCGCATGCTCATGTAGTCGTGCCGGGGATCGAGGTTGGCCATGGCCACGGCGACTGAACGATGGTTGATTCTTGACATACGTCCCAATGTTCTCTGGTTGGCGGGCCATTTGCCTGTCCATTGCGGTGGCCCAGATGGGGTGTTGAGCACAAAGATCTGGGATTGAATGGTGGCATCGCCGCCCTCGAGCGCCTCACTCGTGTTTGCCAGGAGAGATGGCCAACGAACTCGGACCACGTCTTTTCCCGGCGTCACAGTCAAGGTCTCAGTGCCTGTCTTTAAGCGAGCGACAAGGAGTCAATGATCACTCCTTTCGGACAGGATAAAATGCAACTTGCCGCCGAAGCGCCCTTTGTCTGGTCGGCCGACTTCTGTGACACGCTCGTACCAGCCCAAGATATACTCCCGACCAGGCGCGTTACCTCTTTCTCGAGGAGAAGCCTCTGTTGCTCCCCAAAGAGCTGGGTCGGCTGGGTCGCAAGCCATTCAGATCGTTTCCAGAAATGGATGCATCAAGACCCCCGTCATCGTCCTAAGTCCTAGCCCTCCCATTGCTCTGGTCAGCCCATGTTCATGTCGCAGAAAGGCAACGTTTCCCCCTTCGGATGGCGTAAAGAGATCCCGAGACAGTTAGATGTGTTGGTCGCGCATTGGTAAATTATCTTGTCCCTTTCCATCGCCGCTCAATGGAAGGAGAGCCGGAATGCCTCTCGCCACAAAAGCCTCGAGTCGATCATGACGATCTGTTGTTTGGCTTCCTATCTGGCCCCTCAGGGACTGTCGAAGCGAGGGTAGTAGTCTCTGGGATTCGGGTGTAGGAGGCCGTCGATTGGTACCATCAAGGGACACAGTCTCAGATATCGTTGGGTCTCCATTGGGGATCAGAAGCGATCAGACGTGCCGCCGTTGCCGATGTTGAACACTTCGCCCTCGAACAACGTTTGATACTGGTTTGGAAGGGTGATGACTTTCGTGTGGGATGGCAAGGGTGTGACATGTTTCCCAGGACGAGTAATCTTGCAAGATACGTCGCTGCCAGAGTTTTGCGGAAGAAACCCCTCGCTTGGAGGTAAGAACCTTCCGAGACGAGTAGAAGTGAACAACCACCTTTGTGTTGGGGCGGTCATGGCGAGTCTTTGCGGCCGATACATACCGGGTCGTCAGTCCAAGAGAGCTCAGGTGCAGAGTCCGACTCTCTGGGGTGTGAAGGTTGTACCGACTTATATGTTCTTCTTCTCTCCCTCCTCCTCAACACAAGACCGTGCCCGCCGTGTCACTCTTAGCTTAGCCATCGGCGTTCCTTTAGTCGGATCAAGGGCCCCTTGCTGTGAGCCCTCTGTTCAGCAGGTGGGCAGATAGAAAGTACTGTGAGTGAGCAAGTAGGCATTGCAACGGTCAAAGGCCAGCAGCGTACTGTTTTTCAACCTGACTCAGTATCTCACCAAAAGAAAATCCCTGGAATCCGCTTGACCTTGTCTTTTCTTATCGGAATAATGAGGTCGTCTCCGCAGGTGGTGTTCCGGTGACGGTTCGCGCTCCTGTCAATACATGGCTCTCATATGCCATCCATCAAGGCAACTTGCAACGTGGTACTTGAGCGCCAATTCTGAGACACCGCGGTCGCTTCATAGCTGCTTTGGCAGCGGAGCACGAGGAGGAATACATCGCTTGCGCACTCCTCGCTGCGAGAAGCTAGCGTGGATTACCAAAATGTCATTGTGGATGTCAAGTCTTTGTCGAAACCAGGATCAAGTGGTCGTGTGGAAGATCAGCGGTGGTCCTCGTGGTTGTCCTTGTGGTTGTCCACCTTGTTGCTGTTGTTATTGCTGCTGAGCCGCCTGCCGCTGGCTCGTGAATTTGTTTTCTTGCTTCTTCCTGCTTCATCTGGCACCCAGGGGACGTCAGAATTCCGTCCCCAGCGAGGAATGAAATCCGGGCAGAATACTCTAATAGTGGGGACGAAATTCCTTCCGCCCTGGGTGTCTGGATGGTGGCTTCTTCTGCTGACTGGCCCAGACGGGGTACAGACACCCTTCCGGACCAAGTACTCGTCCAACGAGAGAGGGTGAACCGCCCCTTTTCCGACACCTGTCGAACTCATGGTACCATATAGATATGCCATGCCGCTCCATGCACGCGACGAGCAGGATGGAGCCGCTGCAGTGTCGTGGCCTGATCATTTGCTGCGCGCACCTGAGGGCCGAGCAGAAGACGCCCTTGTGGTCGGATGATGTTCATCATCTCCTCGATCATCTAGGGCGTGCAGTCGAGTCGAGTGCGGGCGTCACGTTCTGCACGCCAAAAAAGACTCGTCCTGCTAGCGACGAGGCAGGGCAGGTCATCCCTCCGACTCATCTGTGACAGGCGACGAGTCAGAAGCCCTGGCTAGGCAAGGACGTAAACAGTTCGCCTTCCTTGATTCTCTAGATGCACACACGAGATCAGTCAAAGTTTCGATTCCGGTCCGCAGAACCCCAACGGAACGGACGCGCTCAAAGGAGAATCCCATTAGTCTCTAGGGACAGTATCGTAGTCGTCCGGACATTTGCAAGCTTGCATAGACTGGGTGATTTTCGTCCTCGACGCGGAGCAGACTCTATACGGCGAAGAGGGGGATCTGACTGACAGTGGCAGATTCAATGCGTTGTCACCAAACTTGGCCCGGCAGGGAAGCAGCTTTCGCGGCTGTCCGTCGGAGCAATCATTTGTCCGGTGCTCCTCGACAAAACTGAAATCGAAGAGAAAGGTGAACCGCCCGCCTTTTCCAGATCTGGGTGTTGGTGTATAACGTACGCCAGTCGGACAACACGGACTCGCTTCCCTGTCATGGCGTCGTATGTGGCGCGGCAGAGTTCCGGGGGATCTTTGAAGAGGGGCATGGAGCTTTGTGGTTTGACGGGATGGTGGACAGGTCGACGCGACGCATCGATCCACCCCCAAATCGACTCTCCACGACCTGTCGATATTTCATCAATGCCCGATGATTGCGCTCGTCAAATGTGAGTCGGAGGAGGACATGATTCGCGTTGCTAGGTCAGGCGAGGACCTGGAATCGGAAGATTAGGAGGATTCGCAACGTAAGAGTGTCTCGAGGAAGCGTCGTGGGAAGAGAGCTCGGTCCGCTCAGGATCTCCGAGACGGTCAGGGTCGTTCATCTTCCCTCTCCAACCCGAGTAGCCCAAAGTCGAAGCAGGGTTGATGGGCCAACCGTCCTGCACGCGCTTTCGTCGCAGGCTTTGCTGCTGGGTACCGACGCGGGTAAGTAACATCTCGCGACGTAAGGCAGGATTCAAAAGAAATCGTGGCAAAATGCAGTCAGACCTGGACACCCCATGGCGAGGAACATATCAATGGCCCTGTTCCGCTCCCCGCAAGTGCGACCAGCACAAGGTGCGAGCGAGGCCTCTCAGTCTGTGTGCAGGACAGAAGAGTGAATAGAGTGAATACCCCAGTATACACAGGAGAAGCTCACCGGCACATACCATTTATTTCCAAGACTCGTAATCATTGTACTTTGTTCCTTGTATCATGAGAGTGCTGAGGCGCGAAAACCGGGTTGATTGTAGGCTATCAGACTCCAGCAAATGTCGAGAACCTCGTTCGGATCATGAAGGTTAGAACGACGCTCGGATCTGGGACAACTCCCTCACTGTGGCGGCGAGCATACCGCCATCGCAACCATGCCGTTGGGGGAAGTTGTTCAGGCCATGGGGCGCGTGGTGGAGCTTCGCGGCTCAAAATGCGGCGGTAAATAAACAGCTGTTCTTTCATCGTTTGGCTCAGAACCATCGCCGGTCAATGGCTCCAAGGGCTTTTGAGTGAGTCGCATATCCACTCGAGGAGCAAGCAGTTTAGATTCGATGCTTCGACCTAGAGAACAACACGTGTAAGCACTGGTCGAAGACTGCAACATATGACAAGGGAAAAAACAAACCTGAAGCAAGCCCTCATGGCATTAATGCTCCAGCCGCTGATACATGTCAACATCGCCAATCTCTGCCGGTTCCGAAGGACCATATCAGCCGTGGACGCATGGGAAAGCCATTTCTTCCGAGATGTCGGTAACAAGCGTCACCACGTGCGACAGACAACATTATTTCATTTCCCCCAGGCCACATTGATGACTCTAAAAAGAAGGAAATTGATCAAGGTCCTCCCCAAAGGTCTATCCCATCAAGAAGAAATTGATCAAGGTCCTCTCCCAATGGTCTGTCCCATCAAGCTTGGGAGCAGAACAGAAAACTCTCAGCAATGGACACGCCCGCATCACAAGCGCGCAACGGAAGTCGAAGCATCCAACGACGCAGCTGCGCGACGGGCACTTCCTCATTCTTTGCACGGCAATGTCCACGCCCGTCAAGGAGCAAGAAGAAGCCGCTTCGAAAAAGGGGCGCATTCATCGGCCTCGAAGCCACAGAAGAGAGTGCCAGGTGGATCTGGAATCACCATCTCGCCGCCGTGGCGACCGACACGCTCGGGTTCGAGGCTACCCGGAATATGCACCTTGAGCATCAGGAACGCTGCATCCATCTCCTCACGATATTGTACTTTACCTGCCACAGTGCCAATGGGTATCATTTTCAAAACACAATCAGACAAAACCCTTGATCTTTCCAGTGGTTAGATGTCTGGTTGGCAAGCTTCCGAGCCCGTTGATACCGTTTTCCGAGGGTTTGTTAGATGAACCGGAGACTTCTGTTGAAAAGGAGTCGAGCCGAGGTGAGGCAGCTTTCATGAGTCCTTTCCCTGTCAACACCCTTTTTTCATGGATTCAGTAATGTACCGTGTCAATTTTTGAAAGTGATGAGACTGCCGAGCTTCGACTTTGGTTCGACCTTTATGAGCTCGACCGTGCATGTTCCATCCTGCTGCCAGACACCAGCCTTGGACGTGAAACCACTCAGTGTCAATCCTCCATGGTCCGACCAACTCGAAAGTAGAAGGGCAGAGTAGGAGTAATGTGAGGTTCGATTCCAAACGAAGGGTATAGCCCGCTCGCCATCGAAAAACGGCTGAAACCTAAGAACATCAATCACGGGGATGCTTAGACCGGCAGTTCCAGCTAACTGGAATGGCCATTCCAAGGGTATTAGCGACCCGTCGATAAATGGAGTTGGAATCGTAGGCGGTTCATCCTGCGACTGCTCCAGGACCTTGGACATCTGGACTTCCAGAAGGTCACCAACCCCCAACAAAGTACCCCGTTGTGGTAAATACCAAGAAGCAGGCCCTGGTAGTATGAAGGCTGGAGACCGAGTGTACATGAGCCTGGCAATAACGGTATCGGCCATATATACTGGTGCAAATGAAGGTAGACACCGGTACGGTGGCGGGCGACCTGTGCCACACCGAGATCCAAGGCACTTGAGAGGTAATACGTCGGCAAGTGCTGGACGTGTCCCCCTCGTAAAAATGGCGGGCCTGTTTAACGACGAAGAACCGTCACCATACTGAGCCAGATCGAGAGGACGAGTTGACGTTCGATCTTCCCCGTGGACATAAGCTGCTCGAGGACGTTGCACAGTGCACCATTCCAGACCCCGAGAACCCACACGGTCTAGTAGCGATATTTCTTCAGTCTCACTCTGTGCGTGTTGCAGATCCAAGACCGATATACGCCGGCTGTAAGGGTGCCAGCTGGGAGGAGTTCTCCTGACACGGCACAAATTATATCCTTAGGGGTTTCGAAAACGCGGGCTCACCCGGAGGGTCTGAGATAAGTGTGCCATGGATCGAGACCGCGGTAAGGATGATAGTGAAAGATTCAGAGGGCGACTTCGTCATCGATGGTAGAAGCGGACTCGCAATCAAGGACGCCGTCAGCAGTTTCCAACGAGGGTCTTTGTAATTACACGGTATTGATCTCAAGGGAAATGAGAGGGGAAAGCTTGAATCAAAACTGAGGCTGTCGATACCGTTTCACGAATCTCCGGCAAGATTTGGGGACCCTCCCTCTCGACGGGGCAGGCCGCAGCCACCATAAGAATCTTGAAATATGCCAGCATGAATGGCAGCGCCACAAATGAATGAATCTCATCGATAGGCGGGGGAGGAACCATTGACCTTGCCGCCCTAATGACGAAGAGGCGATGATCAACGGTCTGGTCGCTGATGGTGATTGCTTTGGTACGAATGGCTTTCGAACAGCTGGACGGACAACGAAAGAGGAGATCTGATCCTTCAAGGACGGCAGTGACGCCCGTCCAATCCACACTGATGCGGACTCGTCCTGCTCAACATCTCACCGTCGGTCAGTGACAAATATTCATCAACACCGGTTACCAATGGACGCAGGTCGTCAGTGCACCAGCCCTGACGAAGAGATACCACCACGTTGCGACCCAACCAAGTATGAAGATAAACAGGGCAGCCCGATTTGGCAACCGCGAGATGAGCTTGTGCACAAGGGCGAACCCCTGTAAGTGTATGTTGGCGATCTTCTGGGTTGCCATTAAAGATGGGTAATATTTTGATGCTCAGCATGCATAAAAGTCTCGTGTCCGACTGAAGGACGTCTGGTAGATCTGGCGCGCTTCTCGTGAGCTGCTTTCTTGCGGTCGTTCGTGACAAGGTGAGATAAATCGAAATCCGCCACTAGGGCGACTGAAGGAGAGGAGGGTCTTTGCGAAAACTGGAGTGAGACGTCGGCTCGACACAGAAGATGAATCAAGGCCACGAAAAGCATTTGCCTTTGATCGAGGGAGAAAGGTCAACCAGGTCTGCAATACGCAGGGGAGCTACATGGTTGACCATCCACCAAATATTCCCTCAGTATTCGGTATGGCGAGACTTTTGTCCTGTTGTGCGGCGTCAGAATGTTGCCCCCATATTTCGATTTGCCCAGGATGATGCTGTCATGCCCATTTCATGTGGCCTTAATATGTGACTGTGCAACGTATGTTTTGACCAGACGTCGCATGCGACCGTGACATTACCCCCTCTGAAACGGTGTCTTCGCCCTCGAAGACGTGTCTTTCTTCAACAGGGTAGTCATGCTTTCTGCGCTTGTTTCCTTTTCTCGACACCTCTGATCCGTCGCTTGGGCTCTCTACCAATGTCCACAGTTTTCATTGTTGCCGTCTCGAAATCGGACTCGTGAGGAGACGGGGGACCTGCATTTGCTTGGTTGGCTTCGTGAAAGTCTCTGATCAGTTCGTCGCATGCTGATAGCACAGAGGTCCAGTCCTGCCAGCTAGGTTCGGTGTAGGTTTTGTACTCCAGGACCCTGAGGCGTTCTTCGCACTGCTAAATTCAGACCAACCCTCCGTCAGCATCTGCCCGCAAGCTTTTGAGAGATACCCCGACCTCATGGAGGTATTAGACCCACCCGCTTGGGCGAGAGATGCACCAAGACACTCGGACCCGGGCTTCGGATGCGATGGCCTGGGCGACCACGACTCGGAGCTCGCGCAGTACTGGAGACTGCCGTTCCTCCGTGGTGGACAGTGTGCGTTGCTGTAACGGTACGTGAATCGGATCAGTCATAGACGTTGATGCTGTTTTGAAACCAGCTGGCCTTCAAGAGACAAGACTGCGAATGTCTGAAAGGCCGCTGAGCGATACACCGCCACGACAGCACCGGAATTGGTTGAGGTATACGGCCGGCAGATGGGCGGATCGGTGGTTTGACGGTTTTGCTGATTGATTGACTGACCAAGTACACACCTCGTACTTCGTTCACACAAGATCGTAAGGGAAGAGTGATGGTGGCCCGACAAAGCATCTTGCGTAATCCTCCCAAGCCCACAGCCTCCGTTGTCGTCCTGTCTTAACGCGAGTTGAGGATATCTTTGACTTCCCATTCTTCTTTCTGCTTACTCCTCGTCTCGGGTTGTCACCGCAGGTGGAGGAGCAGGATGAGACTGACCCAGTAACGGTAATGGGTCGTTCGTATCTGGGTGGAGAAGCCTGTATGAAACACATCGTGGATCTTCATGCTCGATGGGAGCTTGAGTCGATAAGATCGGGGGCTGACGACTTCTGATATCTCGAAGGGTCCCAAGTTCCTTCGCGTCCAACTTCTTTGATGGGCGCTCAGTGCGAATGTTCCACGCAATCATTTCAGCCAAACCTTGTCTCCGACCTTGTAATCTGGGGAGGCGTTGCGGTCTCGGATCGGCAATTCCGCATAGCGAGCCTGAGCATATGCCATCTCCTCTTTCAGGGTGGTGTGAACAGCACTTATTCATTCAGCGAACTGACCAGCTAATTCAGTGGCAAGAGCTTCTGGGGCCGTCATTGATGGTCGTTGGCTGACGGGCTCAATACCAAATCGTGGGTGGAATCTACAGGTTGCGTAAAATGGCGACACGTTTGTTGTTTCAGAGTCTTGAGTATCGGCGGCGAATTCTGTCAGGGGTGACCAGTCTACCCAGTCGTTTTGCAGGTAGTTGTAGCCGGCACGCAGATATTGCTCCATCATCTGATTAGAGCTCTCTGATTGACCATCAATCTCTGGATGAATGGTAGTTGACATTCGATTGCGTATTCTGAGGCGTCGACCGAATTCGACCCATACCACCGACGTAAACTGAGGTCCTCGATCCGACGTGTTATATTCTGGAATGCCGTGCCTCGCGATAACCGTTCGCAAGAAAAGCCGTGCCACGCTCTGAGAGTCCATATTGAGACTGGGGATATAATATCTCCACTTGGAGAATCGATCCGTTACAACCAAGTTACTGCAAAGGTGAATGGAAAGCTCACCGTAGTCCCTCCAAGCACGTAACCGGTAATAATGATCCACTGCAAACGGAGGTTTCGGATCGTCGACGTAAACCGCGAGCCTCCACGGAGCGCAAAGGCTCCAGGCTGCAGCGCCTAACAAGCCGGAGTCACATTGAGGACGTGACCTCTCGTCACCACCGGGAGATTCGGGAAAGACTCAGTCAAAAGGTCTTTACTTCCCGGGAGTTCAACGATGAAGTCGAGGGCAATCTCCTGCCATGGTAACAGAGGGATAGGTAGCTGCATCAGGGTACCAGAGTAGGCAGTTCGATTGGCTTTCGAGCGGCGGCATACGTGGCCATTCTTGACGTAGCGGCGGACGTCTTCAAGCATCCCGGGCCAGTAGTGGACACGGGACAGGCTGGCAAAAGTCTTGCTCCTACCACGGTGGCCTGCGAGTGGGTTATCGTGGAAGGCTTAAAAGACCCCCAACCGTAGTTCGTCGTCATCAGGAACCCAGGGTCTCCCTCGGTAGAGGACTTAGTTGTCCCAGAGACTCCAGTCTAAGAGGGAGATCCTTTCTTTCGGTTGAAAGCTTTTCGAGAGTACCGCCTTCTCGTAGCGCTGTCTGAATAGCTCGGAGAGTTAGGTCCCCTTAACTTCCTCCTGTGTAACGGCCTCGGCTTCGGAGAGAGAGTTTGCAGCCCATTCGACGCCCTTGACAACATCGGACATGGTGCCAGACCCATTCGACTTGAGCACCTTCACGGCGTAGACATTAGCCTTCTTGGTGACACCGAATTTCTTGCCAGGGATCGTGCCAGAGCAGTGTGTACCGCGTCCGTTACCCTGCCCTGCCACATGGAATGTGCCCTGCCGGATGGAATGTTCCCTTCAGATGGAATGTACCTTACCGGAAGGACTGTCCCCTGCCAGATGAGATGGAATGTTCCCTACCAGATGGAATGTGCCTTGCCAGATGGAATGTACCTTGCCAGATGGAATGTACCCCAACGCATGGAATGTACCCTGCCAGATTGAATGTCAGATGGAATGTCAGATGCAATGTGACCTTCAGATGGAATGCTCCCTGCCAGATGGAATGCTCCCTGCCAGATGGAATGTTCCCTGCCTGATGAAATGTTCCCTTCAAATGTAATGTCAGCCAGATGGAATGTCGATCAACTGTTCACTGCACACTGGTGACGGCGGCTCTGTAAGAGATTCTCTTCTCGCAGATAGGCTTGTCGAATCAGGTCAGGGAGAGTCTCGGAATGTACATGGTCTGCGGCCATTTGGCACAAGAGGGAGAGACGCTCGGGAGATATCTTACTCCGCAAGGGAGGATCCAGATTATGAGGCTTTCATATCACTTGGTGCTGGCGTCTAACTCAGAGATCCTGTTGTCCTTGTAGGGTATCTCCGGGCCTTCGGGTAAGAGCATCAGGTTTTGTACGTTGTTTACCAGGCCGATCTTTGGTTTCGGAGTGGAATTCGGACAGGAATTCAGCCCATATAGCGTGTCGCCGGTCCAGCTCCCTTGTTGCCATGAAGTATTTCAAGGTTCTGTGGTCGGATAGCACCTGAATGGACTTCGCTGGGTCAACACTGGCGAGCCCAGGTCGCCATTCTTCAGAGGTCGGGCAACGACAGCAGCCAGCTGATCCATGGCCCAGAGTTGTACAGGGATGAAGACAAAATGCCTCCGACACTCATCGTCTCTTCCCTCATCTAGTTCTTCGCGTACTGCTGCATTATAATCCAGATGGCAAAAGAGGAAAAAGCAAGCATCGAGTCAGCCCCACATCTGGCCAGGTCTGAGGTCCGCCCTTAAGGCTAAATCTTCCTCCTCCAAGGAGAGTAGTCGGGCGGGCTCAAGAAGGTCTGCACGCAGAGGGCAAAGGGGCAAGAGCTCGAGGCTGGGACGCTCAATGACATCCGAGCCAGAGCGTCTCGGACTTCCTCCTCTTCAGAGGTGTTGGAGACATGAGCCAAAGGGCCGTCCATGGCGTCGACCACTTCATTGCGGACAGCCTTGCGAGCCAAGGTCGCGGCGTGGCCGCTCAGCTTGTTCTGGAGGTTATGCTTGTATTTGGCCTCTGACCGACCGACCCTCCGATCTTGATCTCGGCGATTTGGCCTGCCCATGCACTTGCGGCAATTGTCTTCAGGATATGTGTGCTTGTGGCAGTGATTGTCTGGAGCCTCTTGAGCCCCTCTTGCCCATTTCTTGTTGTGGTTCTTTTCACGGAGGTACGGTTTGCCTTCGCTACGAAGGTCGTTGTTAGGCGAGGCAGCTGCAGTTTGGTGTGGATGTTTCCCCTTCAGGTGAAGAGGATGTTGGTCGAGGCTGTGGCTCGGATAATGGCCATCAGCCCCTTGTCGTAGATCTCGTAGCTACACTCGGTAGTAGTCATCTTCTTCCAAAGGAAGGTAACCGGCATCAGTACCCCATTGTGCATCTGAGAAAAGGCCGGAGCTCCGGCCACAACCAGATCAGACGAGTCCACTTCCGGGTAGGTTTCCACGTTGGAGTCGGATGGTCAGTGCACGGGGTCTGCGCACGTGCATAATGTTCAGCTCCGACAGTTGAGGGTCCGTGCGCAGCCGCCTGCATGAACAGTCGTCATGATGATGTCAACTGTCGCCCTAACCTGTTGGAAAGGTTAACCGAATAATTTCCACTTCGGGGAAAATACCCAATCGGGTCTTCTAGATGACTAGGCCTCCCTGGCTCGCTGACAGGAGGCGGTGCGATGAAAGGGGATATCTATCTTTATCAGTGCTGTCATCGACAGAGCGATTCGACTCAATCCTTCGATAAACATTCGATATGAGTTGGCAAATCCAAGGAACGATAGAATATCCTTTACTATGCGTGGAGTGGCCCCTTCAAGGATGGATGTTCTTGACCTTGTCTGGGTCCATTCCAATGCCTTGCGTCGACATGACAAGGCCGAGGTATTGGACTTCCTGGACATGGAATTCGCTCTTTGTGACGTCCATATGGAGCCCTTCTCGCGTAGTTTGACCCGAACCCTTTTGACATGGCTAATATCCTCTTCCAGTGCTTGACTGTAAACTAGAATATCGTTCAGATAGGCCGTACAAACGATATCCAAAAGGTTATGTAGGGTTTTGTTGATGTACCTTTAAAAGGCTGACGGGGCATAGCATAGGCCCAAGGGCATCACCAGGTATTCAAAGGAGCCGAACGTGGTCGTGAAAGCGGGTTTCCACTCATCTCCTTCCTTGACGCGTAGCTTATTGAAGGCGGCAATGATATCCAGCTTCGTGTAATATTTGGCGTTACACCATCGGTTGAGGGTATCCTTCATCCGCGGGATTGAGTCGCGAGTCTTGACAGTAATGGCATTCAATGCACGGTAATCGATACAGAACCGTAGGCCACCTCCGGGCTTCTTTATCAATATGATGGGAGAAGTAAGACTTGAGTTCGATCGTCGAATATATCCCTTGGATCAGTGCTCTTGAATGTATTTATGGGCAGCCTCACCTTCTAACCTCGTCTTGGGCCAAGGGTTTTTCATGCGGAAGCTTGTGAGGGACCGTTTCTGTTAGCTTGATTTGGTGGTCAAGGCCGGGGCGGTGCGGCGGAAGAGCATCAGCGAGCATCAGCATTCTCTTTGGAAAACAACTCCCACTCATCGTGGTAGCATCGAGGTACTTTGTCTGTCGGGGAACCGTAATCTTTCCCTTTCACGAAGGTATCAAAATCCTCTGGGTTGACTGCACAGCAGGAAAGGTCTCCATCTCCTTCCTTATCGTAGCACTGTGGTAGATAGGCGACACAGTAAAGCTGCTCTCCTTTGGTAAGAGACTCATAAATTTCAGTAAGAGAAATGGGTCCACAGGAGACTCCATCGATGATGACATTCCGCAGAGTGGCAGGGGGACCTTGGGAGCTGTACTCCGTACATTCCATCTGAAGGGCGCATTCCATCTGAAGGGTGTATTTCATCTGAAGGGAACATTCCATCTCATCCGGCAGGGTGAATTCCATCTGAAGAGAACGTTCCATCTAATAGAGCCCATTCCATCTAGCAGGGCATAATGCGTCTCATCTAGGGGCGTACATTCCGCCTGGCAGGGTACATTCCATCTGAAGGGAACATTCCATCTCATCTGGCAAAACATTCCACCTGGCGGGGTACATTCCATCTCATCTGCAAGGGTAAATTCCATCTGGCAGGGTACATTCCATCTGCAGGCCACATTCCACCTGGCAGGGCAACCAGGCTCCATCACAGCGAGCGGGAGAGAAAGTGATTGATCGTGCTCGCCAATCTGGGATCACGTTGTGCCTCTGTAACCAGGGCATACCAAGGATCATGGGATAGTTCAATCGGGATACGACCAGAAACACGATTCGCTCGCAGTGTTGTCCAATCCAGATCGAGTTCGACACCAAGTGAGATTCTTGACTTACTCTCATCGGGCACAGACGCTGCTCGAGGCTTTGGCAGCCGAGTCATGAACGATTCCAGGCCTTGGGCCGACAAAACGTTTGTCGATGAAGCAATTGGTAGCGCTAGTATCAATCATGGCAGTACTAGTAATAGTCCTCAGGGGCGCAATGGGTCTGAGTAAAGGGGACTTTAATCATCTGGGTCGCTCCTGGACAAGGGGTACCCACCGTACAGTCAAGAACAATGTGATCAACCTTTTCAAGGGCCATAAAGGAAATCGTCTCACCGGTGGTGTCGTCTTCAGGGAGACGATGGCATCGCATTAGTCTTTATCACGCATTGGCAATGGTTTTCCCGGGTCGCGAGCGCGTTCACCACTCGGGCCGACTAGTTTAAAGACTCATCAGAGGAGTCATGGTCAGATTCGGTTTCAAAACAGGGTACGTAGGACTGCTCTGAGTCGGAGGTTCCATCGTCTTCTTGCACGGCAGAGACATTCTCATAATGCTTGGTGAGCTTGCATTCAGGACGACCTGGTCGGCATCCGACTTCGCCACAGTCAAGACAGGCATTTCGAACCTGAAGGCCAGCCTTGACTTGAGCGTCTTTAATGTTCGGCGCCCAGGAAGGTCGTTTGCGACCAGAGACCTTTTTATTTGACAACTTAGCCTTCTTGGTGAGCTTGGAGCTTTTCCCCTTTTCTCTCCTATCGACGGGTCGCGGTAGAAGATACTGCTTCGTCTTCTTACGCCAGTCACTGGTGAGAATCTTGCGTTTCTTCTTCTTGTAGTAGTCAACAAGGTCGTCGTAGGAGTCTGGTTCACAACCCTTGACTTTTCGCCATAGGCGCTCGTCAAGTTTCTGTGTGAAGTCGCGGAAATGACGTTCTCGGGCAGGCGGATGTTCGTCGCAAAACGTCCCATTCAGCAAAAGCCACACCATACATGCCAATTCCAAATTGTCCAACGGGTACCAGGGCCACTCCGACGAGGCTCTTGGATCATCTGATGACGGCTGAAAGACGTGTTTTGACAAGGTGTTGGTCAGACGGTCGTCCCGAGTAAGCATATGCAATTTTCGGTCGCCTGCTGAAACGAAGAACTCCACCATCGGCACCAGGTCAGAGGCACCGACGGATTTTGGCGCCATGTAGGTGACTACCGTGACACCCGGAAGCCATTCTGCAATGGGGAGGATCGGTTAATCGTTCGACGAGGGGGACGACTCTGTACCCTGGTCCGGAGCACCACCGCGAGACGTCGGCACCGCGCATCAAAATCTGTGACTGTTTCATCGTTTTTCTTGGAGAGCTTACCATATTCGATCTCAGCTGACTTGTCGCGGTGTCGCTCAGCGTAGACTTTGTCAAAATATTCGATAGCCTCGACAGCAGAGCGCCACACTTTGTCTGGGTCGGCATACTGAGAGACAGGGATATACTGCTCAGCGGTATTGGGAGCTGCGCCGGCGAGAGTGGAGGCAATAAAGAGGACTGCCGACTCAGGCCCCTGATTTCGCCAGACTGATCATCGGCATTCGCCTTCAAGAGATGTACCAACTGCTGGCGATATCGTGGGTAATTGTCGCGTTCACCCTTCAGCTCTCGCGGTTCGCGGACCTTCAGACGTTGATCTCCTCCCAGGGTACGCTCATCGGCCGTATAGGCGGACGAGAGGAGGCAGGGCTCTGAGCCGCCCTTGAGCGTGAGGCTGGGGTAGGTTGTCGCGAGTGGTAGTCGTTTAGGTCTCGAGCAATATCGTAGCCCTCTTCCTGGGGTTGAGGGTAAGGAGGCTGTGCACGAGGATGGAGGTCGCTGAATGACTCGACAGGAGGACCCCTGTGGGCACTTGCTCGTACGGCGGTTTGTTTCGAGATATGAGTTTGTAGGTCGTGAATGGCTCGATCTTGTTCTTCGGACTTGCTCTGCCATAGGTCACCAACCTCTTCAAGGCGCTTCCGCTCAGTTGTCTCGGTTTTGAGGGAGTTGACAGCGTCTGACAGCGACTCGGACTTGCCGACAAGCGGAGCTTCAAGGTCGGCGACACGGGACTCCAGAGCATCTCTATCCCTGTTTCAATCTCTGAGGCTTTGGTTGTACTGAGCGATCTCAGCGTTTGTCTCCGCAGTCAACTTCTTCCAGGCCTTCTGGCTCTTCAATGCCACACCTGTCTGCTCTTCCAGGTTGTATTCGTATTGGACACAACGGCCTTGCATTCTTCTCAGGATACGACTCAAGGTGTCTGGACGGCGGTTGGCGAAATCGATGAGAGGTGCGGGCAGATCCACAAGAGGTCGTTCGGTGACTCATCCACTGTGCGTTCTGGGGCTCTCTCTTCGTCCTCGTCGATCTTCCATCTGATGAGCTAACGGAGGTCTAGTCCTCCTTTAACGGAGACAGGTTTCGTCTGATCGGGGTGTAAAGGAAGGGACGGACGCTCGGTCTCCACCTTGAATGTGTCCACGACTTGCCCTGCTCTGTGCACATCCTCCTCGTCATCCGGAACTTGAGTAGTGTCGGCTACTTCCATCGCTTCACTGTCTGGTATGAGGGCCAAGGACGGACAGCGTGGAGGCTTGTCTGGCTGGAGGTTCATGAGGTAGAGGCGGAGGACGGTCAGGAGTGCGGTTGGAGGTGTAGATAAAGGGCGTCCGGGGTTGTCGAGGACGAGAGATGCGAGGTTGTAGGCCTGGAGAGGTGGCGCTATGGTAGCGGCTATGATGGTCATACGTCTTGGATATGATAGAGTCGTCTTCAATCGAGGGTACCAGGCGCTCTGAAATCTCTCTCAGGTTGTCGTCTCCGTAGCTGATCGTTCGCTCCTTTCGGCGTCGACCAGGCTCACTAGGATTATCGATGTCAAGCGCAGAGTCGCGACGCTGAGCGCTCTGGTGATGCTTTGGGTCCATCGTGTCAGTATGATGTTGACTCTTCGTTTTGGAAGAGGTCGGGGCTGCAGAGCGAATCTGAGGTTTTGAAATCGAGGTGAATTTGTCGGACGGAGGGGTTTTCAGACGCGGTGCGCGTGTATATTGTATCCCTTTGTCTTCTTCTTCTTCTCCGACGTAGCTGTGAGTCGTAAGTCGAGGTAACAGAGGACTTCAGGTTGGTGGAGGTGAAAACTCAACCGCAGTGAAAACTCAACCGCGGCATCGTTTCGGCGAGATACTCGAGCCTAGTCGGGGGCGGGGTCGAGGGGTGATAAGGTGGTCTTTGAAAGTATCACGAAGCGTCAGAGGAGTCCTGTTTGCACAATCCCGGCCGCTGTCATTTATGGGCGGGACAACATCGTGGTCCATCGGTGGTGAGCCCCGACTGTGGCTCCCTCACTTTTCAGCTGAGTTTTAGGTGAGTCTTGGGGGGGTTAAATGTTGGTCTTGGCTGAAACCCGACCTAATCACAGATCCGAGACAGGCCCTAAGATTACCTAGCTAGGTAGGCATGTAATCATTAAGGGAATCATTTTCGGGTGATGGGCTGTTTCTGGGCGCGTACGGGTCTGGGACGTGGGCCTACTTTAAGGTCAGTGCCCAAGAGCCAGCACCCCACCATACCACCCAACCACCACCTAGAATCCAACCACCACCTGGGCTCCAACAATCACCTGGTTCCAACCACCACCTGGAATCCTGCTGGGCCTGGCGAGACCACCACCACCACTGACAAGCCTGCGCGGACCTCGGCCGCAAAGCCGCCCGGCCAACTGAAACTGAATTAAGGCTTGGGTGCCCTCTTGCAGCCAGCCTTTCCAGGGGTGCCTCTCGCCCCTTTTACCTCACTCGCCCCTCCGATCTCGCTCGGCATACCTTTACACCCCGAAACTTACCTACTTAGGGGATTCATTGGGCTGACCTTTAGATGGTGAGGCCCAGACGTCATGGCCACTCATGCTACATTTAACTAAAACCCAGGCTCGCATTACTTGATCTAGATGGGATCATAGGAATTACTATAGTTATACACTTAAGTGTACCCCAGCTAACGTAAAAATATTTCCACTCGCCCTCATCTATCCGTCGCTCCTATCGCATGACATCCCGCATCTCGATCAGCGCTCGTCTGTTTAGGTACAAGAAGAAGAGACTTGCTATTGCTGCATCTCGTTCTCATCTTCCATTGAGTCCAGGATTGACACATTATCTTTTCTCACCGATCAACCTGGAAAGACCGCACTTTTTCAAGCGCGGCCATTACCTGCACATCTTGACATTGACAGATATCACAACGGCGTCTGCAGATGCCGTTGATGCTCCAACACTGTTCGACAGGCTCCTTCATGGTTCCCATACCTCCCTCCTCCGATCCCACAACTCCTCCGATCCCACAACTCCTCCGATCCCACAACTCCTCCGATCCCACTGGCTTCACGGCGTATGATGCACATTGCGGCGACACAGGCTGCCATCTGCGCACTGGAACCATGGAACACTTGTTTAGCGACGCACAACAGAGTCCAACATCGTACTCTTCTTGGTTGTTGTCCACCATCGAGCAGCTGGAATCGCTTCGTCAGCGGGCACAGACAGCCTGTTCCCAGCTCATCATGAGCAAATTGTGCCCTCCCTCTTGGACTCGACAATAAGCGTGAGACAATCAAAAGCATTGTGAGGAAAATTGAATTGGTATGAAGTCCATTGGGACCAGGAGATCTGACACACTGGCGCAAATATGGTCATTTGATGGCCACGGCAATCTTGTGATGGACGGGGTTGATATCGCAGTGTTCCTCCACAACGATGTTGGGGCTTTGACAGTGCCAACAATGTGGTCGACTCAAAACCCGAAAACCGCGGTCCGTTTTCTCTCCACGTACAAAAGATTCGGACGCTTGACGAGAGTAACATACGGACGGCAAGCTGGAACCTATAGGTGTGATCAGTGCTTCTTGTAGCTTGAACCATTCCCGGATATCAATCCGGTGGTAACAGAAGAATTGAGAACGAATTCAAATGCCTGTAAAGTTGGCTCGCCGATCTCAGCTGTACGTGGCTGTAGTCAGTAGCCGAACACAATGCAGCACAACACGCCTTGAAGGCCTCGTATCGAATATTGTTGTTGAAACCCCAAAGGGACTCAGGATAGTTGCGTGCGACCCAGCATACTTGGTCCTGAGGGAGCATTGGGCACGGAAACGTGTCACCGTGATCAAAGTAGACTCGCCGTATCTTCCCTTGGGGATATCGTCACAATGCCTTCCACGTTCGGACAGAGTTAGGACCGAATAGCGTCAGCGAACGGCCCATCAAAGTCACCTGGAGAGTTTGCCACACTGGCATCGTCATCGTGGCCGATACCTCCAGTCGAATACCAGCAATTTGCGTCCTTGGGTACAGTATCGAGGGTTCGCAGCAGCAGTTCAACCAGCTATCATGCACTGGAATCATCAGCCACGATGGTCATTGCCGTCAAAACGCTGCACACATATGCCATTGAGTTTCTCTCCGCTGATCATGACAGGGAGTTTCTGCAGTATTTGCTCGACATCCCGCGTCCTCTTTCAACTCAAGGCCAGGTTCAGGAGAGCAGCTTTTGATGGAACAACGACGTGGGTATGATTCCATTCAAGGTGCGTACACAAAGAGTCGATGGAAGCCCGGGAGCTCGGTGTGTCAAGAGACAACATCAGTATATACTGAACCTGGAGAGTATAGCAATGCCAGTTTCTTTCCAAGGGATGCCGTGGTTCCAATCCGTGTAAGGTCGTTAGCTACAGTCATGATGTGTAGAGAAGGCATATGGCGTCGACGCTGTCGCCCTTTGGAGATTGTCCATTCGGTAATTTCCGACAACGCCCACTGCGTGCCTCGTGCCAAAACATGCCCCCGGCTGCTCAGAGTGCGACCTGGAGACGAAGGTCTCGAAGTATCAGTATCCTCTGTCGTAGCTTATGGGATCTCTCACTGGGGCCTCGATTCTCCAAAATGTCCACTTGAGCTGTCTCTTCCAGGTCCTGAATGTTTGAGAAGGCGAGCTCCAGTTCAGAAATGTCCGACTTCGTAGGCGAGGCAACGATACAGGTGTACCGTGATCTCCAACAGCGATTCTGCCAGTAGCCCTCGTCCTCGGGTCTTTCCAGACTCTGTCGTAACGCTCCTCTCCGAGATCGCAAGTCGCCAATGAGGTCCAGTGAGAGAAGGCCGAACACAACACCATAGACTGCGCCGTACCCACGATGCTCTAACGATACTCCTCCCATCAGCGAGATGGCACCACAGCGAGGTTCATGTCGAAGCTGCAAAACCCCATATTTCGTCCCAATTCGTCCTTGCCGACCGTTTCGCTGGTGGGTGTGAGGGCAGCCGTCCGCTCGCGGAAGACGGACATTCTGATACAACTGCATCCATCTTTCAAGACCCTTGCCCCTGTGACTGCGAGACCTGAGATAGTCTCGCAGTTCTCGACCGAGAATGTACCCGTCTTCAAGAATGTACCCATCTTCGATGGCTTGCCCTGCTCCTGCGCCTGCGGTCATGTTTAGTCTCTGCATTTTACTGATGCCGAGCCTGTAAAGGCACTCGAGGCTCCCTGCAGCGCTCGCCCGAGGATGAGTAAGACTGTAGAGTTGCCGATAGATAGAAGAGCGGTCGAGGCAGCCTCAAAGAGCACGGCGGCTATGAAGAGGGCGCAACGTGCGCCCGCCTGTGGACTAAGGGGGTATGTATGCGTGGTAGTGGTCTCAATCGGAGGACGAGGAGGAGGAGGTGTAAGTGCCTTGCACCGGGACGAGGTCTTTCTCCCTGTTCCTGCCACCCATTAATCTCAGAAGACAGAATTATAGAAGGGGGCGTGGGAGTGCCGCCATGGCCAAAGGTGGGTGACCAACCAGTCCGAGGATTTCGAGCCCAGAGATTGTGCCCGTGGGCGTAGTTTGGGAGCTGCGCGAGAGCAGACGAGGACGGTGCTGAGCAAGATTATCAGCAACTCTCCCACATTCCAGTGGTGTTGATTTCCCACCAAAGAGAGTGGCTCGTGCAGAGAGAATGTGGTAGCCTGCAGAGAGAATGCGGTAGCCTGCAGAAAGAATGCAGTAGCCTGCAGAAAGAATGCGGTAGCCTGCAGAAAGAATGCGGTAGCCTGCAGAGAGAATGTGATAGCCTGCAGAGAGAATGTGATAGCCGTGCGAAGCGATACGGTCAACTAGATAGCCCGCGACAGGGCAAGTGACCAGACTCCCTCCTGCATAGCAACCCAACAGCGCCGACGTCCATGGGCCAACTGAGGCCATTTGGTGTATAGCTGGGCCCAACATTGAAGAATCTCAACGTACCACTGCTCGGCGATATGCCCACTCGCTCCACGAGTGGTAAACGGGAGCACGGGGACCACCTTGCGACACGTCAATGGACACGTCAATGAAATGGTTGGAAGTTGGGGGCCCATGCACATACCACGCCGTAGAGAAATGAGTCAGTGAACGTGGCCAAGGCGCAGCTGGCCACGATGAACGCCTTGGAGGACCGAGTTCGTAACCACAGAGGAGTCCATTTGACACGACAAAGTCCCACGTTTCGCGAAAGTTCTCTGATATGTTTTGCCACCATGATGAGGGAGTCGAGCCTATCGATGGCATGTCGAGTCCGTAAATCAGGCCAAGTTGGTCTCGAAACAGGTTGTCAAATGGATGTCTGACAGTGATAGAAGGTGTTTCCGCTTGCCTGGCGAAGTTCCGCCACCACCCAGAAGGACCGGAGTCTCTGTTTTGTCCATCCGGCCCCCCATTGGAACCGACCGACACCTCTTTTGACGAGCAGAAAATGGTGCCATCTGTAACACGGAAAGTCTTTATGCAGTCGAACCACAAAGATCTCAGAAGACGCGTGCGCATTCAGTGGTGGTGACCTGAGCTTGCTCTTGTTGCCACATCTCTTTCTGTCCGTTGTCGGCAGGGATCGATCAGATGTTCGGAGATGGCTTACCCAGCCAGGTCGTTTGTCTGTGCCAACTGCGCTGAGTCATTGGAGACTGACACGTTGATGTCTGTCTTCCGTCTCTCTGGTGGTGTCTCTTTGCACTCGAGGTCAGAGGGAAGTATGAGGTCTTCCTTGGAAAGACCCGTGGCGGACGAGATCCTCAAATACTGTGAGCAAGACGTGATGCTTCATGCCTCGACTTCTCGCGGGAGCCACCTATATAGCCAGGAGTGTATTCGCGGACGTTGGGCTGCGGAGCTTCCCGGGGCGACTTTTGCTCAGGTCGCGCTGATCACGTCCCTGGACGCCGTCTTGCCATTCCTCAGTCACCGAGTCTTTTCCTGAGGTCTCAGAGGTGCAGGATTCATCTTGATCCCCGTGGCTGCTCCAGCTTCTATTGCAATATGGGTGGGCAGCACTACCGACAGACGTGGACCTAAAGCTCTTGTAAGCTTGGGATTTCTGGCCGCGGTCCCGATATTCTTGTTATTTCTCCTGATTTGAAACGACGACATTGTGGACATCATTGCTCCATCTGCTCTGCTTGCCACGCTAGGGACGGCTATGACGTGCATTGGTTCGCCGTCGATGGTAGAAATCGGTTGAATACTCCAGCCGCTGATACGTGTCATCATTGCCAATCTCTGCCAGTTCCGAAGGACGAATACCGTGAGCAACAGTAAATTGAGAATGGCCTTCCTACCCGGAACGTCCGCGTTAACAGCGGGGCGCAGATAGATATTTTTATTCGTGATAGGGCCAGGCACATCTTGTTGAGTGTCCTCTCCGCTGGCCACCGCGTCATGCGCAGGCTCGACCCGATGTTGGCGGCATCATGGTTGCTTGTGACTCCCTCAGCTCACGCTGTAGGTATTCCTTGCGTTTGTCAATGAACTCTTGTGCTGTTTCATCCTTGTAGCGGGCATTTTCGAGATCAGAGAGATCTGGCATGCTATGGGATGTTAATGTATGCCGAATAAATTCTAGGCCTGCGAGCTTCTTAACGTACCGATATGCGCTCGCAATAGAAGCCAGACAGTATTATATATAGTATTCAATTGCCCCGAGGAGCTCGAATACGAGGGTGCTGCTGCTCGAGGGTGCGCCTTGTACTTTCTCTTCGTATCCGCAGGCCACCTGGCTGGACGTCTCTAGGCAGACTTCGTAGAGAAATCTCTTGGTTAGAGGTTGATGAATCGTGCTTCCGGCCTTTCGAGAGGCCTCATGGTGATTCCGACCTGCAAAGTCACCGGAAGGAGTCGCTCACTCAAGGTCACTGCGGCCCTTGGGCTCTTCTTGGAGTCGATCCAACTTTGTTGGACGTTTGTCTCAGCAAGGGGACCCCGATGGGACGTGAGACGGCTCCATACTGGCACAAACAGCTGGGAAAACTAAATTTTATGTGTTTCAGGTACTGTAGTCCATAGATCGGCCGTCACCCGGTGCACTTTCAGGTTTTAAAGAACGTGGGGCGCATCCAAGTGTCTCACACCTGAATTCGTGCAAGTCCTGTGGGTTGTTTGTGTTTCGAACCCCAGCCTCTGTTGGAACCTGATCAGCCAGGCCTGTCGCATGGCGCTTCCCGCCTCGGCACGCGGTACAAGTTCTTCGAGGCGCTCTTTCTGAACTCTGCGATCTGGATATGTCATGGTCGAGCCATTTGATTTTCCAAGCTCGGTCTGGGCGACCTTGCAGCTGAGGATAGATATTACCGAATTGGGAGATTGTATCATGGAGCGCGACCACTGTCTCCTCGCAATTACCAGTCCGAACCCATCCCCATCAGGAAACTCCTTAATAACAGTGGGAACAACTTTCGCAGCCTCGAGGAAGAAGAAGGCCCGATCACTCCTGCACATGTCATAATAGAGGAGATGGTAGTGTATACACGAGAGGAGGAAGACGAGGCTTTGGATTGGTTCCTCTCCTGCAACGAGGGAGTTCGATCAGACCGAGGACACCGATGCTTGGCTGTGTGTGGCTGTCAAGAGTCTCGTGAAGCGCGTCGGGGGTATAGGGTACACGAAGCGCACCGCCGTCGTCGTCTCCACGCTAGGAGAAGACGGGCGACCGGTGGTAGGGAACTCGGGGGTCTTGTCGAGGACGCCTGCGAGACTCTTGCCGCCCGCCTCGGGGTCAGCGGCATGCTCACAGTACAGGAGGTGCTGGGTAATAAGGGGCGAGACGGTGCGCCGCGCGTGAAGGTGTTTGGCTATGCCGTAGATGCCGACGGTGGCACTAAGCTCGCCGAGATCAGGGTGCTGGAGATGGAGTAGAACTTGTCCCAGATCCCGTAGTAAGGAGTGACCTTGGCGCACATTGCGCAATTCTACCGTGACACTGGTCGGGACTTTGCACCAAAGGCCATCATAGACGGCAAAAACATCCGCTCGAGGATCCAGATTATCGAGCCATAGCTGGTATTAATTCAACACTCGGAGTCGGCAAGACTTCATTCGCACTTGCGCTCGCTTCGAATTTCAACCTCGAGTGGTGCAAACGCGATGTGTGCGGACGCGCCACCCACCTCTAGAAAGCCGTATGTATGGTGGCCCTTGCCATGATCGTAGTCTTCGGGCGGCCATTGAACATGCTGATGGGGACAAAAGAGGGCGGCGACGTGGTGTTACAGGCCAAACTCTGAGGGTCGCGAGAACGAAGGCATTGAGAGAAGAACAGCCGTCAAGATTCCCAAGGTCAGGAGGACTCAAAGGAGTGACCTCTGGAGGCACAAAGATCCAAAGTTGCTGGCGCAACTTCTCTTGGATGTTTGGATTGCGTGACAGTTCAAAGAGTAGTGACGTTATAGTAATTCCAGTCGTCCCATGGGCACTCAGGTTGTAGTCGAACATCTCACTGGCTATCGCAAGCCGAATATCTGTCGTAGTTCGGTCAGACCGTGGACCGACGTCACAAGATTGTTGTAGTCCGGCTCTTATCTGGGCGTGCATAACAGGATCAGCGGCCTTCTCAGGCTGTAGACCTGAAATGCCATCACCAGTGACCAAGTCTTCGACTTTGTCGCAAAGGGCGAGATTCCATTCCTCCAGCTGCTGCGAGAGGGCTGCATCGGTCGATTTTGAGATACGGGCAAGGTTCGATCGGGTCGGAAGAGCCACCTCGCCCATGTGAAAGGAGATATGGCCGAACTTGAGCATTCCTTGAGAAGTGCTACTGTCGTTTGTTCAATTTCTTCGATGAATCTCGTCTCGAGCTGGAGGCCGTAGTGGAGGGTTCGTGAAGAGGTCGATAGCGTAAGCGCGACTGAGATCGTAGACTTCAGTGTCTCGAGTATGGACGGATTGATCTTCAGGGTAGGGCGCGAGCTGTTCATAGAGGATACAGGTCAATCTCAGCACGGGGTGGCGGAAGAGATGAGCGCAGTTTTGGTAGAGACCAGCCGTCTCCGTTGTTGCGCTAACCATATCGGGAATATTAGCCGAATAATTTCCACCTCGGCACACGAAAAGTCCGCAGGTGCGCCAGATAAATCTCGATTTCCTTACCTAATCAATCAATCAATCAAGGTATTCCACTTACATTCTGTTCTCTCCGTCATGGCATACATCTTGGGGACCCTACTAGCTTGTCAGAAGGGTATGTGCAGACGGAGTGACGGCACCTACCCGTACGACTCGAAACATGCCGCGTACGACGGCTTCATCGACATCCTCCTCACCGCATCCTCGGAGTTTACGCTGACCTTGCTCGGACCTAACCTTATCACCGACCCATACTCTTTGTGGCCATCTCCGAGGCTCGTTGCGACCAACGGATATAAAGAAACCAGATTTGAGAAAAATGAGCGGTCCAATGACGGGCTAGGATGTGGCAGAGGAGTAGCCACAAAGCAAGAGAAGATCATATCCGTCCAAAAGCGGCCCAAAAAGTACATCATCAGGGAGCAGGATGTGGAAGCCAACGAGGGGACGTGCTGACATTCGCGAAGGAGAGAAATCGTCGTCTTCAGCCATCAACAGATCGTGAAGCAGCAAGTCATCTCAGATGCACGCCTCGGACAATCTGATTGATCTCGATTCCCGATCCCCGTTGTGAGAAAGGCCATGGACATTATCCAGGAGGAGGAGCTCCCCACGGTGCGGATCGTCAACATGCACCCAGGCACAGAGTCGGTGTCGTCGTCCTCCGTCCGGAGGCTGTACGGTACTTTTGGTGTGGAAGCGCGCCACTCCGTAGATAATAGATAGATTGTCTCAGGGTCGGGTCCCGAGACCGAACCAACAAGCTCCTCATCCCTCGTCTTTGCAATGCAGTGAGGAAAGACACTGCCCTCTCCGTGTCAGTGTCTGCTTGTCGTGGACGCGGCTCACCGTCGAGGCGAGCTATTAAGCGATTCAAAGCCCCCAAACATATTGGGTATCGTTTTTTGAGATCATTTGAGCACTGCCGCGTTGCCCGTCGTGGACGCCCACGAGACCCCTCTCTCCATCTATTTTCTGAGTATCCTATCCTCTGCCATGGCGGGCATGCCGGCGGAAGATGGCGCCCCTGATGCGACGAGAGCCGCAGAAGAAGAAGAAGAAGAGGACGTTCCCATGCCGGATGCCTGGTGCTTGAACGAGGAGGCGAAGACGCTCGGCCACCCACGGGTCTTCTCGATGGCGGAGGGGTTTGGAGAGACAGGAAGTAAGCAAGGAGACCTCCTTTGACATCCCGCACCACCCATCGTGATGAGTTTCACCTCCCCGGGGTAGAAGTCCCACGTCCTCCTCGTTGTTGCAGCGGCCACGCACCAAAAGAAAGCATCTGGCAGATGTCGATGCTCTTGATCCACCCTTTCTTATCCCATGACTTCAGTTTACTTGAATCGCCTTCAAGTTGTGAGGCAGCTTCGGACAGGCGAGCACCGAAGCCGCCTCCGGGCGGTCTTCCAGAGGTCGGCTACGATATCCCTGCTGATGGGGTCATCTCTAGACCAAAAGGGGCCACATTGTCTGTAGTATTTCGACCCGTTGAAAACCGGGACTTCCGTTACACACATCCCACTGTCCAAGTCCTCTCTAGACTTTCTTCAGATGCTGTATTCCGGCCCTCCAGTGATGCCGACACGACGCGAACACACCTCGCAACTCGAACCTGACGCGTCCCTCGACCTCAGACCGATCCTGCGGCCGAGAGAGCACCAGAATTCCAGACGGACGTCTGATTGAAACAATTGTTTCGTCCCGCCAGTCATTTGCCACTTGCCACTTGCCGCTTCTCGCTTTCTGTTTCACTGCCCACTATTTCGGTACATGGCCCGCTGTTGATATTGGTTGTACCGGTCCTGAAACGCGTCCACGGAGACATGATGGCGGAGCTCACGGGCATTTTCTGAATCTGAATGCCGTCCGTTGGTTGTTGGTTGTGCTCGCCCGTCTGCTGGCTATTTCTGGTCAGCCTGGGCGTGGCAAAGAGGGCAATAGTCCAAACCAACTTACTTGAAATAGAGATATTCTCTGCTTTGGACTGGTCCGAGTGAAGGATTTCTCAATAGCCTTGATCCTGTACACCCATTTCACGCTTCGAGCACCAATGTACCCCAGTACCATGGTTCTCACCGGATAGCCGTGAATGGCTGGGAGTGGCTCCCCGTTCATCTCCCAGCAGAGGGGAAAGTCTGGGGGCCGAAAGGCGGGTTGATTGAGCATGGAATCTCCCGCACTCGGATCTTGACTTGGGGGAAGGATGTCTGTTCAGTTCGATTCGCGTGGTTGAAATTCCCGTCCTACCCGGCAGAAACACACATTCGAAGGGGGCAAAATGCTGGCCAGGGATCGCACAACAGCTCTTGTCGACCCTGGTAGCCCGTTCTTGGAACTCTCGCCCACACCAGACGCTTTTCACCCCTGAGATCGAGAGGTGTCAAGTACCCTTACGTGTATGGTAAGCTTCGGCGAGCCTCTTCATTCCATTTTGGAAGGGATGGCTAAAGAAGCGTGAGCTTGTCGAGTCGTCCGACGGGCTGAGCGAAGGATTCCGTACATAGTTGCACAATGATGACGAACCCGTATATCTCTCCAACCTGCTGCCCCTTATCCGCGCTCATGTGTAGAGTGAGATCTCTGATAGCACCCTCTACCAGACAAATTGAGTCAGAAAGGTTAAGAAGGGTTGAACATGAATGCCGGCGCTCGCATGACGGATAGATTCTGGGATCGGTCAGAGTCTTCCCCGGTGTACGGTGACTTTTGAACCACCAATACAACGCTAGGACTTCTCGCGGCTTTCGATCAATTTCGGGCGAGTGGCTCCAGGACATGGTGAATGACATGCATGGGAACTCTGAGTCCAGCTACCGCGTCTAACCGTCTGCTACGGCGGCGCACGCGTTTCCTCCTCACGCCTATAAATACCGCCGCCTACACGGCCACTGACTGATTCTTACTCACTCATACCTCGGTATCGCTTCGCAATAAGCGGCGAGGATCGCAGCCCCCCGCGGCGGCGGACGGCCCCGAGCGTGGCCTTGGATTCTCACAGTCTCATCCGCGAGAACTCCAGCTGCAGTGATTCAGGAAGCCTTTTGAGAGAACTCCAACTGCAATGAATGATTCGCGAAGCCTCTCGAGAGGACTCCAGCTCCAATGATTCGCGAAGCCTCTCGAGAGAACTCCAGCTGCAACGATTCTAAAAGCCTCTTGAGAGATCATGCCGTCGGCGCCGCAACTCTCTGAATCTTTGATCTGGAGACGAAATTGGCGAAGATACCTGCAGCGCTCGAGAAGAGGGGTTGAACGGCTTGGATTCAGAGACCAAAAGTGGTGATGCTCGATCTTCAGTCGTGAAGATGACAGACCCTGGACGGAAGTACCGAGATCGAGAGGAGGTTGGTAACCTGTAGGCATTGCGGGGGAGGGAAGTATATCAGAGCGCCCAAGTCGGCAGTCGATGTAGCGCTCTTCATCAAAATACATGTAGTCATTGTCACGGGACTTGTCTGATTTGATACACCATTCGAGACTCTCGAGTTAATTGAAGCGAGACACTAGTAAAGGCAATCCACGCTTCTGACTTGCGTTCCGACTTGCCTTCCAGTTCTTGAGAAGGAGGACGAGTTTCTCCTCTGGAGGAGGTATTCGTAGTCGACGGTTGGCAGACCTTTCTCTCAAGGCTCGTTGATATCTTCGACAGGGAGAGTTTTGATCTGGGTAGATGAGGCTCTCTCATAATCGCAAAATTCATCCATGGCATGAATGCCGAGGGCTTTTGTTAGGCATATCTCGGGTCTGCCGTAGATTGTCTCCCCAGCCCTAGCATCGGTATAGAGAAGAGAGAGAAAGAGAGGTGTGCCGACAGATTAGAGGCTGGCAAACACGGTGGAGCGTTTGGAGGTCAATTGCAGTGTATGCAACGATTGTGAGACTCCATCTGTGGCAATAATGAGAAACAGTTCTTCCGGCGGCTCCATAGATCCGTGAGAGGGAAAAGAAGGACAAGAGGAGAGAAAGGGTGTGGACTTGACTGACCATGGATAAACTCGACGCCACTCAGTGCCAGGTACTGGTCCCCTGCCAGTTCCATAGGAATCGGAGAGGTGTCCCATGCTTCAACAACCTCCAGTATACCTCCATCAGCGTGAGGGTTTGAACCAGTGTCCGCCAAACTTGGGACAGCCATGGACTCCCATGAAAGCTGACACCGCCGCCTTGCCCGGTCCTCTGTCTCTTCACGCGTCTTGTTTTCCACCGGTAGCTATCGCAATGACAGAAGCTTGGCAGACACAGCGAAGGTACACCTGACCCTCACCCCAGAAGGTTCTGCTCATTGACTGACTGATCGGTGACATGGGGCATTTCAATCGAGAACTGAAGGCGGAGAGTACCGACTGGCGAAGAAGGTGATACAAGATAGATGCATCTATCCAAGTCAGCAATTCGAACCACCGCCACAACGCTCCACGCCCGACGGACCGGCCTTCGAAGGGTCAGACATCCAGCACAACAGCCATGGAACGTCAACCGCCAGCGGATGGAATCAACGGGCAGCTCATCTCCGTACAGCGACTCGGTCTGACCGCGGGCCTTGCGGATCTGCCACACGGCCTCGCACTCGATGCCACGCCTAGTCCTTGCGTCTCGGAAAACCCCTTCATCATCGAAGATTGCTCTTTGTAACTGACCAGGAAGCCCATGAAGAGAGCTCAGCCATCCATGGCGCTGTTTTGTTTGACGTTTGGGGTGGTGGAGGTGGACGAAGCCTCGAGCGCCAGTGCTGCCAAGAGAGATTTTCTGTTTTCAGTAGGAGCATTTCCCAATTAGGAAATACGCTAAAATGTTTGTGACCCGACAAACAGCGTTTTTTACTGAAATTGACGAATTGGCAGGAAATTCAGCCTGACATGTGACGCACACGTGACGTGCAGCCTTGCTTAGTTATCAGGTAGGGTGGACCGTCAAGTGCAATCCTTACGGCAGGACATGTAAGCCAAAGCGAGATCGGTGATGCCAAGAGTCCCTTTCCGTTTTCGGAAAAACTGTTTCCGAAAAAGGAAATATTTTAAGGTTTTTGTGACTCGACAAAAGATTTTGTGTGACATACCGCCTCCACTTGGTTGCCATCTAGGGTGGATCGTCAAGTGCTGCTTGTACGGCACAGCATGTGAGCCAGTGGGAGATGGGCGACGGGATGGACAATCCTCGATTTCTCGACCGTCCGGAGCCATGAACGACGAAGTTCACTTCAGATCACGGAGTCGTTGTCCATCCGGCTCGTCACGGCGGGGGGAAACAAACACCAGGATGGGCTTCAGCGTCGGTATATGACTCCAAGATCAGGGACTTTGCTCGGTCATGATGAAGTACGGAGAATCACTCTGGCATCAGCTGCAGGAGGAAGTTCCAGACATGTGGATGGTTTGACTTGACGAAAGATCAGTCGCAGCGCCGGAAGGGTGACGATGAAGCACTGTGTCTTTCAGGAGTCGCTAGGTAGTTGGACTGGACCGGGCATGCTATGGCACATGGTGGAATCAGCATCCACAATCGAATAGTCATCCCCACGTACATCCTCGAATCGAAGATTCGAGCTGCCATGAGCTGTCATCGCTTGTCATTGCCTCCGTAGGAATCGATCATTTCGGCCGTTTGGGGGGTGCCAGAGTCTCATGAGTTCGCCGTATGCCAACTCGTTGCCACGGCCGCCCTTGTTGCTGTCGGTCTCTTGGTCCGCAGGCTCTTGTCGACGAAGTCTTTTGAATTTCTGCCTCCGCTGTTCTTTTTTTTTTCTTTTCCTTCAATGTCTCTTGGAATTTAGGGACCAGGGACTGATACCTAGCGACCTCGATCCCAGGTCCAAGGATGAGGGTTGCGAATGAGACTGTCGATACCACCCTACCGTGGCAACCCAGTCCCTTTTCAAAGATTCCAGGCCTTGCATCTCCCACTCATCTGGGGCCTGACTTTGGGCATGAGCCTGCAATTCTTGCCTCGCGGTAAGCCCTTTGGGGTAGGGGGGTCCTTCTCCTGGTTGGTTCCCACTGAAAATTACCTACCGACAAGAGGATGAAAGAGGCCAATCGTCTTGACATGCCCGGGGTGCTCCGCCAACAGCGCAGCTGAGGTGCTAATGACCAGTGGTCGTCACTTAGGGTGAACGTAACGGGGTGGTGCACTCATTCGCTGGGGAGCCCGCGGGCCATTACGAGTACCAGCCTCGCCAGGCGATCAACAGGGCGGAAAGATCCCTCACCAGGCTATCAAATTGAAAGCTAGCCTCTCCATCACGCAAGCTTTGCATGCGGATGCGATATCGAACTCGACGATATTCAGCAGCGGTTGCATTTGTTCCTGAAACGTCTCTTTCCAGGCTGCGAAGTATCCCTGTCAAAGCCTTTAGGACCTGGGGCGGCAACCAATTGCTGAATGCGAGATACTCTAGCTTCTCGAGGTCGAAGGGTTGTGCCGATTTGCTCCTGTCCCCGGACCCTGGGCAACAAGCTTTTGACCAGAAGTTCGAGGTACCGTGCCCTGAGAGCCCAGAAATCGATCGAGTTGGCATTCTCCGCACCACTTCGGAAGAAGATTTTCGGCTTCAAGAAGAAGGATCATCTTGCAGGGTTAACAGACCGATTCATCAGCAGGTTCACGCCCATGGTCTGCATGGTGGTGGCGACCCGAGCCCAAGCCGGCGTTGGACAACTTCATGGTGTGGGTGAACAGAGTGATGCACAAGCAGACGAACCAGACCGGGTCCGAGTCCGAGTCCGACGTCGTGCTCGTGGCCCACAACGGCATGTGTCACGGCCACGTTCTGCCCATGAAGACCATGATGGTGTGGGGGCATCAAGCCGCCCAAGTGGAGGTTGGCTAACTCGTTGCCGATCTTGAATATAGTCACGATGCCGAACGAGACCGTCACTATGGCCGTGTTGGCGAATAAATACGCGCCCTGGTTCGAGCATGTGCAGCACGACGCCCCTCAGCGACGCGTGCGCCCTCATGCATATGAACCAAACACGCGGTCACCAACTGGCGCATGGCCTGTCTCGTCTTCAGCAGCCCGTCCGAGGACTTCATCACGTCCCGTCGGCCACAACACATTCAGGGTCGGGGGTCCCCTGCCGTTCCCGAGCACAATCATCATGTAGTCCACGATTTGATTGTGTCCATGGACGAGTCCGTCGGCCTGTACGCGTCGTCCAAGACCGTGAGTCTGTTGTTGTAACAGGAGGGAGTTTCAGGCATCTGCTAACACCCACACGGTCGTGGCGGTTGGGCGTTTCCACAGTGGTGCACATGTTCACCGACATAATCATAGTGGTCAGTTGTTGTCGAAAAAGGAAACGATCTCCTCCGGGGTTTCGGTCACCTTCCTCATCATCCTGCCGAGCTCGGTCATGGTCTCGGCGGTGGGCGGGTCCATCATCTCGATGATCGACTTCATGGAGTTTTGCAGACGTCGACCCGTCGGACCCGGTTGCCCGCATGTACGCGACTATCGGCGAGGTCATCATCTCGACCATGTCCATCTGTATGCCCTCGTCCTCGATGATGGACGTCGAGATCGCCTCGACCACGTTCTCCGTGGCGTACTCCTCGACGGCGTTCGGACTCTGGAAGATACCCGTGCTGGACGGCGAGTTCCTGCTCTGGGCGACACCCGACCGTCTGTCCGCCATGACCTGCTCGTCCACGATGGCCCTCATGATCGAGCCGTCGTGCCTGCGCATCAACGGCGCTGCGGGCCGGATGTCCTCCTCCGTGACGGCGGGCATGGCCGCGACCACCGACGTGTGGCGTTCTCGAGCTCCTCGAGCTCGACCGGGGTACCTCTACTTGATCATGGCCACGACCTCGTCGAGTTCCTCATCCTCGACCGAATGCCTGTCGACACCAGCATGTCGATCTTGCTCTCGAGTTTGGCCAGGACCACACAGCCCTAGTCCTGTACGACTCCAAGACGTCGTGGAGCTTCGTCACCATAGTCTCGAGGACGATGACCTGCTGCGACTTCGACTTGCCCGAGGCGTCGTTCATCTGGCCGATGATGGAGTTGCGTGTGACGACCAAATGGCGCTCGTTCGTGACCACGTTCCCGCTCTGGTTGGCTCGTGACACCACCGCCACCCTGCTGCTGCTGTTGCTGACCCTGTCTCGCGAACGGGAATGTAGAGCTCTTCGACAGTGCAGTCGAGAAGTGCTCGTGTTAGTGATCTGATGCTGTCCTCCTTCAAGAAGTCGTTGAGGATCGATCTCTTTCAAGTACATCTTCCACTGGTAGGCCACATAGTTGTCCGGGAGCGTGTCGGGGCTCACGATGCTTGTTGATGTGCGGCCTCCATGCTGGTTATCTGGTTTCGAGATGGGGTAGGAGGCCGGGTACTTGTCAACCACGTTCATGTACGAGATTCGCGGCCAGGTTGGTGACCGACACGTAGTTCACCCTTCAAGGACAGGCCCTTGAACGAGGTGAAGGTGCTCCTCACGCTGTCCTGCGCCATCGTACCCATGGCCATGATGGTCGTGTATGGTAATCATCCTCCCGAGCCACTCCGAGAACAGCGACGCGCACCTGACACGGGCGCGGGACGCAGTTGACGAACGCCACGCCTACGACCGTACACATATACGAGCACTTGAGCAGTCTCGCGCGAACTTGGACCTCAACGCGCCCTCGCTGCTGATCTGAGGCTGGGTGGCGCACCTCCTCCTGCTCACGACTCTGTTCATCATCCTGCTGCCGACTTTAGCCATATCCTGGCTCAGGATCTGGACGCTGGGCGTGCACCCGCAGCACTTCGTGGGGGGCGTACGCCAGCGAGGTCGCGATGGGCGGTAAGATGTCCTGCTCGTACGGGCACAGGCCGATGCACCTGACTCTGATTGTCAGTGGTCATGTTGACTGACCGACAAGTTCCTACTGTAGATGTCGCCCCGCGGTCGTATGCGTGTTCTGGACATGGACATGCAGCTGAGCATGCAGTCGTTTTAGGTCACCTTCAGGTAGGTGTACGTGGTCTCCTGGATACGATGCTCCCCTCCCCCAACACCCCCCCCCCCCGGCCCTGCGCGTGTCGGCGCGCGTGTCTGCGTACGGGACCCTGCCCATGTAGCCGGTCTAGGCGGTGCTGTTTGGACCTGGACATCACCTGCGAGCTGTACCCGGAGTCGCACACAGGCTCGTCCTTGGCCTTGGTCTTGTCGCTGTGTTTGTACTCCTTCCAGTTGTTGAGCATCTCTAGGCCCTCGTTGCTGTCCGCCTCCGCCATCTTGGTCACCTTGAGGGACGTGATCCCCCTTCATGACCTCAATAATGTCCGTAAACGTGTACTTTATCTTGCCCACTGAGTAGTCGCTGAATACGATCATATCGTCGCTGATGTCCCGAGACCGAGTCCGTAGTCCTGGCGTAGAGCGCCTTCCTCCAGATACACCAGTACCGTAACATCTGATCCCGTAGGCGCTGGTCACCGGGTACCTTTTGGGTAATGTTTCATCATATGGTGCTGATCATCGACAGCTCCAAGTTATCGTAGACGTTCGTCTTCACATGCCCGTCGTAGTTACACCAACGTAGTTATGGGGTTAAAACACCAGCCTCTACGCCCTCGTGACCTGTCGGACACGTCGAGGGCGATCGAGTACAGGGGCCCTCCTTATGATCTCGATCAGGTACGTGGGCCACCTTCTCGGATGAGGCGTAGTTCACGTGCTCGCCGCACTGTTCCTTACACAGCCCGTCCGTCTCCGGGGCTGCTGTGCTCGTCTGTGGCCGCGCTCATGGTTCGTCTGCCCGTCGGCGTTTCGGCGGAGTGGTGGTCGGGAGGAAGTTCTGCCTGTAGACGGTGGCGATACAGGGCAGGATGATGTACAGCTGCGTGGTTGAAGCGTGGACTGGTGGTGCCTGTTCAGGTGGCTGGCGGTGCCACGTGTACGTGTTACTGTGCCGTGCTCACGGCCGCCTACCGCTGCTTGTAGTCAGACTGCTCAGGCCGTAGCTGCTCGTGTCTTGGGTCGCCTTCCCCCTCGATCACCTTGGCCGGGGTGGTCGTGATCGAGATGGCGATGGTGGCCAGGCACAGGGACGACCTGACCGGCCGTTTCAACATCCTCATCACGTCCACGAGGGTGTTGGTCTTCTGCAACGACTCGCCGCCCATCCACGCGAAGGTGCCCAGGAACGACTGCACGCCCCCAGGACGCATTTATCCAGTGGTACCCCTCCCGTGGTCGCCACGTAGGTCATCAGGGTGCCCGGGTACTGTGTCTTCAACGTGTTGAACAGGAGGCCGCGAACGCGTACACCGGCAGGCCCACGCCCGCTCGTGTTCCCAACCGGTCCTGTTCTGCTGCATGAGCAGGTTGTGGGACACGCACTCGATCACGACCCTCACGACCCCCTCCGAGGTCCGCTGGTTGACCAGCCAGTTGCCGTTGATGTCGACCTTGTCAACCACGTTCGCGTAGTAGTAGCGCGGGGACCCGGTGGTGTCGTACTTCTGGGGGCCGAGCCCGATGCAGTACTGACTGGCACGGGTCCAGGTTCGGACGTAGGCCTTGTCGGTGGGTACGATGGTGCCCGTGTCGTCCCTCGCGACGTACGTACTCCCCCATCGGGCCGATGACGCTGCGTCTGGTGTCGGTCAAGGGCGCCACTTGGAGCGTGGTCGCGGCCATCTGCCTGATGACGGCCAACTGGTCCTTGGACCACACTCGAGCTCCCTCTGCTCCGCACCGATGTTCCTGCCGGAGACCAGGAACCCGCCCTTGTCCACCTCGATGGTCGCGCTCCCGTTTTTGTGGGGGGGGGGGGACGTCGTCTTCTACTCGCCCGACTTCGTGGAGACGAACAGCTCCAGCTTGTTCATGTTGTAACGTTATCACTTCCTCTCGTTCGCGGCGTTGGCCCTCTCCCTGGACTTGTCCATCTTCGAGTTCTTGTCGCCAGTCTTGGACCTGGCGGTCTCGATCTTCGTATCCCCAGTCTTGGTGCCGACGCCGGTCCCACCCACATTCGGGTCTGTGTTCGCGGTCCTCCTCGTGGCCTGGTCCTTGGTCATGTCCTTGACTGCGTCCTTGGCCGGGGGCTGGACGTTGTCCCTGACCGGACTCCCCGCTCTTGGTGCCGTTGTCCTTGCTGTTCATGGTGGCGTTGCTGTTGATGGTCGTGTAATTTGTCGGTGGTGATGAAGCCCGTTCAGCTACCTGACCACGTCCGGGATCACTGTGCCGCTTCTACACCGTACTCTTTACTCACCTTCGCCGACGCGACTGTGCACGCGGGGGCTGTAGGTGGTCCCGCCAATCAACTACTGCGTGTAGTTCTCCGTCTTCGTGTCCGGGCTCTAGATGATCTTCACCACCGGGTGGTCTTCAGCGTCTCGAGGTCGAGGCTCTCTCCTTGCCCCCAGTTTCCTCATCACGTACCTGACACCGCCGGCTGGGCTCAGCTTGGACCTGATGGGGTCTGAGGCCGACGATGAACGACATGCCGTAGACAGCCGTGGCCGCGCGGCAGTCCGCGGACGTGGTGGCGCACGGGTCGATGATTCAACCCGGCGGTGATGTGATGTGGTTGATGCTCCTCCTGAACTCCGTCTCCAAGGCTATCTATCTCCAGGGACATGGGCGGCGCCCTCTCGTAGCAGTCCGCGATCGTCTGGCAGGCGCTGACCACCTCCATCCTCACGTGGCTGGTGATGGCCCCGTCAGGGAAGGGCGGCATCTTGCCGAGGGGGCTTGTTCATCCTGTTCAGGACGAGAGCCTACTTCCGATGCTGTTATTGATCGCGCCCCTTCGTGCAGAATCTCGAACTTGTTGGTGACGCCGATTATAGTCTGGGACAAGTACGCGGACACGCCACCCTTGGACTGCACCGTGGCGTTGGACGTCCACCGCTTGATGCTGTTGTAGTTGAAGTCCTCCTTAAGCCCGCCACTCGTCGCGCATGATGAGCCTCTTCTCGGCCAGCCAGCTCCATGACTGTGTCCGAGTCCGGCCACTTGGACGCCTTCCCGATGAGGTCCGTGGCCGTCGTCCAGTTTGCCCCCGGTGCCGAGTATGCGGCTGATGTTTCAATCCCAACGTGCTCTTGCCCTCCTGGCCGCTCGAGCCGTAAGAAGATGATAACGCACGGGCTCCTGACCGGGTCTATAAGCGCGTTCCCGATCAGCCACATGAAGTCGAGCTTCTGGTCGGCCCCTGAGCAGGAGGAAGATGTTGTTCAGAACTTCGCCTTCAAGGTCAACGACGGCCCTCACGGTGGCACGGGAACAGGGAACGGCATGATGATGGGCGACGTCACGAACATGTACATCCTCCCGTGCCCGTCCCCTCTTCTCGTTGTCGATCACGGTCTTGTGCGGCATGTACTCCACGATCGGCCCCCCCCAGATTCGTTACCTGACGGTGAAGGTCAGCCTGTACGTCCCGATGCACACGACTCCTGGGTCAGGGGTGCGACCGGGAAAGCCACCCTGGTAAGTTAACGGGTGGAACCTCCTCAACGCGGCCGCGTAGTTGACTGGGGCATTGATACCGGCCACGTCCGATAACTCCTGCGACGCCGTGGGCGACTCCATCTGCCACCACGAGGCCATATTCCTGCCAGTAGACGTAGTACGTGATGTCCTTCACCACGACGGACTTGGGCGTGATCGCCCACCTGATCATCCGCTGGTCCTGGTCCGACAACTCGTTGAAGCGGCCGCCGGGCCCGAACACGGGAAGTCGTCGAAGAACCGGATGTTCCCTCCGTGCCTCTCCAAAGGTACGTCCATGGTGACGACTTCGTCGCTGTACCCGTCGGCGGACACGACCGTCTCGGAGTCCGTAGCGTCGCTCATGACCACGTAGTACCGGTCGAACCTGTTCTGTACACACTCGCACATGTGAACACGACCACCTCTATCGAGAACCCCGTGTACGAGGGTCGTCCGTCAACGAGTTGGTGGACACGTGCAGCAGCACGAGCGTCACCGACCTCGACCCGCAGTACACATTCGTGTAGGTCCGGCTGTCCACGCTAAAACATGACGATGGCTGTGCACACGAACGTGTCGACGTAGACGGCGGCCGACAGCAACATATCCATGAGTACGGATAGCACGGCGGCCCGAGATCGTCGGTGTGTCCGGAAAACAGCTCCGTGGAGATGAACGCGTACCCGCTCAGTAACCTGATCATCTGCGTGGTTGTGAACAAGGTCGACACCTAACAAGCTGGACGCGCTAATGGGATATGGGCTGGGTTATCATCTCCAGCTGGATCGAAGACCCGAAGTCAGCCTGAGTATGAACTGGAGCAAAAACCATCACCGACGTCTGCTTCAGGCTCGGGGAGGGCGACCACGAGGGTGGTGGTCCTGACCACGGACATACACCACTGGCCGTGGCCTGGCCCAGGAGATGCATCGTCAATCTCGTCTCGGACCACGCGGGTAGCGAGCGCGCCCGAGATTATCACCAAACATGAAAGCAGTCGGTCCGGTCCAGAAGTTGAGGGCCGTCTCGATCCCGGGGTATATACAGCCCACGCTCACGCCCCGGGAACCTGGCCTGGGCATGAACCTGCCCCGGCGACCTGCCCAAGTTGTCGGTAGTCGGTCTGAAGGTGGAGGTGAGCACGATCAACGATCAAGCGCGGGGACGGCATGCCGCTGCCGCCGCACGACCCCATCATCATCAGCATCGTCACCACGAACGGGGCAGGGGCTGGTACGACAAGGAGTTCGACGACAAGTGCTATACTGCGTATAACACACGTTCGGGGTAGTGAACGCGAGATCGCATGGCCGGACGGGCGCCAACGTCAGCGTCATCAAGGTGGAACTGGAAACGAGGAGGTGACCAGCGCCTCGGAGGCCTCGTACGACAATCATCAACTCGCTCTGTGCCCCGACTTCGTGAAACATCCACAACGGCTTCCACTTCGACCTGAGGGTATATATACTCTCTCTCGTCCGACAGTGCGACTGACCACCCCGTGGTGGGCTACACGTTTCGAGGAGAGAGGCGTTGCGCTTGGGTATACGTCGGAGTCGGGCATCTTCTGGAGAAGCTCAACAACGGGACGATGATCGTCGACTCGATGTACACGGCCTGGGTCGGAGCCGACCAGCCACTGGCCGTCCCTCGCGAGCCCTCGCGAAGATGGCCGAGAGAGGTTTGATCTGCCGCCGAAGCTGGACAGCAGCATTGTGCAATGGCCGTCGAGGTCAGCGACGACTGCGGCGTGACGAACATCATTGAGTACAACGCCCAGGGACTCGGACCTGCTGGACGTGGGGCTGGCCAAGACTTACATGCTCATGTGCGAGCGAGCGTCTGTACATGCTGGCGGGTGCGGCCCGGGGCACCATGTCCATGTGGGACGCCGTCGCCAGCAACAGCACGGCGGTCCTGATGTTTTCTGCCTGCAAGCAGTCCTACGCCCTGTCTGTCCGTCGGCAAGATCCTAGACCTGAGCAGGAACATGTCCGTGTGACCGACGACAAGAAGTACGAGGGCGTTTGATCATGGTCGACGGCAACTCCCCTATACAGGTCGTTGATGGAAGCACCTCTAGATATTCGTCGATCGGTATGCGTGTTTATGCACCGACGTTCGAGGCCCTGAAGGCAAAGACGAGCGCTCCCCGATCAATCGACGTGGACCCGGAGAGGCTCGATCGAGTACGAAAAGGTGGTTTTGGAACGCAGATAGATGAGTGTGTCATCGTCATGAACGACCAAGTACTCGTGCATCTCCGTCATCATCCAGGGGGGCGAGGACACGCACTTGGGGCGCGATCATATCCAGCCTCTCATCGACCTGAGGACGGACGTACACGAAGGAGTAGGCGTCTGAGTACTCGGTAAGGGTTGATTGTTTTTTTTTTTTTTCCTTTTTGGGAAATTATCATCAAGGATCATAAACTCATCGTGATGGGGTTGAACCAAGGAGAATGGCTCGGTTGTGGCGAACCACTGGCGCCAAGACTAACGTTAAGTAGAACTAACGCTAGTACTAACGCTAGGACTGACGCTAGGACTGACACCGTTTCCTGATTGAGCCGAATTCGTCTGTATAATGTACAGGCAAAATGGCCGCCGGCCTCCTGGTTGGACGAGACGCGCACGGTGCAAGGGATACAAGATCCTAACAACTGAGACACCGTATATCACGAACACCCACGTCACACTGGACACTCAGCTCAGGCCTCCAACCAAGGAGTCAGGCCGCCAGCCAAGCAGCCGGCTTATCGCACGTATATATAGCAGGAGGGATCATACCTGTCAACCCTAAGGCCTTCTTCTTCAAGCGTTGGCATCTCTATCCATCGGCTAGTTATTTATCATTGTCGATCCCATAGTACACACATTCACCCCTCCAGTTAGGTATCTGGTCTGATAGTATCGTTTTTTTCCTCAAACTTTTTCGTCATGGATATTGAAGGTGTGAAACCAACTGCATTGACATACCATGTGGACCAAGAATTACGTCTCATTTTTCAGGAATTTGAACGGGAGAAGCTGGATATCCTGGATGGGTTTGACCTAAAGATCCGGAGAACGAGGATGTATCTTATTTGTCTTCAGGCAAGGGAGGAACGCCGGGAACTGCTCAGCATCTGCACGAGGGCGATGACCGGATGCGATCCGCAGGTCATTATCGACGGATATTTCAAGCACGCAGAATCGTTGCATGCCTGCAATTTTTTGATACCGGCCCGGCGCAAGGACAGGCACGAGCAGCTTCGTACCGAGGTCATGCGCGGACTCCGACAGCTGGCGATTCCCTTGCTTGCGCAACGTTTCACAGACCGCATTGATGATTTCGTGGGGAAGCACCGGACGCCGCAGCTTGAAAGCGAGCTTCGTGCCCGCAAGACGAGATACGGTCTGGATATTGACGCTGCGCAGGCACGTCTCGCTATTGTATCTCGATTGCTCGAGCTTTGGAAGAATCATGAAGATGAATAACCGGGCGCGACCTATAGATGCGCCGGTTTTTTGCTGGAGGTCGGAAGTCTTGTGCAGGAACCGCAACGCTCTGCTGCTCCCCCCATCCCTCTCCACCGAGACGATCATTTCACCATGTCGAACGAACCGACTGTTCACCCCTCCTCAGCCACCAGATCAGTCGAAGCCATATCCGACGGGCGCACGCAAAAGGATTTGGACACTTGCGTGTATGAAGCGAAGCTGTTACCTTTCGTCTCTTGGGCCCGAGGAAGAGACGGAATTGCAAAAAAGAACAACTGAACGGTCCGAGTTCCCTTCAGTCACACAACAACTTCAGGTATCTGGGCGGCCAGCGGATCCTGTTCGTCAATTTATTCTTCCATGTCCTCAGTTCGTCAGGATCAACATCATATCCTTCGTCATGAAACACGTACATGGCGTGATCCGTCGCATCATGTATCGCCTGCACGACAATCGAGTCGTATGCCGCCGATGTTTTCCACTCCTTTGATCTGGCTTTCTCGACCACATCGAGAAAGATTTCCCATTCGGCTCTACTCAACAGCACCTCCTCTCTGGGGAAAATGTGAAAGAGATGAGGTTCGCCTTTCCAGTCAATCTTTTCGTCAAAAAGGGTTTTATGAGCTTCATAGCGCTCATGATTTTGAAATTCTGTTTTGATCTTGTCGTGGAAGGACGGCCACTTGGGAGGCAGGCCAATCTTGGTGATCCTGCCGTTTTGAATAATTTCTCCCGCGTTGACGAAACGGACGAGTGGGCATGTCTTTGAAGTTTCGCAAAGAAAGGATGTGCTGTGCGAGGTTGCCACGATGACCAGATTGCCGTTGGTATTGGCGATCTCGTTCAATTTAGCCACGATTTCGTGTGCGAGGCCGCAGCTTGGCCTTTGAATTTCATCGAGATAGCCTGAAGCCGGATCGAGATAGAGGGAAAAGATAAACACATTCGTTTCTTCAACTCTTCCTTGTTTGACATAACGGAGGCCTTGATCCGGAAGCGGAGGCATTTTGTCGAATGTCCGGTTTTTTTCTTTTGTTATCGCTATGAAACAGTGGCCTTTGCTCTATCAATAAATACTCGGCCTGGCTTTGGTTGCTGCGTAGCGATGGAGATTTTCATTTGGGCGGCCGTGCAACTGGCGGTGTAAGGAGAATTGCATCAAGCCACGTACGTGTGTATGCCTCGGTCGAGCCCTGTGAACTTTTGGAACTTTCGACGGCATCGGTGTGTGATGTGGCAATCAGGTTCAGGCCGCTCGGCGCGAAAGGCTTGTGTGCCATTGGCGAAGTTTCGGGTTGAGGCGTGAGGCGTCAGGCGCCAGCCGCTTCACTTTAGTAAAACCTTTTCAAGGTATTGGTTCCTGAAAAAGGCAACCTCTGGGCCAAGCCGATAGCACGGTGGCTGCCTGGCCCCTGTCTCATGCCAGCTGGCCGGCCTGGCCGCTGGAGCCTGTTGGGGGCTGTGTGGTATCTGGGTCGGGACTGCGGCTTCTGGGCAGTGACGGTCCTCGCGTTCAAGGCGTCTGCCGGCGGCGTCTTGAACCAGCCGTCTGCTCTTTGCCAGATGCAAAACACGTCATCCTTCAGTCATGTTCGTTTGCAACGTTGATCTGCCGGTGACGGATACTCTATCGATGAAGATACTCCCGTCGAGGATGAACTGTAGTCCAATACGGAACAACTGAACTCGCTCGATTATGAGCAGCGTCGACGTAATCTGAAGTATGGGAACGCCGCGGACACGGTCCTTCCTCGCAACTCTGACACTGTTTCATCTTCGGCACACCATCCGCCACGGGATTACTTCCGGAGATGGTTGAAGTCTACTGGGATTATAATTCTGTTCAGTCCGTTCGATGCGGGCATCATCTGTCTCAATGCGACGTGACGCTTGTTGAATTGGAGATATCCTCGAGCTCCCGTGGGCTCTTTGTGTCTAATCCGAGACCGATGAGGCCGCGGTGGTCCAACCAGGCGTGAGCTTGTTCCCCAGACAATACCGGATTGTAGCTAGGCCCTTCTGGTTTTTCTCGTTCTTCAGACTGCGGAGAATTTCGGCAACGACTATTCTTCCCGGGGAAGAACAGATCGAAGTAGATATGAGCAATTTGTCGATGATGAGGATGATGAGGCTTTGGATTGGCAAGTCTGGAAACAACTTTACTCGGCCGGGCAGCAGCGCCTATGAGTGGTATGGACCGCAGGCGCCCTGAAATAAATAATCGTCAGAGATAGAGCTTTTGCCGTCAGCAGAAATCAAAATCCATTCCTGATTTGAGTTGAAAAGCATTTCCTGCGTTCGTTGATTGCTGCGGCACCGGCTTTTTTTTTTTCTCCCGAGGATATATGTCCTCGATTTGAATTGCTGTTAAGCCTCCACCTCCAAAATCGTCAGGATAATACTGACGAGAAAATGGCGAAACTTCTCTGGACTGACCCCTTGCCAGTGCTCTGAGGAACAGCCTCCGCGGACCATGCTCTTCCTGTGGCGCGGCTTCGCTGCGCTGTGAGTACAAAAAGGGGCCCGGACAAGGAGGACGTTCAAGAACGCACGCACGCCCAGCAACCCCGTTAGTTTGAAGCCTTTCGGTCTTCATCCGGAGACGACGATGTCGGTTGCCGGCAGGAGTATGGGTCGACCGAGCTTGACGAACACGCTGAAATGAAATCCGCTAGCCACCCTCAATTACTACCCTGCCACCCCAACGCACCTCGACTCACCCCTGATGCCGGTAGAAATGTCACATGGGATAGAAAAGACGCAGCAGCCTCCTCTCGCTGAGCGTAGGAACCAATATTGTCGTAGTGGCGGTCTCCTCGATGGTGGAAAGATAGTGGTATTGAGACAAATTCTGCTGTACCAAGGTGTCGTTTCGGCCAACTGTTAGACACAGCAGGACATCCGTCACAGCACGGTTGTGCAGCACAGTGGGTGGCTTCAACGAATTGAAAATGATCTGCGGGTCGGCCCAACCACTGCGGTTCCATGCCGGAGAATGTTGCCGTTGTAGTGCTTCGGTGGTGAGTTTTTTCTCTTTGATATCGAGCTTGATCGAGGTACATCGGCCAAAGATTGTGTTCGTCGAGGGATGTAAAGGATGTGGCCACAGACCGAGTAGAGAAACTGATTGTCGAGGAACTACTGTAGGTTCGTTCCTGTTTCCGACGCCCGACCCGACACCTTATTGAATCAATGTCTCGTGTGAATCACTGTCTCGTGTAGTCGAGTCGATGTCATCCTTGTTGGAGACCTCTGGGATCTCAGCATCAGCCAGAAGGGCGTTCAGAATACATGCTCAAAGGCGTGGTTGTGGTCGTTGATGTCGCCGAGTTCGCGGGTATCTTTGTAGGAGCCACGCAGGTGTTTTAGGCGCGCAGGAGGGGACATTGATGGAAGATATTTCCGCGCTCCCCCATGCTGTCCGTTGCCTCAGTGTGCCTTGCGCTGGTTTTGTTGAAATATACACACACCAATGTAAATAGGTAACTTACCCCGAGTAAGTCGGCTCTCCCGATGGGCATCAGCTACCTCCCAGGCATGAGAAGCCCCGATTTGCTGTACAGCATTCTCCCATCACGGTCAGCATCAAAACGCAGAGCATCAACCGAATTTGCTATCGAGCCGGTCGATGGCCGGAAGAATTTGGTGTCTGACCATTGAATCATTGCCCGCGCGTGGAATAAACAGTCTGCACAGCACATTGCATGGTTGGAGGCCTTGGTAGAGTAGCCCTGGTATTCTCAATGGTCTCGTGGAAGAGCTGTAACAGCATTCGATAGTCATCCCTGCTGGTTCGTGAGAGCTGGACTCGTGGAGGTAGCTGAGGTCCCTCCCCATCCGACGAGAGACGAAGAGAGGGGCAGTCTTCTGTAATGTGAAAGGGGATGGACCTGGTGCTGGATGTTGCGAGGGATCAATGGATAGGTTTGTCACTGCGGAGGAGCAGCAGACTTTCACGCAGCCTCTCCACCAAAACCAAGTCCCTGGATGGCGTTCGAACTCGAACCGCTTCGTGTGTCTCGTGCTCGGTAATTATGCGTGAAGCCGGGCGATACAATGCCTCTCCGCTGCAGCGAGTTGATTATGGCTCATGACCGAATGTGAACAACACTGGATTTCACTGTCGTGCATCAGTGAAATCGTAATGGCGATGGCGATAGCGACATAATGAATGAATGAATGGGCAGTGTGATAGAATGCAGTCCAATGGCGTCTAATATCGTAGTGTGTGATTTTGCTACCTGCGACTTTGCCAGACTCCTATTCGTACCCTCTTCAGTGTACCAGCTCTGTTTGTCTTGTATCGAAAGACGACGTCGGCATTGATCGTTTCAATTGTGTTTCTCCCCTGCAGGCTCTCCCTGAAGGCTACAGAAGCCATCTGCTTCAGACGATTGGTCTATTCGACCACCAATCCACGAGGCCAATTGTCCGTTCGCCAAGTGTTCAAGTGTGTGCGAGTACCCGGTACGAGGATGTCTGCGTCAGCATCACTCGCCGTCGCATGGAGTGTTTGTACGAGGGGTTCCGTGACAGACTGAGTCAATTCGCTTGATGTCAGGGTGAGATCCATGGGATATCTGATATCTCCTGACTCATGTATCTCCGCTTCTCACTCCATTGAAATTCCGCGCCGGTGACTCCAGAACACAGAGTGTCGTTTCGAGCTTCGCGGTCGTTGTCGCCGAGCAGTAAGGGAACATCAAGTGGAAAGGACGGAGAGATGGTTCTGGCCCGTGAACATTGTTAGTTCGGTTCTCGGTCAACTAGCCGGATGGCAACTTGCTCCGGGCTATGTCAATGGCACCAACCTGGAGCCGTCAGGTGTGTATCTTAGCACCAAGCTGATAGGACTGCAGCTTTCTCATTTGGGGCCTGCAGGTCCTTGTCTTTGGTCCACCGGCGGCCCCGCGTCCTGGGATCTGGGCTGATTACCCAATTGCGCCCAAAAAGTGACCATCCAACGAGTGAAACAGAACGCTTTTCCTGCTCATGTTTCTTCTCAAGAGGATGGGCAAAATCGTGCACGACACTCTAGCTCGAACTGCAAAATTGGGCCCCCCCCAGAAGGTCGTGGAGACGGTCGCAGATGTAAAACGACGTTTCGCCGTTGCAGTCAATATAGCCCGTAGGGCTTCGGTTTGAGCTTTGAGAGATTCTTCTCATGGAGTTTGGCAATACTTGGTGTACGCGCCCGTGCCCTGGACAGCTTCTCTTTCGCTTTTCGGTCGGCAATGCGAGTTCTGGACACTGTCGAAATCGCCTCCCAGGGCCGGCTCAAGTTCGAATTCAACCGTCAGATATGCGGCGGATGCAGTATCGACAAGCACGGGACGCCTATTACGGATGAGGTGGTGAGGATTGTAAAGGAAGAGAGCGATGCCGTGTTGTTTAGGAGTGCGGGAGGACCTGATGGTAAGTCTTATTCCCCCTTTAATGTCAGCTTTTCGTCGCTGGTTGCGTTTCATTGCTTAGAAACTGAACGCCTGACAATGACATTCCGTAAAGGAGAACGGCCTGGCTAATCCCGGAATCTGGTCTCCTGCGTCTCCGCCAGCACCTCGACACTTTCGCCAATATGCGCCCATATACATTCTGCTCCCCCTCGTTGCTGTCACTGTCCCCTCTGAAAGCTTCTATCGCCAAGGGCACGAATTGCATCGTCCTGCGCGAGAACTGCAGCGGTACCTCCTTCGGTACCAAGGTCGAAGAAGCCGACTTTGCCAGTGACTCGTGGGCGTATCGACGGGACGAAGTCGAACTAAGCAAGAATCAGATGAGTGAAGATGTTGAACGACTCGTTGCGCAGGTGACCCATGAATAGGCCACCGGGCGATATCCCGACCTGGTGAAGTGATTGTCTTGATACCATTCGGGCAGTTCTTCAAACGTACAGCGCACCAATAGGCGTGCTTGTGTATCCAGTCTGCAATACCATGTTGGCCAGTAGCTTCGTATCCGTTTGATGTGGCATACGTGAATGAGACTGTGAGGTTCTATTTCTGAAACGGTTTGGGAGTGGCACGGTCGTAGTACATCGTGGATTGAGATTGTAGGGATGGTGGCATCATAGTTCTTGTTTTGAACATAGAAACCATGTCTGACCCTCGATAGCGTGGGAGTAGCAAGCGCATTCGGTTGAGGGGTTCGACGGGCAGATCTGACGTGGTCCAAGACTTGGCCGAACGTGGAGAGCTAGCCAGGAACGCAACGGGGACTGTATCGAATCAGCTTGAACAAGAGCCACCGGTAAAAGATGGGGTTCACAATCTCCTAGAACCCAGCGCGCGCGCGCGCGAGAGAGAGAGAGACATACAATCCAAGTAGAAGAGTTCAGGGGTGAGTGTAAACCTTTGGCGATAACAACGCCCCTCGGCGAAAGTAAACCCAAGATCTGCAACGCCACAGTTCCACCTTTTCTGACCAACGCCAGCAGGGCCTTCAAGGGCCAAAGATTGAGTGGTAGAGAGGAGTAGGTTTCAGATGGGCAAGAGGCGATTTAAGTGCCCTGTAAATCGGTCAGTTTCGTGGCTCCACAACTTGGCTCACAGAGATTTTTCTGAGCGAGGCTTACCACAGACGAATGGATGTTGCTAGATAAACAGGTTGAGACCGTTTGATGAAGGCTTAATGAGGTTTTGGTAGAGTTGTTGATGAAGGTGTTGACGAAACTGAGATGGTGGTGGCGGAGATGAAGTGGAAAGTGAGATTAGGAGCGGAATAACTATAATCCGCTAGTCACGTGTTTTGTGTTTTTAATAACTAATGGATGGGCTGGCGCTCTTTTAGTCAGTTTTGCTGGTAATACTAGCTCAGCTACGCTTCGCTAGATAAGGACAAGGCGGGGCCTTTCCACCAGCTCGCCGAAGCTAGAATAGGGAAAATAGGTCCCCGATGCTCCGTAGTTAGTAAGGTAAATGGCTCATCAGATGACGTGCATCGCCTGTTGCGCAAGCGTCGGTGGGAAAGGGACAATCATCCAGGGTGAAACAGGAACACGGTAGAGGGGACAAGCAAATAAAGGACAAAAGGGTCCAGGTGGAAATGCTGCATGAGAGTCCTGGTTGTTGAGAGTCTTTCCACCTATGGCATTTCTTCGTGATGAGACTGTGAGGTTCTATTTCTTGCCCGACCAGCTTCCCCCCGGTTAGTAAAGAATGTGGACGGCCCCGTTGAATCGAAAGGCTTTGATTGCCAACACGGCGTCTTTTTCAGGTTCTTCGTCATCGTTGGTGAGGTCAGTGGATCGATTGAAGGGCAGCCTTTTTCCACACCGAGAATTTCCATCCGCCGCCAAATCTGTCTGATGGGCTCCGTCATTACACAGGCCGATCGAATTTCCCAGCACCATTCTGCGCCTCGTTCTTTCGGCAATTGAGTATTCATGCTTTTGAGGTTGTTTCCAGGAGTCTTGTGGGCAAGGCAAGGTCAAACCCACATTCTTCACCCTCTTTGTAGATGTAGATGTAGATGTAGCCGTTGAGGTCCAGGCACTTTAATGTACTCAGCCAGATGGAATGTACCCTACCAAATGAGATGGAATGTTCCCTTCAGGTGGAATGTACCCTGCCAGATGGAATGCACCCCGCCGGATGGAATGTAACCTACTAGATGGACTGCTCCCTTCAGATGGAATGCCAAATGGAATGTCAGATGGAATGTACCCTTCAGATAGAATATTCCCTTCAAATGGAATTAGAATTGTAACACGAGCGCCTGTTGTGTTTTGGCGCAACCTTTTCACAAAACGGGAACTCCGACGACATCTCGTACACGGGCGTTGTTGGCGAGTGGTTCCAGCAGCGCATCCATCTTCAGGTTGACGATGCCCGTCAGCTGAACACGGAGTGACCGCCGTCGAGAAAGGCAAAGGTCACCTGTCGCACTGCTGGGCGCTTGAGCGCCAGGTCGCGTCCATGTGGCAAAGGACATACACGATGCGATCCTCTTTCAGTTACCAGGCCATGTCGAGACAATTGTCTCCCTGGCGAACATAAACCGTCGTCATTCAGGTCTAGCGGCCGCCGTTGCCGTGTACCAAAGTCACCTGGAATCTCCGAGCGTCGAATCTGCAGCAAAAGCTGCCCTGGTGGCCGAATGGGCGAAACTCCTCGGGAAAGTTAAGGGCTCAACGGAAGAGGCTCGATGGACATTCGGAGCGCGGAAACAAGATCCAGTGATGGTTCGTGATGGCCTGCTGGATGCATTCAATGAAAACAAGTCATGTCCAAGCTGGCAGAGTCGTTCATTGTACTTGGTCCTTGGGATTCCAGGCCTTCGGGGAAAGCAGCAAAGGTGCTCGGCTTCGGTGACGCTCTGAACTGCTCAAAGCTCACTGCGGTGTAGAAGCCGACAGCACATTTGGTGTCCGTGCACTTGAAGTATGTTTGCGGAGACCAGTTGAACTTGCGGCAGTTCATGACCTCTGACACACTCCCTCCCGTTCTCCCGGTAAAGTAGAAGGCATTCTCCTCTGGTTTGACCACTTTACCAGGCACCCAAGGGGCGGCAGACAGACCAGTCTCATCAGTATCCGCTACGATGTTGCTGATGGGATTCTCTCCGGTAACGTCGCCCACTGTGAAGTCCTTCCCAAAGTCGGTGAAGATGCAGCCGAATAGACCAAACGTATCAGCAATCACCAGGTAAATGCCGTTCTGGTGGCAATAATCGGAAATCGTGAGTTGATCTTTCAGAGATGTAGTTGTGAGCACGATGACTTGGTATTTTTTAAGTTGGCTCAAGTCATCAGTTAATGCCTTGGCCTTGCCCGGATTCCTGACTCACTGGAGACGGAGTTCTGACGGGGACTGGGTGCCAGGAGACTGAACGAAGATGTGGAAGTCGACGCCGCATCGTGGCAAATCCCTGACCTGTATCGCCACACGAACTTCCGACCAGCTCGCGTGCCCTGGAGAGACCACCAACCATACAATCAGATCTCCGTGCCATGGGATCTTCTTGCCATAGGATATAGATAGATTGCCAGTTCTTCGTCTGCTTGCGTATATCGCTTGCTGAAAGACCCCGTTTTGCTGTAGTGCGTATACCGGGAGTGAATTTCGCTCTTCTCGACTTCTGGGGCCAAAACCCTTGCCGTGGATAGCGAGTTGAGTTTCCGGTAGCCCAAAGGGCCGACAAATCGTCATCCAAGTGGTCACTACTCGTGACAGAACGCAGTAAGATGGTGAAAACCTAGCATGGTGTGCCAGTGCATTCTCTCACCGAATGTTCGTGCCAATCTTTCGGTTTCGGTTTCGGTCGAATTTGCGGTACCGAAGCTGGTATAACAACTCCCATCGGTGATTCGACATTTGTGACCGTGGAGGTTCCATTCTGGTGGCTGGAGCTGTCCTTGCTCCTTGATACCCTCGGCTTCGCGTTGCGCCCTTGAGCCCTTGCATCCTCCTCGCTACCCAACCTTGGGCCGATTTTGGCGCCCTTTGGCCCTTTGTGTGTTGGTGTTTGCATTTCTTTTCCCTCTCTTCTCCTGTGTGTGGATCGGGCAGACATGATACCGTCGAAGAGGACGTTGGGATGTAGGACGTCTGGGATCGGAGGTGGCTGGCTGGCTGGCTGGCTGGCGAGCGAGTGTGACCGAGAAATGGCCAGGTCAGGAACCTGTTCGAAGAGATTGATGGATATGCTATCCAAGGCCGAATCTGACCCTGCAAATCGTCTTTGTTGCGACAATAATTCCGGCAGTTGAGCTGCCTCTGGAAGTGTCTCCAGGAGGCACATCTCAGATTCGTGTCGGCCGCGCATCCCAGGCATTTCTGCCTTTGGAGCATAGGCTGGAGGTACACTTGAGATCTCCGACGCTTCTGAGGCGCTGCTCATCACGGAAGTCTGTGTCCAGTGGCGTGCCTCGCGGTGCAAGGTATATGGTGGATGGACGTATCGTGTCTTTGAAAGGTATTCGATAGCCTGGCGCCTTGTTGTCATCCACCTGTCGAGGGGAGTTACACCAATGGAAGTCTCTGTAGAGGACAATGCCTCAGTCGTAACGGGGACCCCTGCTGGTGTCTCACAAACCTCCGGACCTCCGCCACCGCCTCCAGCACCCATCCCCGTCTCTCTACCCTAGATCGACTACCCAGAGATCAGTAGAGATCAGTCTTTTCCCGCGAAGTGAAGACCGACCCTTGGCAGCTTCGTTGTCTCCTTCTCCAGCGATGGGTATCTTTCGCGCAGACGGACTGCCGATCCAGTCCTCGATTTCTTTGCCAATTCGACTTCCATGTTCAGCGTCAAGTTGTGAAAGATCAGAGTCGTGTGTCTGCACTTTGGCTTTGTATCGATCCACCACGTTCTCAGCGCCTTGATTTATTCCGAGCGTTGTGCATCGAAGTTCTGGTTGTCCATCAAGACAGCTTCCTCGGTGTCGGGGATCTTCAATTGTGGTCGAAGATATTCAACCTCTTTGACGGCGCGGACCCGTTGTCGCTCTAATCTTTCGTAAGCTTTGATGTCTTGATCCGCGTCCGGTTGTGCAGTCTTTGTAGATTTCAACGTCTCCATCTCGGTGGTCAAGGCCGCTTTGATTGTCTCATCTTTGTTCCATGGCGCCCGCCTTCCCATGGTCCAAACGACAATCACCATCTCGCCGTGTGCGAGCTGATCACCTAGGAAACTGCCCTCGCGCTCTTCAACCAGGGTTTCGACGATGGCGGCCTCCGCCGCAACACAACTTGATCGGGTGCCAAAATTAGACACACCACCACGAGGCTGTGGCATACACCCCTCAAGAGGAGGATACCGAGGATCGGTCACGTCGAAACGACGGCTACCGGTCCCGGCTTACCCCCAGAAATCTGGACAGAATCTTAGCCAAGGGCCAATCATCCACAGACCTCATCCTCACCGAGGCGCTGAAAGCATCTCGGGTTTCGGCCAATCCTTCACCCCTTCAAGGAGTCCAGTGATAGACCACTCACCTATGGCTGAACGGTCGGCTTCGCCGGCCAATGGAACCAGTGCGACATTAAAGTACGGAAATGGCCGACGCGCAAAGCACTCTAGGAGACATCCGTAACGAGCCGAGTCCTTTCTTGATCTCTGGCGCTGGAGACGACACGAGACGGTTCCACCGGCTGGCTACCAGATCACCTCGTGTTGATATCAACCCCAGCCCCTCCCCCCCTCCCCGCGAGGATTGGACGAAAAGATGATGGCGGTGGACCCAGCCAACGTCGACGTCTCCGCCTATGGCCGCGAACGTCAGACGAAGGTGGAAATCGACAAGGATTTGGCTCCGCCCGTCTAGGACAGCGTTGTCCTCTCCACTTTGAACTACGCGGCGGCGCCGTTCTGAAGCGGATGTCGCCTGTACTGGGGGCCAAGGGCGCCGTGAGAGGGTTTTCAGCCGTGGACACTCCATCCTTTGTTGCTGTAGAGCCTGCAGGCCCAGCATGTATGCAAAAAGTTGACATTGAACGCGTAGAGCGAGCCAACACGCCCTCTGATCTCTGGAGTCGCTACCTCTGAAGCGTATGTCGGACACACAGAAAAGATAGTTCCTGTTGCGATGCCAGTGATGACACGTCCGGTTCAGAAGACAGAGAAGTTGGTTGCGTCGACCTAGCCTGCCGACAAGTTGACGGGCGGTAACCGTCGACAAGCCACCCAAGGTCCCCCAAACACCTGTCAGGATCGGGGGCTAAAGACATTGGTGAACCCCAGCTTCGTGTAGATTGTGACCTGGTAGTTCTGGAGCGGGATGATTCGGGCGAACTGGCGGAAGCTCACAAACAACAAAATCAGGTACATGCGTTTGCGGTACGACTTTTTCTTGAAGATGGCGACGAGGCCGAGCTTGTTGGCCTTGTCGATCTGGTACTGCGTCTTGATCTGGTGGAGCTCCTTGACGTAAAAGTCCTCTTCGTATCCCTCGATGCCCTCGTGTAGCTTCCGGAGCACTTCCAGCGCCTCGTCCTCTCGTCCCTTCATAATCAGCCACCGAGGCGAGAAGGGCGTCCAGAACGAGGCAATCAGCATGAAAGCCGCCGGGGCGTGCTGGAGCCCCAGTAGAGTGCGCCATGCGGCATTGCCCTTGATGTAGTAGAAACCAAGACCTACCCATCCTAGCTCCGCCGAAGAAATACGCGCTGTTGCTCGAAGCCGAGGGGCGTGAGCGAAAAGGACAAGGCCTCGACTGAATCTCTGGCAAACGTCGTACAAGCAGGTTTCCGAAGGCGGTGATCCCCGAAGTTGGCCAGCGTGGGACAGCAGCAGGTAAGTGACTCCCTCGAGAGGATCCAAAATATATCGATGGCGTTTCAAGCTAGCCAAGTGAACTGTCATACTCTGAGGGCTGAGGATATGGGAATTGGCATGTCCCTCGTCCTGTGTGATATCCACCCTCGACGAGTACAATTCCCGGCGCTTGTCTGTCGCTCGACGTAGTTGGAACATGACCCCGAGCCTGGTAAGCCTGGGTGCTCCCGTCCTTCCTGGCGCTCCTAACCACCCATAATGTCAAACAAGGCCAGGCTCTGCCCCTCCAAAGATCACCTGCCCGCCGGTGATCGGGACATGTCGGACTCCTCCGGCTGTTGCTCCGAGCCCTGGACATCGGAGATAGCAGCCTGCCGGATAACAAGGACTGGGATCCCATCCGGAGGGGTCCTTCGCCGCAAGCAACATTCGAGGGCATGGCGAATGCCGTCCGAGAGGGTCACAGAATGGCTCTTGAAGTGCTGATCGACTTGTTCATCTCGGCCTCGCCTTTCATGACAACTCCGAAAGAGAGCTTCGACGGCCGCGTTCTTGTTCATGTCAGAACACTCTCTGCGTTGTAACCTGAGCGACAAGCATGAGTCCTGGCCTTCTGCTTCAGGAGATGGCGGGCCTGATGGCGGCCTGCGGAATGTCTTGGATAAGCTCGCTGGCGATGGCTATGGAATCGAGGTTGTCAAGGGGGACACAAGGCCCCAACTGAACTTGTGTATTTTCCTCGTTCAGTTGTGTCACCTGGAAGGGCCCCCAACAAGTTTGGGTGCGGACGTCAGTGAGCATTGTACCCAAGTGAAGGCGAGCGAAAAAAGGGCCTAATGCAGTAGGTGTCCATCCGGAAGTATTCCAGGTTGTCCTTCTTCGCTTGCCAGCCGCCGGAGGTTTCGAAAGGAAAAAGATGGAAACGAAAGGGGACCTTTTGCCAGCGAAGCCCGCGCAAAGCGTATGGCGTACTATCCCACAAAGAAGAGAAAGCGACAACAAAAGACTGGCGGTTTCTTCTCTTGGGGATCCCCCTCCAATTGCAACCCTTGTCTCTTTTCTGCTTCGCTACCTGGCTACCTCGAGTTGAGGCACCAGCTGCTGAGCACCCTTTATGACCACGTCCAAATACTCCTTCAAATTTCATGTGAGTTGTCCGCAGTCCTCGCTGGGCCGGATTCTCATTCGGAACCAGTACCGGTCTGGTTAAAGTCGTCGTGGAAAACAGTATCCAGCTGGAAGCTCCGGAAAAGCAAATGGACTCCAAAATCGTCCGTCGAGTGTTTGGAAGATATAAACTCTTCGTGATCGGCGTCGGGGAGCTTGGAATCAACGCTCCGGAGCAATTGCTTGAAGACGTGGACAACGATGTGGTGAGAGACGTGCTCGTGCCGCGGAACAAAGCCTCTTCTGAGCCCACGGCTCCTGCTATCAATGGTACAGTGATTGACAATTGACGCACGAGATTGACGTTTTGATCGACTTTGGGTGCTAGAATTCCAAGACCAGCGCTTCAGAAACGCCTCGCAGACTCGCGGCCGAGCGAGATCACCGAGACCGAACACTCGATCAGACTCCGCGACGACGGGCCCTGCCGCATCATCGTGTGCCATCTGACTGCGGACTTGAAAGCTGCTGGGCCCGCGCGACCACTCATCCTCCTCCTGCACGGCGGCGGCCATACCATCGGCTCGCGATTTTTTCCATATTGTGCGACTTTGGGGATCGGTGGTCTGTCTGATACTCGGTAGACAACCGAGTGCAAGAAGGCTTCCAGTAAAGCCATGGTGCTGAGAAGTTGGTCGCTTCACCATTGAGGGTGACCTTCTCTCAGTTTCGAGTGAGGGTGGACGTGGAGGGATCAATTCCATGTCGTCGTTGGCCTCGCCTCGTCTCGCATTGATAGCGAACGCATGCAGTGTTCGGACAATAACTTATTGTGCTGATCTGTCTCTTCTCAGACGCCGACTTCAACTGGCGATGCGCCGGTTCGTCCACGCTTGGCTTTGTCATAGATGGATCCCTTCTCTTCACCTTCGTCTTGGTCGTCCGCGTCCACCGCGGGAAATCGTAGGAGACAGGATCGGAGACTGGGAGAGATCGAGGGATGGGTGGGATAGAATGAGAGGTTCCTGTGTTCCTGCTGTCAACAAGTGAGGATTGTCTTGCGCGCGACTTGCGGTTCTGAAGCCCTTGACATTGTGAGAAATGTGTTTCCCCAGAGGGTTGTAGTAGTGCTGCAGTGGTAGATGCAGCTCCTCTCTCGGGGGGAGCGTTGACTCCTGCATGAACGGCTATGCCGGAATCCATGACCCAGGCTGATCGACCACCTTTTGCATGCAAGTTCTGCAAAAAAGTATGTGCTGCTCTCTCCTCTCTGTCGTTTGTCTGTTCAATCATGGGTTGCGTCTCTGCCTGATTTCAAAGGGTTTCCCTGCAGAAGCGAGGGACTCAGAGCTAGTCTCTAGTTGGGCTGTAGGCGCAAACCGCAACGTCTTCGAACTGTGTGTGTGTTGAAACTGCGCTTGCTCGTCCACACCGAGGGTGGCACGAAAACGTCCAAACGAGATCTGCAGGGGCTGAGGGAGAGGTCGGTGAGGCTGAACTACTTGGGACATTTGCACCATCTGCGACATTGTCCACAGACAATACGACCTCCAAGTCCTGATCGAGGAAATTTCTCTCTTTCTAGGCCTCTTTCCACTTTGTGTCTTCGTTTCCGCGTCTGGGCTGTTTAGTTCTGGCCATTTGAGTGCCATCTGGAGGAGCTGAGATACGACACGAGACCGCATCCTCTAGTTCTTCAACTCGAGATATGGCGGGTGTTCCATCCTTTGGCGGCGGTCTGGAGGTTCGTTTCTCATGGAGCTCGTTCGAGGATCAGATAGACTGACCGTTTTCCTTTTCCTTTGCACAGCTTTTTGTCGACGGAACGCTGAACTCCTGCGATCCTGTACGATCAAACACGTTGGGTGTCGTCGTCTCTAAACCTTCACGGTGTACGGATGAGGCTCGTCGACTGCTCGAGCGGCGTGAATGACCACGCACAGTGAAGGATATCCCCTTTCATCGGACCGCCTCCTGCCAGCGAGCCAGTGAGGCTTAGTCATCACCGCTTAGTCATCTAGAAGACCCGATTGGGTATTTACCCCGAAGTGGAAATTATTCGGCCAACCTTTCCAACAGGGTTAGGGCAACAGTTGACATCATCATGACGACTGTTCATGCAGGCGGCTGCGCACGGACCCTCAACTGTCGGAGCTGAACATTATGTTGGCACGTGCGCAGACCACGTGACATGATTATTCGACCCCAACCTGGAAACCGACCTGGAAGTGGACTCGTCCGATCCGGTTGTCGACTTCTTAGCGGCGTGAATGACCAGAGAAAATGCACACCTGTCGAAGAAGGCGGAAATCAATACCTCCCGTATACAGGCAGCTGACGTGGTTGTCCCGCGGCAATGGCAACTTTCCACAAAGCTCGTTGCCAATCTCAAATGGGCATCGGCATCTCTCTGAGATTACAGAAGCCGGTCGAGTCCCTGGTCGATCCAAACCAAACCAACATCAATGAGAACGAATCGAATCGGGGCGAAGAAGATGCTCTTGCCCGAGCCATTGCGACCGACAACGACGTTGAGTTTCGGGGAGAAGGGATGGACAACTGCAAATCTGGTTCTTGTAGCTGCAAGAATTGATTCAAACCCAGTTTCTGCATCTGTTATCCCCTTGACACCCCAAGACCAAGTAGTAATTACAAGTCGAGGATGTGACTGAGAACAGGAAGGACAAGTGGCCTCAAACAGGAATTGGACAAGAGACATGATGCCACTAGAAGTAGGACATCGAGGTGTGTTCATTGACAACCCTTTTGGGAGACGTCAAACTCCAAAAGGCGGCTTGCCTGCTATAGGAGAAAGTCTTGTGTGATGGTTGGTGGTTGTCAGTTTGACAGTTGATTCGATCTTCCCGCCATTAGAGATGTAATTTGCATAACCTATGCAATCATCAGGTCATCACTGTGTTGTCGCCACGCACCGAGTTGTGTGTTGTCCCATCTCATACCGTTTCGAGTCTTGCGCGTACCTTTTGGGACGATCAACCTGAAGCTTGCTGTGTATCCTAGGCCTGATTCCCATGACACCCACGCGCTGGAGGGGTCTGCATGCGTGGCTGCTTGGGGGTTTCTTGGCTCTGTTTAGATGCCCAACATACGGTGCTGAGGGATATCAACTGATGTAACGCACGGCAGCATGATTTTCGGCTAGAGTGGCTGCGCCGGTCGCTCGACCAAGTGTTGTCGACTCCCGCCGAGGCCTACCTGGCATCTATACCAGCTTGAGTCGTGGTTGAGACGCCAGACTCATTCTTTGTAGGTTCTTGGGTGTTGAAGTGGTTCTCAATGGTGAGACACACGTGAAGAATGACCGTAGACCGTAACAACAGAAGCGTAGCTATTACACCTGACCTGTAGTTGCAGAGTTGCAGGTTTGGGGAGTTGTTGATAGCTGGTGTGTTTCCAGGTAACCTTACCGCAGGACAGTCTACCAGAGCAAGAAACGTAGCTATCTCGAAACATATGCTGTAGGCGAGACTGGCGTTGACTGGACAACCATGAGCAGAGTGAGATCAGGTCGCGAGAGGCCGACGTGGCTGACAAGCTCGTGTATCTGACGGTCAAACACCCTTTCTGTGTGGAGTCTGATATGATCCGGTCTCCCTCGTGAAGGAGGAACCGGCACCATTTGTGGTCGACATTGCCACACAACGAGACAATATGCGCATGGCGGCAGCGGAGAACTCGAGCATCGGCAAATAGCGAACGGCGATCGTTTCCAGGCGCCTCGAAGCGAAGCCGGCCGGTCACTTGGAACTCTGTACAGAAACAGATCTTCTCCTGCGAGGAGCGGAATATCTTGAGGCCTCATGTGCCGTCATAATCGAGAGCCCGGGGATGCTTTCCCCGTGACGCTGATGGCAAAGTGGCCGCTTGGGGCGTCGCGGAAGGTCGTTGAAGCGCACTATCACCGCTCAGAGGTGAGATATTGCAGTGCCACTGTCGACACCAGATGTGTCTCTGATCCATTCGGATTCTCCCAGTGTGAAAGGATGAACCTGGATTGACGGCCTTCTTAGCCACGTTTGGGTCTGCGTCCGACTGGGTGTCCTCGTCCTCCTCTTCTCTCTCTCTCTCTCTCTGCAAAGGACTCCCGGCGAGACACAGAAAGAGCATCGATCGGCCACTCTATCGCGGCGTGTTCAGACTCGCTCCGACACCAGGCGAGCTCCAGACACCCAGTGGGCGACAGAATTCCGTCCCTGCCCATTGTTAGCACAACTAGATCTCAAGACATCACCATCTTTCTACCTTTTATGCGTTTACCACCCTGTTCTGACTAGTAATTCGCATCTCTCTGGCATATCGCGGATCTTGTCTCGTATCTCCTCGAGAGAGATTTCACGCCAGACCTCGTTCGTTACCTTTATCCGCTGGTTGTTCTGTAGACATCTTAGTCACTCAAGGAACAGGAACAGACCTCATTCTCTGCTTCCAGATATTCCAGTCGGCCTCAGATGGAGTTTCAGCCAGGCGAGGAGGCAGGGTGAAGGGGGTTTTCTAATAGAGAACGCCTCTCGTTTGCGCTGTGCGAGGCCTCTTTTCTTCATTGCGTGAGAAGGATCGCCGTCCCGTCCTCGACGAGGAGGAAATCGTGACCGTGAACAGCGCGCGCATATGCCTCTAGTGGCGTCGATGGAGACTTGTAGGAGATGTTCGGTATAGTAGCGCTGGGTAATCGAGTTATCTTTTGGCTGTAGAATTGGCTGTAGATTTGTGCATGCGCGGCGCCACGTCCCGCACGTCCATGTACCCGGCGCCGCCGATCTGCGGGGGAAATGCCTTTGTTGCGGCTGTAGATGTTCCAGACGGGCAGGAGCGTCGTGTCCAACTTGTCCGGCGTCGCGGGCCAGGACACCCCCACTGTATAGTGTCTCCTGGGTGTACATTACCCCCATCCTATAGTGCCCCTAGGTGTACGCCACCCCCACCGTAGTGTCTCCTGGGATAAGAACGATATCAGGGTTTGATGGAGGTGGTATCCTCCTCGAAGATGATAGCCAGTCAGTGCGCAAGTAGAGGACGCCTTTCGTGTGCGCGTTTTGCTGTCTCCTAGGTGTACATTACCTCCATCGTATAGTGTCTCCTGGGTGTGCAACCGGCCCCCTCGTATCGTGCCCCCTAGGTGTACACCGCCCCCATCGTAGTGTCACCTAGGTGTAGGGGATGCCCGCCAGAGCTTTAACTGATGTCCCAACGCATGCCCATCCCAATAATTCCGCCCCATATTCCAGACAAATAAGCCGCAAAGCTGGGCCTGCGAACCTCTCAATCTGAGACCATGCTCACGATATTTCGAAGGTAATTAGGATGATATTTCGAGCGTGAAATTTGGTCTTGGTTTAGTCGATCCAGTCGGGTGCGGAAGTGGAAGAAGCCCTTCGTGTGTGTGCGCTTACTGTCTCCTAGGTGCGCATTAACCCGCTCGTAGTGTCTCCTAGGTGTGTAACCGCCCCCATCGTAGTGTCTCCTGGGTGTAGGGGATGCCCGCCAAAGCTTCAACTAATGTCCCAACGCATGCCCATCCCAATAATTCCGCCCCATATTGCAGACATATAAGCCGCAAAGCTGGGCCTCTTGCGAATCCATCGCATCATGAATGACCTTGACCAGAGGTTGTTCAAGGAACGTTGTTCGCAAAGCCAGCCCGACTTTCAACGCGGTGTCGTTGCGAATGACCTTGTCATCGACGGGTACCTGCACTCAGATGCAACCCGACTTTCAACGCGGCGTCATTGCGAATGACCTTGTCATCGGCGGGTACCTGCACTCAGATGCAGCTCAACTCGCATCTGAAGGGTGCAGTCGAGGCCATCAGCAAGAACCAAGGCACTCATCTGAGTCCATGCTCAGGATAGATAGAGAGAGAGAGAGAAGAGAGAAGAAGAGAGAAGAGAGAGAAGAGAGAGAGAAGAGAGACAGGCAGAGACAGACTGACAGCTACACTACCATATCCCGAATGATGATCGTTACCTAGTTCTCGCAACCCACGCATGTTCCGTACTCACTCCTTGCCGTCCGAGGCAGCCGCCAAAGGCTGCTTGCTGCGCAGATGTCGGCAAAAACTGAGGTATGTAGTCTATCGAGACAGTGGCCAAGCTAAGGGCATCGAACCAGAGGAAAACAGCACTGCAGTGCCATGATCATGGTCGATTTCGCAGCGACAAGGATAGGACGGAGTGAGAGCCGAGAGTGAGAGCTGAGAGTGAGAGCTGAGAGAAGAGAGAGAGAGCGTTCATCAGAAGGTTGACGGCCATGACGAAGCTGCGCATGTTGTATGCCGCCTTGATGAAGGCGTACTCGATCGATGTGATGCTGGCCACGATCTCGGAGAAGCCGATCAGCACGTACGGCACCGTCCAGTAGTTCCATGAAAGCCACTGATAACACCGGGAAATGAAATGACGATTGCCTAGCCCTTCGCGTCGTTGTCGCCGTCGCTGCCAAAGTTGCCCAATGCCTCTTTGGCACGATGAATGGTCTCGATGCTGGCAAAGGCCTCGTTGACATTGATTGCCTGGGCCTTTTTGCCTCCTGGCCTTCGATAGACATAGTTGAGCCTTGCGGCTAGCGATTTGCCTGTCCATCTCGATCATAGACGTGTCTAAACGGTCGAGTTCCTGAGCGGTCTTTCTCATGTAGTTGCGGAATGGCCTCGAGAGCGATTCCTGTCGCGTTGCCCTGTGCATAGAATCGCCCATAGTTTCGCCTATTACTCGGCGAGAGGTAGAGGCCACTATCGAGTGGTTTTCGCTTGCGAGAAGGTGGCGTTCGTGGTATGGTTTGATCGATCGTGGCGGTCGAGAGGACTAGGCTAGATCGCATGGCCCTGTCAGGCTCCTATAGATAGACACCGCTCGCCTTCTATCCATCCTTGATATTTTCCGGGCTGAGGCCCCCCTGGCTAGCCTTCTGATAGATCTGGAGGAAGTTTTCCTTCTTTATTGGGCTTGTCTCGTCGAACCCGGCTAGATCAGCGATCTGTGCTCGATAGCGACACTTAGTAGGCGAAAAACAACTGAGATCAAGTGGCTTGAGGATATGGCTTGAATGAGGTAGCAAGTAGAAGGCCACAACGTTATTCTGGAAGCATTTCCACATGAATTCACGCGTAACATGATTCTTGTGGCCGTCGAGGAGTGGCAATCGACACTGGCCCTGTTCGGTCTCTTCCGTCGCCGTTTGAGGTAGAAACATCTATTCAAGCCAGGAAGTGTATCGATAATTAGGGCTGGAGTCGTCAGCACATGTTGAAGAAGTCCGCCAGTGTTTCCTCAATGCCGCCAACTTCTCCCCACCCCCGGAGACCATCGCTGGATCCGAAAGATGCAACAGTCTTGCCCCGATTGCCAGTTCATGGAGTCCCCGGTCGGCCGTAGCATCGTGGTTGGCATTCGCAAGGGGGAACCCATCTGCCCACGTTCAGACACGGCTTTGGATGCCCATTCTCGTGAGTGAACAGGCATTTGGTTTGATTGACACCATGTCCAGGACAGATGGCCCTGGCCGAAACCAGCCCGCATACTTTTGCAGACTCATTTTCCGCCTTGGTCGCGAGATGTCCGTGCTAACGCACATCGGGCGAATAGATAGGTGACGAAGTTAGTACTACTAGTAAAGGAGGTAGTACGGATTCGCGGCTAGACGCTAGCAGAGGATCATCCTGATCGACTGGCATCCTAGTACGCGTTAGTAGGCGTATATGAGGCGAATGGATAGGTGAAAGGGGTAGTACGGCTGCTGGAGGAGGCAGTGTAGATTCAAGCACGCAAATTCCTTTCCTCCTTGTCCTCGTATAACAAAAATGCAATGCAATGCAGAGCGTGTCCTGAAATCGAACCAGAAAATGAATGAGAGTGTGTGAGAGGACGGAAATCTGGCTTGCCTTGGGTTGACTTGACCTGGCTAGGCTTGCCTGAGTCGAGTGCGGTACAATACACGAGATCTCGCTCATCGCTCACCATCGAGTGAGTGACTCAGTCAGTTGGCCGTGGGTTCTGAACAAATCGAGCGTCAAGATCAGGTACTGTGGTCGAAAGACGGCGAAACGGTTCAGAACTAGAAGATGCGTCCCATGGACCTTGGTCACAATGAGGGCTGGGTCTGCGTCGACGACGTCGCTCCCAGGCTCATATTTAGGGAGCTGCTCAAAGGCGGCGTTGTTGGTTGCATCGGCCGTTGCAGGTTTCGATGCCCACGCTGGACAGATGCGGAACTCGAACTTCAGGTTGTCCTCAGTCCGTGCATTGGAACAGCGAAACCACGACTTGATATACCATATTCGCGAGGCTCTAGGCTTACATGACGAAGCAGTTGTCGATGTGCCGCGCCGTGATTTGAAGTTCATCAAGGCCCCGAGGTAGTGTCTGGGAGCTCCGGATGGAAACTGCAGGCAGATTTCTGGCAGGCTCATGGTTGATGGGTGTTGGAGCGATGATGCTGGCTGACTCCTGTCCTTGGATCGGCGCAAGGTATATTTGTGGTGTAGCAGCTGGAGAGGTGCGACTGACGACTGGACGGACAGCCACTTCATGACCTTGGGCCGAGGGAGAGCTATTGCTGGAAGACAGATACAACTGCTAGCGCAAAGTGTCCTGGAGATCTTTTCCTTTGAAGATAACTAGCGGTTGGAGGCGCTGGCTAACAGCACTGACTGCTAACTGTCTCAACGAGAGTAACCCATTTTCGCGTTTCAATAACAGTTTGATTACTCCAAACACCGAGGGCCAGTCCAGATTCGTCCATATTGTACACGTTGGTACCGATAATGGAATAGCGCTCAAAAACAGCCCGTAGATTGCTAAACCACGCCTCAAGCGCGACAGGAAGGGTACAGTTGACACGCCGAACGTAGATCTCTTTGCCTGCCTTTGAACGGATATCAGGGTGTGGTAGCCAATTAATCCCAACGCGTTCTGAGCCACCGTTTTGTCTGCTTATTGTTCCTGCGAGATTTCGAAGAGTCGAGTGGCTGAGGGGGTGCCCTTGTGCCTCGAGGCCGAGTATCCATCTCTTCAAGGTTTCCTCTTGTATATGCAACAATAACTGCTGTGATTCGTGAGACAACGACAACCGACTGAGTACCCTGTAGTCTGCGGGATAGTGTAGTGTGATGGACGTCGGTTGCGGCCGCGGCGGCGCGAATACTAGGATCGATATCGACGCGTTTCGTAGTCGGTAATTGCTCGTTGGATCCTCACCTCTCGATCTGAGGCCATGAACGCGTAAAAAAGGCGAATTGGTGGAGTGGTGGTTGGTGGAAATGGTTGGTGAATGGATGGTCGGACGGTAGAACGCGTGGTGCGAAACAGGGTCGCCGCAGACGAGTTTTTTATGTCGATAGTCCAGACAACAGTGGCTCATCTCGGACGATCAACTCTTCCTCAAAGCCGCACAGGTACGTCTAGACACGCATGGCACACCTCCATCGACGTGGGTGGTCAGCAAATCCGGCATCGATACCAAGGACATGTTCGGTGTCGAGAGCTGGCCATCTCCTACGTGCCCCTGTACCTTCAGCTGCGCGGGTTATTCGACGAGATCCTCGAGTCAGACGGGGTATTGCACCGGTAAGCTCGAGATGGGACCGGTAGAGTGGAAGGAAGCGTCAAAATGGACGCGTGTTGTCAGTGTTGCGGTCGAGAAGTCTTGATGACAATTGGGGATCAGAGCACCGGATGGTTAATCTGATCGCGCATCTCCTGCGGAGAACATTCTCAGGATTCATCCTTCGATCACGGTCTCTCGAGGGGACACCGAGCGCACCGGTGCACGCCGATTGGACGTTGATGAAGGTGTTGACGACATTGAAATGGTAGTGGCGGAGATGAAATGGAAAGAAAGTGAGATTAGGAGCGGAATAACCATGATCCGCAGGTCACGTGCTCGGCATTTTTCAAAAACCAATTGATAAACTCCGATAAGGCCGACCAATTGAACTACGCCCTCTTTGTAGGTCTTGCCCATAATACTGGCTTAGCTACGCTTCGCTAGATCAAGTGCCTCCTTTTGTCGCTCTGCTTGGCTCGAGATGGGACCGGCAAAGTGAAAGGCAACGTGAAAATGGGTGCGGGTTTCAGGTGTTCTGGTCGATAGTCTTGATGACATCTTGATGACATCTTGATGACATCACTGAGCCACCCCCCCCCCCCCCCTTCATCTCTAGACACATGCTTCTCCGTGGCTCCTCAGTCTATTGTCCACGGTCCGTCCTCATTTCTCATGTATGGTGCCAATCTTGAAACATCATTCGGACCGCCTTTCAGGCCCAAGACACCTGTCAGTGTTCCGTTAACACTTGGCACACGGCACCATGAATCCTGGTGGCAGTGTCAAGGTCGTCCGACGGTCACAGTCAGGGCGTGTCTTGTTGGCTGTCCTTCGCCCTGATGTGCCCAATGCCAAGTCAGGGCGTTTCTTGCTGGGAGACAGCAGGTCCATAGGCTCACAGTTCTGACAGGGGCTGCCATAAATATCGTAGCAGGTTTACCCGACACGGCAGAGCCCCAGAATCAGGCCCCCGTGCCGCATGGACCAGGGGTATTCGAGGGTGGCCTAACCGCCCGACGCCCGACGCCCGATGACCACCCAGCCCAAAAGTCCCCCAGCACAAAAGTTCCCCAGACCAAAGGTCCCCCAGACCAAAGGTCCCCCAGCACCTTCACCCCCTCCCCACCCGGGCTGGGAGCATGGAGGACTAGCGACGGTCAAAGCTTGAGTCACACAACCAGTTCAGCTCTCCAACCCTCCACTTGACCGGAGGATGCCGTTGCCTTGCGACTCTCGACCCGCACCCTCGAGTTTCAGGGTGTCACTTTGAGTCCCTGAACCGGTTTCACTTTGCAACATCTTGCCTCATCAGATAGCTGTCATTGCCATGACTGAATGGTCCGTTGCCTTTGTTGCCAGGGTATCTGACCTCGCCTCAAGACTCCGCGGGCTCTCCCACCAGCACCAGACCCGCCCCGAAGCGCCCAACTGTCCAGGGGAATCTCTTCGACCTCATCCTCGCCCTGGGCGCCAGCAAACCACCCCCCTTGTGAATAAGACCAACGAAGCACTTCGAGGAAGCGCCCCCCCTTGGCAGGTTCCACACACACCAAATCGATTGGGCGCGAGAAGCTGGGGATTGGGCACGAAAGTTCGAGGCTGACAGCACATGTGTCAATTTTCCTGGCACCGTAGTCGACGTGTCATCTTCCGTGCGATGCCTGCCCCCAATCAGATGATCTGCTTGGGCGAAATTTGCGGCCAGACCACCACCACCACCACCAGGATCGCCGATGGTGGCACAAAGACGTAGAAAAGGCGTCCAGCGCCCGGCTCCTCTGCCCAACCAGGGCGTTGGCAACCCCCAAGGTTGAGGCTGACTGGGCCCGCCAGGACGAGGAGCCCTCGGATGGGCCGGATAAGTAGCGGTGTGGCCCTCGCACACTCCTCGAAGCCTCTTCAAGGCTCCCCAAGTAGAGACTCTGTATATTGAGGCCATCGCCATCCAACCTTGGTTTATTCCTTCCATCGATACCATCTCTCAGCCTCCGTGGTCTTCTTCTCTTCCAGATACCTTCAGTGCTCCATCTTCCCCACGTGTGGTTTGCCCACGACCCCCCAAATCTCCCAGCAAAGTTTTTCTCACCCAAGAAAACTTCACCATGCAGCGGCCGATGTTCCCATTTCCAGAACGCCAAAATACCCCTCCAGGCTTGGGAGTGAGTGACACCCTTTTCCAAGAGCCCACAACAGCTTCACTGACTCACAACCAGGGACATTCTGGTCCACGTGTTGAGATTGAGACGCCCAACACGCCCCCAGTGGACGACGGGGAACGTGTAACGCAACTCTTTGTCCGGGCTCAACAATTGCTAGATTGTTCGAACCTGCTGTGTTCCGCCGTGCCCAACCTCGAAATGATGGATGCTATAATGCACCGGCTGGAGGAAATGGACAATGCTCAAAGAACCCAAAAGCTGCGGTTGGATTCGCTCGAAGCCCTGTCCCAGAGGTTGAGCTCTTTGCGAGAAGATTTGGCAAAAGCGATAGCGGAAAGAGATGCCGCCAAACGAGAGTTGGCATACGTCACAGCGTACTCTCTGCGGCTTAAACAAGAAGTCGAGAAGTACAAATCGGGAGCGGAAGACTCGAACCAGGTCAACGCCGAACAGGAGGCGGGGAACCCAGGATCATCGAGGTCTCCTTTCGGACGCCGCTGAGGTCTTCGGCGACTGAGACTTGCCGCCCTCAAAGCGTGTTCGCTCAAAGCGGCAAAGGCCAATTTTCTTTTAGGTTTACGATCTCTTTGTTCTTTTCTTTGTTCTTTGAAGCAAGGCCAATGGTGGTGCATGACGGTTTGACAGGAGAGGGACCGATCGCCGGCAGCAGGTTTGCGCACTCCGAAGCCTAGCCTGCCGGAGCAAACTCCATCAGTCCGAGGTGGGAAGGACAGCAACAAGGCGGCAAGAGGTGCAAGGAAGTTGAGGAAAGATAGCTTCAATAGTTACGAATCATGATCACAGGGCTACCATGAGATGAAGTGGTAGTATCCCTCTCGTTTCTTCTGGCTTTCGGTCTTTTCGCTTTCGATCTTCTCGCTTTCGATCTTCTGGCGTTCGACACAGAGGCTGCGGTCATTCGGGGGCGCTCAGGCACTTCAGCCCCAGAACAGGTCACGTAATGGGTGCAAAGGGCGAAGGTTGTACCTTGACGCAACGGAGTTTGTAACAAACGATCCAAGTTCAACCCAAGGATTCACCTTCCTGTAGCCACAGACTGCCTGCTTCCGCCTTTTGCTCGCAACTAGGGAATTCTCATCCTGGGAGATGGCCACATCTTGCACGCGGAAGCCCTTGGGCCAGCCAGACGTGCTTCGGCCTCTCGCGCTTCGAGCCTCGGAGGTTCGGTCGTGACTTGCAGTGACAAATCCTTGGGGGAGTCGGGACACCATGCAGCGGCGGTGATGTCGTAGTTGTGTTTTACCATTTGATGCTCAAGGGCCAGTGACCCTCGAGTCTTCCTGTAGCCACGACCGCCTGCTTCCCGCCTTTTCCTTCGCCGTTGCTGGGCAAAGCCCTCGCAGTCTGCGCAGGAATCGGTATCGGGACAGACGACACACCCTCTGGCTCTGCCTACATGCAAATAGGCCATCTGGTCCTCCTTGATGTTGGTGGTATCGGCCACCTGCGCTTTGCGGCTTTTGGGCGATTAACATCGACATTCAGACATGGCTCCGTATCAAGGATGCCTTGTTGGAGATAGGCAGCACTCGGCGATAGATAGATTCAGTGGTAATAAGTATACCTTCAGGCATACTAGTGACAAGACTTGAAGCATAAGAGAGGAGGCCTTCTCGGATGCGAGGAGCATGGTTTTCTCCTTTGGGGTGTGTGGGCGGCCTGGAGTGGCTTAGGCCTGTCCGGCTCGGGGGCATCCTTAGTGGCCTTTCGTCCTGCTTTACTTAAGGCGGCGTAGGGGGATGCTTCTCCTCTCTGAGTAGCATGCCCCTCTCGTGCGGTTCACTTCGGCTTCCTACTCTGTTTGTGATACTCGGAATCTGGAATGGATTATAGCCATCGCGGAGCACACGCATGGTTCATGTGTCAGGTAAACGTCGAGTCCCCTGTAGAGATATCCTTCAGACCGGGGATTCGGTCGTTTCTCTGGTACGGCATCATTTCACATTGGTTTCGAGGAGAGGAAAAGGCCATTGCGCAGGTGCCCAAGTTCATACATTGATGGGCTTCATAGAGGTCAGTTTCGCTCCCTCATCGATTCGAAGTGCCTCGCCTGACGCAGCCCTTGTGCTGATGCTGCGTGGTTAGGCCATGGCTCTGTATCAGCCCGCTGGCTCACCTCGCGGGGCTTCCCTCGTGGGTGTGCTCTGCCGCATTGGCCGACGCATCGTGGTGTTCCAGTGCCGTCTCCGTGCGCGCTCCCTCTCTCTAGTTCCTCGATTCTAGCCTGAAGTCGCTCCTTTTGCGGATCGTATCCCACCGCAGTCCAATTCGACTGACTGACAAACCTGCCCACCTAGGGGTGACAGAATTCCGTCCCTAGTGAGGCAGGAAATCCGGGCAGACTACGCCAATAGTGGGGAGAGAAGTCTGTCACCCCTGGGTGACTGAGAGCTGGCCTCAACTGTAGAAACTACCGCTGCCAGCCTTCTGCAGCTTCCGCCGAAAGTTGGCGTATTGTTTCTTGGGTGTTCTCCAACGCTTGATGAATAGCGAGACACTCTCGACGGCAGGTATTTAAATTCGCCAAAAATCCCTCGCTTCGCTGTTCCGTCCAGGTAAAACCAGAAGCAAACACACAGCTCGCAAGGCGTTTGTTGTGGGCTAGTCATACTCAGTAGAAAAACATTGTTGTATGAGTCTGTTGTCGGTTGGCCCCAGGCGTTGATCTTTTTGTGGACTTAGACAATAATCCTGTAGTCCCCGGGCGTAGGGAGGCAGTGATGGCGGACGGCCAGGCTCTCGTATGCCCAGACTTTGGTACGCCCAAACTCTCGTACTCTGTACGCCTAGACTCTCGTACGCCTAGACTCTCGTACGCCTAGACTCTCG